GAGAAGAAGGGTGATGAGAAGAAGGGTGATGAGAAGAAGGGTGATGAGAAGAAGGGTGATGAGAAGAAGGGTGATGAGAAGAAGGGTGACGAGAAGAAGGGTGGCGACAAGAACTCAGAGGACAAAAGCGAGGGCCAAAAGGAAGACCGGGAGAGGAAGGAAGGCGGTGCTCGGTCCCCAAACAATGAGGGCTCTGGAGCTAAGGAGAACGAAAGGAGTTAGAGAAATTGCGGCTGGTTGAAGTGTAGGCGACCCCAATCTTCTTTCTACGAGCGGAGTGGCTAGACTTAGTACCCGAGCTTCTGCAATTCTTCCATTTCCGTTGTCGTTCGCACGTTTTCTTTCTTTCTCACGTCGATACCCGGCATCCACGGCAGGGAACACAATAATACGGTGTTTCATTGGCTGGGGGGGTGGTGGAATGGAGCTACGGATAATCATTGTGTCACTTCATTTTGGCAGCACCCTTCTCTCACCAGCCAACGGACATTCAACTTAACGAGGCCAGAGAGCCACGGGTTCCGTGACCAGTTGGCAGCAAATCACTTCTTACCACGGTTCAGTCGCGGAAAGGGCCTCTTGATGCCAGTTTTGCCAACCAAGTGCCTGGATGTTGCAACGGAAGCATCGGAAGGGCTTGATGGGAATGGCAGACCGCACCTGGCAAGGATGTGTTTTACACAGCCTACTAATAAAGGGAAGGACCTTTGCACCGCATGGCAATGCTCTGGCAGGAAAGCATGACCCGGACAATGAAGCAGGCGTATTCAATCTTAGTCAACTCAGCTTCCGATGTACCTCCCCCGTTCTCTTCATCAGTTATGCTGCCACAGATTCGGGCGTTATTAGTGATTTGGGGTACTGCCTGGCAGTATCAAAATACGCCTTTTTCGACTACTCCTACTTCCAATTACGATACTGTTTGCTTCCAAGCTCCCTACAGCAACTAGCCTACCTTAACCAACAGTATCCGACTCGAGAGGGAGCGCGATTCAGACCCAGATATGTTTCGATTGCTGGGCATGGCCCAGAGCAGCCCAAGGCAGGACCCCCTTTCAATTCCTGGCCCTTACGGCTTGCCGGTACGCTTCGCGGTGCGCCTTGCTGGGACAAAGGGCTTCAAAATTTACGGCGCCAGCCCCAAGGAGCCCCTCCACTACATCGAGAGCCATACCCGGCACCTGATTCTGCACGACACTGGCCACAAGAAGGACAAGAGCCCGCCCCTTGTGTCGATCCAGTCGAACTGGCCGTCCTGGTCCATACGCCCGATCGACAACGACGTCCCCGCCTTCACCATCACAGTATACAACAATGACAGCATCAATGCCGATTCCAGCGCGGAGAACGCCATCGGCCAAACCACCGCCGACAACCTGACGATCAACGCTGATGACGCCAGTGGCGAAGTTGAAAGCAGCGGCTTCAAAAACGACCTGAAAATCAGCCTGGACCATACTCGCTGTCGTCCAGTCACCTTCCAGTTCCAAGTTCCCATCCCGGACCCCAACGACGGCACCATCACGACCCTCGAGACCTTCGAATGGCGCCGCGCCCCGCACACCTGCCATGAGACCCGCAGCATCCGCAAGAAGACGCTCCCGTTCACCGAAACCGGCGACGAGCGCCCGCCCGAGGAGAAGTTCGTCTACGCGCCCTCGGGCTCCATTCTCGTGCGCCTGAACAGCCACAGCAACAACAACCCTCAGCCACGCACCACCTCGCCAGGTAGCAACAACAACACACAGCCGGTGGGCTTCACCCCGCAGGGCGAGCAGATCGTGGCGTCGGTCACCAACTCGCGCGACTACCGGGCATGGTACTACTTCCAGTTTTGGGGCGCTGGCGCGACGGGGGAGCTGGGCGAGGTGTTTACACGCGCGGCCGTTACTAGCGGCCTGGTGGTGTGGCAGGACGAGGCGGACGAGCAGGCCCGGCGGAGGAAGGCCGGCCCCACGGGGGTCTGGGATAATGTGGCAGGGCGGGAGGTGCATGGGGTGACTCCCGTTAAGGCGTTTGGCGTGCCGAGGAGGGGGGACTCGGGCGCCGAAGGGTCGACCAAGTTTGGAATTCGGGGGGTTCACTTTGTTCAGCATGGGGATTTTGGGCCGGGGCATCTTGCGGTGCAGTGTGGGAGGCTGTAGAGCTTAGGCACGCTGGTGATGCAAGCGAGATGATGTTCCGCTTGTGTCATTCGCTTCTCCTTGAGTCCTAGAAAGTCAGTCAACTGCCAGTTTGTAGCCTAGAAATTGAATCCTTTTGCTCATTTCTTACTAGTTAGTAGGAGTGGCATTGATTTCACTAGGTATTTTACATTGGTTAGGGCCGCATTGTCCCTTCCCCTTTTGAATGAGGATCAACATGCTCGAATACCTAGGTACCGTCCAATCTGTGGCTCATTCCTTTGGCGCCGGCAACTCGGGGTAGTCTGGCAGCTTCCACGACCCCGTGTCGTCGGACATGAACAAGGTGGCGAGCCGGTCAAGCCGCAAGACGGTAAACAGCCAAAACGCCCAATGGAAGAAGCTGATGACCCAGGCGCTCTCTGGCAGTATGAACCTGGCAATACGCCTGACGGGAATGTCGTGGATCGTCTTCACAAACGGCCGCAGCGTCGTCTCGTATGCCGCCAGCGCCACGGGGAGGTTGTCCCACGGGTTCACGACCTCTCCCTGCGCGCCCTTCCCACAGGCACGGGCAATCTCGCCGGCCAGGACATAGGCCCCGATCAGCGCCATCGAGGTTCCCTGGCCAGTGAGGGGCGCTGGGCAGAAGGCTGCGTCCCCGAGAAGCACGAACCTGCCCTCAGACCACCTGTCAATCTTGACCTGGGCAAACTCCTGTGTGTAGAAGTCGTCTGCCTGCGGCGAACTGAGCCCGTCGGTAATTCTGCGCACTCCCCACGCATCGAGCATGTCGCGCCTGAAGATGTTGGCCCACGCCTCCTTCTGCTCCGCCACGGTGCCGTGCTTGAGAGCCCGTTTCAGCTCGGGGTCGTCCCCAGCATACCCCAACTCAACCCTGAGACAGTCCTCTCTATCCCTCCGCGTCATGATATACCTCCGCCCAGGGAAATGGCACCAGTTCGCAGCCGGTCCATCCCCCTCCTCCGGCGGGATCGTAAACAACGCGCACGCCATGCCCACCGGAGCCAGCCCGTCCTTGCTCCCACCCCCAAACATCGCCCTCCTCACCCTCGACCCAATCCCATCGCACCCCACAACTAAATCATACTCGCCCTCACTCCCATCCGACAACCTAACTCTCACGGCGCCCTTCCCATCGCCAGGCTGCCGCTCCAACCCCTCCACCGTCGTCCCGAACACAAACCTCACGCTTTCCTCCCCCAACGCCTCACAAGCCTCATACAACACATCGCATAGATCCCCGCGCATGATCTCCCACTCGGCCGAAAAAGTCTGCGCCCCCCGGCCGGACTTGTTGCTCGCCAGGTACGCCTGCAGCTTCCCCCTCCTATCGAGCATGCGCACGCCGGGCTCGTCGACCAGCCGGGCGCGGACGGCGCGCTCGATGCCCAGCTTGCGCATCGCGGCGACCCCCTGGCCGCGCAGGTCGATTTGTTGACCTATGTTGTTGCGGGATCGCGGACGGCGCTCCACGATGGTGATATTGCATTGCAGGGGCGGCGGGAGGCGGGAGAGGTGCAGGGCGAGGGCTGGGCCGGCGACGCCCGCGCCTGAGATGAGGACGCGGAGGGGACGCGGAGGGGGCGTCATTGGACTGTTGGAGTAGATGGATTTGAGGCGTGATCCGGTGGAATATGGGGAGGTAGTGGTGATGGTAGCTGTTGAGGTCAAGTCTCTCAACGGGTCAGAGACATATGGACACCAATATATGTTAGGTAAGGTAACTATGTGAATATAACTGTTTGGTCAGGTTTGGTGTTGTTGGCCTCACGGTCGTGCCAAGCCCTGTCCTGGCCCTTTATTCGTGTAAGCCCATGCTTCCAAGGCACACTCCGCATGGCGACGCGAGGCAGCCTCAGACTCGATTGTCCGAGGGAGTCGGAGCAGTCCTCGTTCTCCAGCCAGTGCGGGTTCACCGACTTAGATTGCCAAGATTGTGGCGGCGCAGCCAGGTAGACTCCTGTTGGCAGCTGGTACTCGAAACACATGCCGAATTAGGCCGGGGCCACGCAAGCAGCCCGGCGGTGCCGGGAAATATCGAACCGCAACTCCTTTCACATGAATACTACTAACTGATTTGGGACCCCGGGACTTCAACCTGCTGAAGCATTCAGTTAGAATGACAGAAGTCTCGTCCTTAACAAAGTCCATCCCGCCTGTTGATTGCTTTATCGTTAGAAAGAGAGGCTTGAATGACTGCTAGGTGGACGTGCGACATGCCTCTCGTACGGGAGTCAGAAAGTACCATGCAGTACCAGTGTCCAAGATGTTGTGTGGGCTGGCACGCAATTCTCGCGATGGAGAAGGCGTGTGTCAGGTAAGTGATGTGATGTGCTTCGGGCCCCCCTGGGGAGTTCCGCTGTGAGTAATATATACAGCTGGCCTGCAACCGCTTGCTGCCTACAAGTTATGTGCAAAATACAGAAATGAAGAAGAGAAATGTTCTAAATACACCTGCAAACCTCCAGTCTTTGAAGGAACAGCGTTGCTCGCAAAGTCTTGCCGTCCAACGCTCGTTGACGTTGAGTGACTGCTTCAACCTCCCTACCAACCTCAAGCAGTTGCATCCTGCACAGAGCTGACATGGCACAATAGGTACCTAACCATAGCACGTTTACTGCAGGCCAGCCCTGGCGTCAACCCCGGCAGCAAGGACCGAGGCAGCACGCCGGGGGAAACGCTGGCAGCCACTGCCCTTGCTAGGCTGAACCGAAGGAGTAGGCGTGGAAACCGGCGTGGAAACCGGCGTGGCCGTGACTGCGGGGAGGACAACGGAGACAGGGCGGGACGCAGAGGGCGACGGTGCCAGAGAAGTCGACGATGGAGCACGGCTGATGCTGCTGCTACCGCCGCCGTTTCCGTTCGAAGCTGGGCTTGAGCCACCCGGAACTGTCTGGAGCTTGTCGCCGCCAGCACCGTTGGCCGACCCGCGAATGGTGCCGCCGGGAATCACGTCTGGACCCGGAGCCACGGGGTACGAGGTGGAACGGCCCCAGAGGCTAAAGTTGAGGGGCCCGTCGGTCGGCTGGTAAGCGCCGGGGAACTTGACCGACTTGCCGGGCATGCTGGTGGCCGTGTTGCCCGTGACATGAATCTGGGCGCAGGCGACATAGAACTCGGCCTGGCCGTCGTGCGCCCCGTGTAGGCCGATGTGCTCGCCGCGGAGGAGGTACTGGCCGTTGGGGATGGTGGACGGGATGACGGCCCAGACGTTATTCTCGCCCCAGCTGCACCAGGCGTTGGTCCGGAAGCTCTCGGCGGAGCCCTGGCGGCACACTAGGGACTGGTGGATCTTGTACCAGTCGTTGCCCTTGTCCGTCTTTGCGTTGGTGACGGGCGAGATGTAGATCTGCGACGGGCCCGGGTGCTGAATCGCGTTGGCGCCAAAAGCCTGGCGAAGCCCTATCTTGTCCCCGGCTTTGACCGTGATCACCTGAGCAGCCCCCGTGGCGCCCTTGTTGCACGAGAAGTCGGCATCGAGCGGCGAAATGGAACCCGAAGGCGCATTTTTGAACTTGATGGGCATATAGCCATTCGTGTGCTTCCGGATGTATGTATTATCTCCGCCGACCTGCTTATCATTGACCAGGAGCTTATCAAAAGTGTAGTGCGCAGTGGCGGTTGAGACGAGGCCGAGGATGGCCGCAAGGGTGCCTGTGGTCTTCATGTTGGAGAGTTCGGGTGCTTGAAGATGGAGTCTCGAGTGAATAGCGACTGTGATTCAACAAGCAACTCTGAATCGTATAATGGTTGGGGAAAACGAACGGACGTCAAGTCGATGCGCTAATGAAGAGAACGGAATGGCAGGTGATCTTGTCGAAAGATCAAAACGAAGGGAAGGCCGGTGATGGCAACAGAAAGAGAGGCTGTGGGTGGTCAAAAGAGAACCTCGAGGAACAACAGTAGGACCCCATTGCCTTATTTATCATCGTGGTTCGTTCCTCTCAACGTCAACTTAATGGTTTGATACTCCGACAAGTTCAACTGCCGAGGCAGGCGGCCTGGTGATGGAGGTCCAGGGTCAACCCCACCAAGACTCCGGCCTACTCTGCAGCTACAAAACTTGGCGAGCCTGACCGCTCCGACAAGACCACATAGGTCGAACCTGTGCAATTTCGGTTGCGCTGACAGTCGCTGACACAGCTTGGGCGTGGGTGCAGGTGGGCGCGCGAGTAGCCCCACTCTCCAAGGCCAGCTTGCTGGGGTGTGTATCTGCACTTGATATCTGCAGCTAGAATGTTCTCAGAACGCCAGTCGGCCCGAGATGCAGCCTGGAGGATGCTTCCAGGACTTGGCCCTCGGGTAACGTGTTCGGTATGGACGATAGACTGTAGAGGGTCATAAGGGTCCGCTAGACATATCTTACCGTTCATAGCTTCGGAGTGAATCGAAGTACTCCGACTCAGTCAAAACAAGGTAGCCGAAAGTCCTGGCGACATGGCCTGGCTGCGTACAGTACCCATGTGATCTGATCTCTAGAAGGTAGGTCAGATCAGAGGACGAATACTGTCGGGTACGATGTGGTCGTGATTCTCTCAGCTCAGTGGAGCTTTAAGCTCGGCAATGCTCCCCGGACCGTTTTGCCTAAATCTCGAACACCGTGTTGGAGACTAGCTGAAACAAGAACGTGGAGCCATATCAGGGGTTGAAACAAAGTTTGCCAGGATGCTGCTGACTGGACAGGGTATAGCCGTCTGCCCTATCCAGGTCCCAAAACGACAGCATTCAGCTTCGTTATCTCCACTGGACAAGGCAAGAGACGGCACATGCGAGCGAACGGGACTGAGTCTGCTCCTCTATTTCGGCTCATCCAATGAGAGTGATACCGGCTGTTAGACGAGCAGGTGCTCCAGCAACGTCCGTACTTCGTGTCACCTATCATGTCCATCTGCTTTGATGCGGGCCAAGACGCAGGGCGGTGACTGGCGTCGATGAGTCGGCTTGAAACCTTGATCACAGCTCAGATAATGCAAAACTCTCAGTAACAATAAGCCACGTTATGTACTTCGCACGTAAACTATGGACAATCGAACCTGTAAACCCTCTTCTGGTGTCATGGCCCTTGCAACCCCTAGAATTCCCGACTCTGTGCCATCATCGATCCCGGGGGTCACGTTCACCGGCTTTTTCCTGCTGCTTCACACTTCACAGACACTGGGAGTACCCTGCGGCGTGATCTCGTTAGTGCGCTCATATTTTAAACCCAACAACAGGATTACGAGAATGAGAAAGGAGAGAGAAAGGCTCACATTCGTTCGCATAGGTGCACTTGTAGGGGCTCGCGCAGACAGTCGGCCCCGTGTATCCGTTCCCGCCACACTGGCCATAGCGCGTCTGGGTGGCACCGCCGGGAGCCGTTGTGGTCGGGGATGGCTTGGTGGTCGTGGTGCCCGGGGATCCGCCGCCGTTGGCGCCCTGCAAGGTGAGGAGGCCCGGGCGGTAAGCCAGGAGGTCGTAGTTGCTGCTGTCGGACCTGGGGTCGCGGCCCTGGTAGAGCAGCTGCAGGTTGCAGGGGTCGATGGTCATGGTCTGGTCCGCAGTGGCGCGGATCAGGTCGCCGTGGCTGATGTCGTTGGTCCACGTGGCGCCGCTGTTGGCCTTGCCGGCGAAGGGTGCGCTCTCGCTCGTGGCCTGGGGCGTCCAGGAGCCGCTGAGGCTGGTGGCCGTGTAGGAGCGGAAGTAGCGCCCATTGGAGCCGATGGACTCGACCAACATGAGGTATTGGTTCTGGTCCTTGACCTTGTAGACCTGGACGGCCTCGAAGAGGTCGTAGGTCGCGCCGCTCATGATGACGGTCGATGCAGTGCCAAAGTTGCCCGGGAAGTTCCCAATCGGCATGCTGGCCCGGTAGATCTTGCCGTTGTCGCCGGCAAAGAACAGGTACATGTGGGTGTCATCGCCGATCAGGGTCTGGTCAATGGGGCCCGTGTTGGATCCCGTGATGGTGCCTGAGAACAGCGGCTGTGCGGCGGACCATCCGTTCGGGTTGGTAGGGTCGGTCGACGTGCGGTAGGAGAAGGCGGTGGCACCCCATTGATAGGCAAGGATCCAGATGTTCTTGGGCGAGAAGTAGAAGAGGGTCGGCGCAACGGCGGTGACCGAAGTCATGGCATTCTGGCTCGCCGAGGCCATGTCGGACCAGTTCGTGAATAGGCCAAAGTTCATGGAGAGATAGCTAGTTCCCATATTGTGGGTTGTTGCATACACCAGGTGCTTTCCGTTGTAAGGGACATGGGTAAACTATCAAAAATGTCCAGTCAGCCGAGGTGTGTGGAGGGTTTCGGCAGCAAGTGCACTCTCCTCTCGGGAGCAGCCCGGCCCCTGAGGAGCCCATAAACGGGTATAAACAGTGAACGCAAAAGAATTGAAAAAAAAGGAAAAGAGAAGGATATTGTCACTTACATCTTTGAGGGAGGCCCAACCCGACTTGGGCGTCGCGAGGGCTCCGGTCGAAGTCCACTTGTAGGTGGACGGAAGGCTACACGCGGCTTGCACAGAGGGGACCGCCGCGAGCAATGCCAGAGCTGCCGACTCGTACTTTGTGAGCTTCATGGCGATGTCTCTTTGTTTCCTCTTTTGACAAGGCAATGGATAAAGATAGATGGACCTTGAGGTACCGGAGAGCTGCGTGACGACGAGATCAATGCCGGACCTACACAGCTCTAATATACGTGCCCCATACTTACACGCAGTTGACTACTGGATTAGGAGGACGGAGGACGGACCGAATTGGCCGTTTCTGTCGTCGTGGAGTAGCGCCGAGCAAGCGGATCGAGGCTCCGCCTTGTCACCCATGTCGGCCGGCAGCTGAATCGGCATGTTAAACAGATCGGCATGTTGTCCAAGTATGTGCACTAGTTACCTTAGGTAAGGTAGTCGAAGTCGCCGAGGTCGCATGCGGTGCGTTGAGCCGGTATCGAAGGACCCCAGCGTCGCACGCGCAGCAAGCGAGGCGGTGGAAAGTCGTTCTGGAGATCTGACGCATGGTGACCAAGCGAGTTTTCACTGCCAGAACATCGCCAACCAGCTCGCCAGAGTGAGCGAAGGAGGTTGTGGTTGCATTTTGCCGAGGCAAAATCAAAATGAAGGAAGCGCTCCAATAGCGAGTCTCCACAGGGCTCCATTACCAGATCAGGGGACGCCGCATCCCGAACCCAAAGAAGGACGCCCGGTCACAGAATCCGGGGTACACATGCAGCTAAGCCTCAAGAAAGGCATCCGAACCATGTAAAACCGGGTAAAGTCAAGGCGACAGGGCTGGTGGGTCGAAAGATAGACCAGCTTACCTTACTTTGGAGACGCGCTAGCTTAATGCTAGTTGAGGTTTCCGTAGGTGGAAACTGGAAGGGTGCTCTGTCCGGCACCTCATCTTGATCATCAAGGACGATGAAGCCGCTCAACTCTTCTTGCTACGGTACAAAGCACACATTCAACATGAACACCACGACAGATACTCGCCATCTCCATTGTTGTGGCCGTAGTGTACTGCAACTCATCTGTCCATGCACCCGATTTAATTCAGGAGTCATCCGCTGTTAGCCTGGTACCCCGGTCCGATGCGAAATCCTCACCATGGGCAAGCATTGCACTATCCAGTATTATTGTTCCAGCGCCAAAACGTTCTTTCCGTGGTCTGGCTAACCTCCTTCCTTTCATGTTCCCATTTTCACTTACACCCGTCGCAAAAAGAACCGCCTCCGGACACACCCAGTTAGGGATTCGCTTCATCGATTCTATCGGCTCTCTCTGCAGACTGGTTTAGCCCCACATTTAGTGCAGTGGCTTTTCCCTCCCACCAGAGCCATCTTTCACAGGGCACTCTGCATCTAACATCCACAAAATAAAGGCATATTTCTGCATCGCCAGATTCCGGAGTGCACCTATTCCACAACGCACCGCAGGCGATGTAGCTTGCTCACCTCCCCACCAGACATGCTCAAGCTCACCGCTTGACAGTCACCCTAACACCCTTACTACCGCGCTTGGGCATGGGCATGACAATGTCCAGCACAAAATCGGCATCGCTCCGGTCCGTCTCGAACAGCTCGAGCTCGTGGCGGCGGAAGATGGTGGCCAGCGCGACGTACAGCTCCATGTAGGCCAGCGGCATGCCCAGGCACACGCGCGACCCGCGGCCGAAGGGGACCAGGTAGTTGGTCAGCGGGTGTTTGTCGCCGGGGCCCCTGGGGTTGCCGAGCCAGCGTTCGGGCTTGAACTGTTGAGGGTCCGGGAACACGTCCGAGTTGGTGTGCATGTGGAACGCGTCCATGCCGACGGCGACGCCCGGCGGGATCAACCAGTCCTTGTATTTCCAAGGGTGCAGCCGGTTGACGCGCGGGATGCGCTGGACTTGGCCGTATGAGAGACGGAGGCCTGTGGGAAGGGTCGTCAGCAAGACTATAGAAAGGTTCGGGGTGGGGTGAGGAGGCTTGGGGTTGTGGAGGCCGGAAGGGCTCTGGGGTACGCACTCTCCTGGATGACGCCGGTCAGATACGGAAGCTTCTCGAGTTCGACCCACGGGAGGATGTTGGCCGGGTCCGGCATGGCCTCGGCCAGCTCGGCCTTGAGCCGGGTCTGCACGTGGGGGTTATCGAGGATGTGGAATGTGGCCACGGTCAGCGTCCACTTGGTCGTTTCCATGCCCGCCCCGTTGAGGCTGATGGCCTCGTCCGTCAGCCGCTTGAGCGTAAGCTCCTCGGGCGGCAGGTTGGAGGCAAGGATGTCGTGAAAAATGGTCGGATGCTCCGCGTACTCGCTCTTGGGGTTCTTGCCCGAGAGGATGTCTTTGATTTGCTGGCGAGTTGTCTGCGCGCCCCCAAGGCCCAGGTTAGTGGCTGGTGTCAGATCATCGCGTCATCCGGGGGAGGAAGAGGCTCACCTCTCGGAACTCGAGCACTGGTTTGAAAGGCGGAATCAGCGTGCCCAACAGCCAGTCTGGTAGCCAATTCATCAGGTCGACAAGAATCTTGAAATGGGCGTTCCAATGGCCGGCCCAGATGATATTTTGCATCCCCGTGGAGAGCGGCGACTTGAAGTCCGGGGCGGCCGAGCAGTTGACGGAGCGGCTGAAGGCCAGGTCCGAGGTCACATCGATGGTCAGACTTGACCACATGTCGGACACGTTGAGGACGCGGCCGGTGCCGGCATACTCGGTGGACAGGCGGTACGAGATGCGCTCGACAATCTCGGAGATCTTGGGGTTGAGGCTCCGGATCCGCTGCATGGAGAAGAACGGGGCCAGGGCAGCGCGCCGGGCGCGGTGCTGCTCGGCATGGGTGGTGCTGAAGGTGGCCTCGGGGATGCCGAAGCGATATTTGAACTTGCCCGACTTGTCCATGGGCTTGGACGGCGTGCTGGCGCAGTAGACCTCGTTCCAGAACTCCGGGTCGTCGATGTGCACCTCGTCCGGGTTGACCCTCACAATGGGGCCATACTTATCGTGCATCTCCTTGACCTTCCAGGCGAACTGGCCACCGCCGCCGTTGGCGAAGAGGTCATACCAGACCTCATACCAGTGCGTGAGCGCGGCGAGTTTGGGCCCTGGAAACTTGGCAAGCGGGCTGAAGTATAGGCGGTAGACGCCCAAACCAACGGCGTACAGGACGAGCCCTAGGCCCAGTATCGCTGCGACCTGAGCTGGGGCGAGTTTGGCCAAAGTCGCCGACAAGCGGACATGTTCAAGTTGCGAAACGCCCATTGTGCCTGAAGGTCGTATCACTTCCAGGGTCGAGGAGAGCTGCACACATGGTACTGCTGCCGAAGCAGGATTTGAGAGCCGTCGCCATCAAGATAAAAGGTAACCCCATTCTACGTCCCACGCCCGCCCAGCCGAGGTCAACGCTTCATGTTTAGCTTTGAGGCAAACGTTGTTACGATGCTCCCAATGGTCTGTTTGATGTGCTGACAGCACTGTGCGCATGGCACATAATACAGCGGGTCTCGACTATTCAGGAGGTGTAAGCTTGCTGCAGGCTTGCGGCCCCGTCTTGTCGTGAAAACAAGGTTTAGAGATAGCGTCGCTCCGGACGGGGTCTCCGGGTGCAGCGGGATGAAGAGCAGCGGCAGGGATCGGATGGTGCGAGCAGTCTGCGCGGGATGAAACACGGATCTGCATGCTTATCCGCACTGCATAAGGTGAGGTACAATACCTTACGCATGATTATGGCACACCAGCAGGACCGGCCTGGCAAACTGTCTAGGCCGTGTAATTTAGCGTAGTTTCAGCTCAGAAAGAAAGGGCACCCAGTTGCACGGGCGGACGTCAAAGGCGGCACTGTGTTTCCCATTGTTGTATAGTATACTGTGTTACTGTGTGAAATGCAGAGACGCAAGATACAAAAGGAGATATGCTTAGAAATCACCTCATGGGGCTTAGAAAGAGATGGAAGCATGGAAAGTGCAGCACTTCTATTTTACAAGTTTTCAACCCAAGGGGCCTTCGAAGCAGTCTGGAGCTAATTCCATCAGGCCGAGTTCAAGTTGTTTCCGGGTAACAATAAGCAATCCTTCCTGCGCGCAACCATGGCAACCGTCGTCTTCATTACTGGCGTGGGCCGGGGCATCGGCCGGGCCCTCGCGGAGGCGTACCTGGCCCGTCCCAACCACACCGTCATCGGGAGTGTCCGCAACAAGGACGACGCCAAGTACCAGCATCTCAGGAGCCTGCCCGCCGCGAGCGGATCTAAGCTCATCCTCGTCAGCATCGAGTCGGCCTCCAAGTCGGACCCGCACAAGGCTGTCGACGAGATCAAGGCCGCCGGCGTGGACCATGTCGACATTGTCATTGCCAACGCCGGCACCTGCCCGCCTCTGGCGCCCCTAGATGTGGCCAACCCCAAGGACGTGGAGGAGGGTTTCCAGATCAACACGCTCGGACCCATTCTCCTTTACCAGGCCGTGAAGCCGCTGCTGGACAAGTCAAGCGCACCCAGGTGGGTTTCCGTCTCGTCGGCTGTCGGGTCAATTGGCAAGCTGGAGGCATACGGCGTTGCGGGCATCGGCGCGTATGGCGTTGCCAAAGCCGGTTTGAACTGGTTCACCGTGTAAGTAGACCTACCACCGACGACCGGGAAATAAAATCAGCTAACCCTCCTGGAAAGTTCAATCCATGCTGGCAACCCGTCCTTGATTGCCTTTGCCGTCCATCCTGGGTGAGTTCGGAGCCGCCAAGTGAATGGATTCAAGTTTTCGTTGTGAGTGACTGACACCCAAACTAGGCTGGTCCAATCGGATATGGGTAATTCGAGCGCGAAGCTCTTGGGACTGGAAAAGGCCCCCGTCACACTGGAGCAGTGCAGCTCGAAGCTGCTCAGCACGGTGAGTCTAGCCGCAGAAAAGCTTGAGCGTTCACTGGCTGATCCTGATGTTCTACCAGATCGACCAAGCAACACGTGAAAAGACTTCGGGAAAGTTCCTCAACATCATCGACGACGAGGAGATTCCGTGGTGAGCAGCGCGTGGACCTCTGGATGCCAGTGTATTGTACGTGTGTGGCTAGTAATGAGATTAAGCTTGCTCGTGTATCTATGCAGGCTGAATCCTGTTTGGCGACGAAAGCCATCATCTCGGTCATTTTCAGTCCTAGGGCATTGTTAGTTTCTAAAAAATACATTGGGATCTCATGACTTCCTCAGCGGTGGCCATTCTTTGCTGGCTACCTAGTGTTTGATTTGTGCTCCTTTCCTCCTTCCGCCCAACCCCCTGGTTACACTCTTCTTAAACTGTTATTGCAAAAGTTGCTTCAACAGATCCGCGCCTTGAGTTAAACAAGCGCGCAGCGTAGACGGACTAGCGTGTACAGCCGAGGGGATACTCCATGCAGTATCCCAAGTACGTGTAGATTACGCACATAGTGTGGAATTTGACGTACTCCTCGGAGTTCGTTTTGCAATCCATCACGGATTCTTCCGCAAAGCTCCGAGTCAGATAGCAAGAACCTGCATAATGGCCCGGGGCAAGGCTTCAAGCTTATTCCGTACACGCCGCTGCTTTTAATGGAACGCCAGCCTTGGCGAGGGTGAAATGTAACCCCAGCCGCAAGACTGCAGCCTGCTTACACCCTAGGCAGGGGTGGCTTTGGTGTGGAAGCCCATGGAAAACGAAGTTCTCCTGCCCCGTGGGCGCAAGCCACTCTCTGCCTCCTCACTGGGTCACTGCCCCGGTCACTATACCTCGCTAACATTGCTGGAAGCCGAGAGACGGAATTCAAGACAGTGTACGTATGGTACGGCGCAGCTTGAGGAGTGGCGCCACCATGTCACCCCTTAGTCTTGAACATTTCACTCGGAGTAATCCTTCAGCGTCTAGCGAGCTGAATGAGGCAAAGCCCAGGCAGGGCTGTGTTTATGGCTGAAGGATATGGATCGTGGTAGGTAGCTGAGATAGGTGGGCATATAAGTTCAGTTCCCAAGGGTCTGCGTCCATCAATTGTAAGTCTCAGGACGGTAAGCACACGTTGCGCCCCTCGTTACTACTACATTTATACGTTCCAGGTTGTCTTTGTGTCTAGTTCAGTGGAACTAGAAGAATCAATGTACCCGGCTCTCATTGGGTTCCTCCTCTTTGTACAATTCGCCGCAGCGGCGGTGACAGGTCATGCTACCACTTGGGATTCTCGAGCGAGCTGCAGGAACATACCAGGCGACGCACGCTGGCCCACTGCCGAGACCTGGAATCGTCTGAACGACACGGTAGGCGGGATACTAATCGCCACGGTCCCCATCGCCCGAGTGTGCCACGACCCGAGCTACTCTGCCGATGGTTGCGCTCAGGTTACACAACAGTGGAATCTGGCAGGTATCATGTAGGAACTCCGCTTGTTCCGCCGCCAGCCGCTGCCGGCATTGGCGACGCGTCACGCATCGACAGCTTTGCTGACTCAGGGCAGGACGAATCTGCCAGCCGAGATCCTGGCCCCGTGGTTCCAGAATCAGTCCTGCGTACCCTTCACCGAGAGATCCCTGCCGTGTGACCTGGGCAACTATGCAAGCTACTCGATCGACGTCCGCAGTGCCGACGATGTTGCTGCCGGGATTGCGTTTGCGAAGCAGAACAACATCCGACTAGTCGTCAAAAACTCCGGGCACGAGTGCGTAACATGCCCTGACTTGTCGATTATCTGATGAGCCAGACGGCTGACTTGTGCAATAGTTTCTTTGGCAAAAGCACCGGCAAAGGTGCGTTGTCACTGTGGACCCGCAATCTCAAGACCAAGGAGGTGATCCCTCGGTACAAAGCAACGTACTACCGAGGCCCCGCCATCAAGATCGGTGCCGGCGTGAACGGGAAGGAAGCGGCCGAGTTCGCAGGACAGAACGGCTATCGCATTGTCGTAGGCTCCTGTCCGACCGTCGGTCCCGTCGGCGGGTTTACGCAGGGCGGCGGCCACTCGTTTCTGTCGGGCCTCTACGGACTCGGCGCCGACAACGTGCTGGAGTGGGAGGTGGTGACGGCCGCCGGGCAGCATATTGTGGCCACGCCAACGCGGAACTCGGATCTGTACTGGGCACTCAGCGGCGGCGGCGGCGGCACCTACGGTGTCGTACTTTCCATGACGGTGAGAGTGTTCCCGGATGGCGAGATTGCACTTGCTCGCCTGTCCTTCAACACCAGCGTCACGGGCGGCGCCAACAGTTACTGGAAGTCGGTTGGCGTGCTTCTCGCGCAGCTGCAACCCCTGGTCGACGATCACGGCGCTGTCGGGCAGTTGCAGGTCACCAACCAAACCGCGCTTCTCTTTGGGCTGATGGTGCCGGGGGCCGACAAGCAGCAACTGCGCGCATACCTGGCGCCTGTCTTGACCGCCCTTGCACAGGCGAGCCCGGCGCTGACGGCCGAGTCGCTGAGCCTGGAAGTCTACGACGATACGAGCTACGCGGGCCTCTACAGCGCCACGGTCGAGCCCTTCACGGCGGGCATTCTCCTCCCACCCGTCATTGGCGGCCGGTTCGTGTCGCGCAGCAACTGGGCGCGCAACGCGACGGCCGTCACCGAAGCCATCCGCTCCGCCACCGCGGACGGCAACTTCTACGTCGCCATCACCGCGCTCAACACGCAGGGCGCGCAGCGCGCCATCGCGCCCGTGGCTAAGAACTCGGTGCAGCCGGCCTTCCACGACGCCTTCCTCAGCCTGATCGTCACGGCCATCTGGGACTGGCAGCGGCCGTGGGCCGACGCGGCGGCGCTGCAGCGGCAGCTGAACGACGTCATCCGCCCCGTCCTCGAGGAAGCCACGCCAGGAGCGGGCGTGTACAACAACGAGGCCAACTGGCAGCAGCCGGACTGGCAGGCTGCTTTCTACGGCCACAACTATCCGCGGCTCAAGCAGATCAAGAAGCGGTACGATCCGGATGGCGTTTTCTACGGCTTGACCTCGGTTGGTAGCGAGGAGTGGTCTGCCGATGCGGCCGGCCGGTTGTGCAGAGTGGCATAGAGACGCTGATAATGCGCCGAAGCGGCGATGCAGGAACGTGGATGTGCAAGATCCTGCAACCTGCAATGAGGGAAAAGCGTGGGGGGTGTGCGTGCTGACTAAGAGCCCTGTGGGGCAGCGTCCACTGCCCCGCAGTGACGGGCAGGCTGAGTTGGGGTGTGTACTCCCTCTGTATCCGTATTAGTACTCCGACTACCCGCCGTTCTTCTTTGTATTTTCCAATTGGTACTTAAACTTGGATCGGTAGAGCCAAACCTCTTTAAGCCTTTTTTTTTGTATTGGATAATTGAAATCTGTACAACCCCTTAGCTGCTTTAGACAGGCATACAGCAGTAAAAGAACATAGCATCGACACTTGATAGGCTAGCTCAGACAATTGAGATTCGGAAAACCACACCAACAGTCCGAGGGATCAAATCCCAGCCCGCCTTCCCATTTCGGTCTCAATATGCGAGCCTTGAGTGAGCAACTTCCGGTGTGCAGGAAGGTCACACCGTCCACTCACTTTTCCATGGATTGGTGTGCGCGGGCGGCTGGTTTGCGGTGGTTAGTCTTTGCTTGTCAGCCAGCGAGCCTGGCCGAGGGATTGTGGACCGACGTTACGGAGTGCACTTGTTGAGGCTTCAAAATCGCCGAACCGACCAGCCGCTGAGTGCCCCGTCAGCACCACAATCCTGCATCCCACCACACCATGGGTCCTATACTCGCCGGGCCTTAGGATTGGTGGCAAGAAGGTTCGAGAATGGCGGTATCTGCAAGTCGACCCCCTAACCATAAGGTAATGCTTGTTTTCTTGTTCCTGGCTGAAATCACCCCCTGTTAGTCTACATGTATGGAGCCCGGAATATCACCGAGAGTTCCTGTATAAAGGCTTGTTCCATTGTCGTCAGCCCTACCCCAGGAAAGCAGTGAATCCGTAGCGTACGGATCGGCGGTCGAGAAGCTGCCGCTTTACGGGAAAATGGCTTAAGCGAAGTGGTTTGGGCCGACATCAAGGCCTTGGCACGGATGCCTTCGTAACTGATCCAATTCTGCTCGTGAATGGACACACATACGGCAAAGCACATACACACTGCTATCCTTATTGCTTTTTGCCAGCGGCCTGAGAATGTCCTTCCCTCTCTAAAAGGTCCGCCTATGGCTGGTGGTTGACCACTTAAGTGGCATCAGTCAATGCCAGCCCTTTCACAGGTCGCGCAAGGTCCATGCTCAGCTGAACATCATCGTCGAAGATTCGAATGAGAGGGTAGCACAGCAGTGTCACGGTAGGATTCAACATTGAATCCTTCAGCAAGTTTACCCCATCCGGATCTTGGTGTGCGTGTATTTCTATTGGGCCGTCTAACATTCTCAAGGCAATGGGAATCTGGGTAGAAGTTGCTGGAAAGAAATTTGACCGAGGAGACGCTGTGTAACCATAGCTGTCTCTCCTGTCATTGGCTCCTATAACGGTTTGGTGTGGACTTGCCAGGGAGTCGCATCGGGCTTCCGGGATCGCTTGTTCTACATCTGTACAGTACACACAATTAGAAGTAAGGTAGGTTGCATACCCGCCCTGCCGCGTCACCCCTTATCTTGCCGTTTAGATCTCCTGATGCACGCAGATTCCACCGCTTTGCGGTAAATTTCTTGGCATCATCTTTGCTGTCCGCCTCACATATCCTTCCGGGCTTTTGTCGTTTGTCATGGACACAGTGCTCTCGGGCAGCTGAGCAGGTAGATACATGTAGGTGCCTATAAAAATATGAAACAATGGCTGGCTAGCTCTTGTATGTAGTTTACTTGAAAGGAAGCCGTGCCCATGGCAGCCAATCCGTGAGTCGGGGGGCGGAACTTGTTTTGGACTTTTTGTTTTCCTTCTCAGCGATCCCTTCTCACCATGCATAAGGTAGATTGCAACCCTATACGCCCATTCTTTTGGACAGACTTCAAGGCAGATTTGGCCCGGTATGAGCCGGGGAGGTTTGCGTAAGTGCCCAGGAGCCCAGAAGTTCTGGGCAGCCAATGAGTGCCTGGCTCTCATATGCAAGCGAGCGGCGTAGAGGAGAGAAACCTCCGAGAATGCGTGCAAATAAGGTTTGTTAGGACCTTAAAACTGCCGGTGGTTACCTGAGGTGCCTGTGAAGTGCAGCCAAGTCCTCTGCACTCCTCGCGTTTTGATCCCAACTGCGGTTCCCAACATGGATATGGGCGAGGCCGACGAAGTTAAACTCGTAGCAAATCCAAAGCCGCAAATCTCAGAGCGTCGCCGCTTGCAGAACCGCATTGCCCAACGCAAGTTCAGGGGTAAGTGTGCCACCAGACCGTGACAGCCGTCGTCTGGTCCACTTGTTTCCATCTGATCAGACTCTCAGACAAACCCGGCTTGCAGAGAGAAAAGCTCAGAGCAAAAGATTAGAGACCGAATTCGAGTTTGATGTATGGAGCGGCCCCCCTTACAACGCTGCAGACATTGGCTGCCCTTTCGAGCTGGGCAGCACAGAGTGCGCCGCTGACGGCGCCGTAGGTCTCTTCACCGGAGCACCGTGTCCACCACCAGGAACAGAAATCGAGGGGTATACGGCGTACCCGGAGGCACTCGATAGTGCTCAGTACCCGGAATACTGCGCTCTCCCAGTTCCGTTTTCCCCCGATGTAGCGCCCTCCACCATCGCTTCGCCGCCGTCGCTCAACAACAGCAGCTCGACGGTTGCGTCTCTATCCAGCTACCCAACGCCCCCGACGCCCCTAATAGCGAGCGGCGTCCTCACTCCAGTTACCAGCAGCGGCAGCCCCATTCACCCACTGCCGCTGGGCAGCCTCGGTGCGAGCATAACACCAACAACCACACCAACAACACCAATAACACCACCAACCGCAACGAGCACCACGTGCACCCTCCCTCCAACCCCGGTCCTAACACCCAGCCCAGCAGCAGGCTACAACGACCTTAACGCGTCCCTCACCACCACCGCCTCGACCGCCTCTTCCTTCCAACAACCATCATCAACTCTACATACTTCCCAGCCCACCGCTACCACCACCACCACCACCACCACAACCAGCAGCAGCAGCAGCACACCCATCAGCCCTACTACTAGTGTACAAGTACCTCCCCTCCTGCACGTCGCAGCCCGCACCCGCAACCGCAGTATCATGGCGTCGCTCCTCAAGCACGGCGCGCCCCCCGACGAGCGCGACGCCGCGACGGGCCGCACGGCGCTGCACGTGGCGGCCGAGCTGGGCGACGTGGCGCTGGTAACGCTGCTGCTGCGGTACGGCGCCGACGCGCACGCAACCGACGTCGTGGGGGCCACGCCGCTGTTCTTGGCCGTGTCGGCCGGGCAGGGCGAGGTTGTTGAGTTGTTGCTTGAGAGTATGAGGGGGCAAAGGTGACTTGGTGAGTCTTCGTGGTGTTTGCGTTTGATTACGGCAAGGTACTTGTAGTCTTTTTTTTTTATCAGGATCCAGTTTGTGGGTATGTGACGGGGTGGGTGGTGGGAATGGGGAATTTGCAGTGAATATAGATCGATGCTGGTTTTCCTTTCTAGGGTCGAGAGAGATAGGAACGTATGGGTGGAGGTAGATGTACCATACGGTCGGGGCAAGGTTGGGTGATACAATCGAGTTGTTCGAAACTTGAAGGAAGGGCAGGTTTGCTTGATAGGTGTTTAAGATACAACAGGAAGACGTAAAGAGACAATTGATGCAATCTCTGGCTGAGATCAGGTTAAGCACATGTGATGAAAAGCATTACATAGGTACCTATCTAAGGTTCTCAATAGGGACATAATCTAGCATTTAATTGGGGATGGCATCTGACACTACGTGCATCTATCTATATGTGTAAGGTACTGTACCTTGGCGAAGTACAGTAAGCAGTGTGTTTAGGTAAGGTAACGCTCTGATCGGCACTTACCCTAACGATGGTTGCATGCATCTGTGTCGGATGACCAACAGAACGGGGTGATTCATCCATATCTGCATGTGGGCGGCATGGTCTTGTTAGCTGCGCAACACTGAGTAGGAAACGGCAGTCAACGGAACAATGCTGTTGGCTGTTGAAACACGCTTGCAGGGGTTCTGTCACATCACGATTGCATCTGGGATGCAGCGAGTTGCACATTCGATACGCGAGGAGACCTACGATCCGCAGTACCGCTATTACAAGCCAAATGGGGGAACCGAGTGTAGTATTTTCCGCTTCTTATCACTACCCTAAATACTCGCGAAGAAAGCTGATCTGTGCATCGAGCACCTTGATCGAATCCTGTCCACTCAAAATGTTCATGTGCCCCTTGCTGGGCACGCTGAGATGGCGCTTTGGGTCCTTGAAGACGTCGAAGATGAGCGTCTTCTGCAGCTCGGCCGGGGAGACCAAGTCTTTCTCTCCCGTGACCACCATGGCGGGCGTGGGTGAAACATGGGACATCAGGCCGAATGGCTGGAAGGCAGCAATGTGGTAATAGGTGCTGAGCGTTGTCTCGGCCACAAACGTCGGCTGCACCTCGGCCGCGCGCGCGATGATGTTATAGACATCCTCGACGTCGAAGCCGGTGCCGAACCCCGCGGGATGCTCACCGTTCTCGGTCAGCATCGGCAAACGCACCGGATTGTTGCCAGCCAGGCGCGACTCGCGGTCCTTCATGGCCTTGGCGAGCACCTGCTTCCACTTGGTGAATTCCCAGATGGTCAGGGGCGAGACGGCCACGACGGCCTTGGCGCGCTTGTCGAGCGCCGCGGCGCAGAGGGCCACCATGCCACTAAACGAGTAACCCCAGTAGGCAATGCGGGTCGGGTCGACCAGATGGCCCCAGTGCTGCTTCAGGTACGTCAGGGCATCGTGGTAGTCCTCGACGTTGCGTGCCGGGTGGGCCTCGTTTCGGGGCATGCCGTCGCTCTCCCCGATCGATCTCGGGTCGTAGCTCAAGACGGTGAAGCCGGCGCCATGAAAGTACTCGGCCACCTCGGAAATGATCATCTCCTTGACGTTGTTGAACTGCGGCGTGTTAATGGACAGCCGTCGTTATGATACAGTGTAGGTGCTTCAATACCCCAGGAGTCATGATGATGGCCGGCCCTCGCTGAGGAGCGGGGAATAACCACCCGCGGAGTGTTAGTCCGTCGAGCGTCTTGAACTCAACATTTTGGCGGCTCTTCATGGTTGCGGCGTGGTGGGAAACGGCGTTGCTCGGTAAACGGACTTGTCGCGACGAAAGACTTGTCCAGCGGCTGGAATGAGCAGAGGACTGGACGTTGGAGTTGCAGGCAGGCTCAACAACCTCGAGCACAATATTCCCTGCCTTTGTTGCTTCTACATACCAAGGTACTTAGCATGCGTCCGAATGAAAAGCTACTTTGCTTTGAGTGCAGAGTACATAACTGCAAGTCATCCGTCTGCCCGAGATGCGCCTCCTCGTGCTGTGTTTGCTGCAATGATACTTGCTGCAAGTAAGCAAATCATGTTGAGTTTCCCTTCTAGCGACTTCTCGTGGTAAGATTCGAATCAGTCGGGGCACCGAATCAGACCGCCCGTTGCGTCTTGACATTCCTAGGTAGGACAAACATTTTGCCTTTGGGTCACGGTCCAGTCTCCACTGATGACTGAATGCATGCTTACAGGCTTCGGCTTACTCGCCTATGCAACCTAATCGTCCCATGAACACCTTCGGCATTGGGCTGCAGCTTACTGCAAGTGCCAGAAATCCATCAAGTCCTACGTCACTCGCGATCAAGTGGAATGTAATGGTAGATCCGTTGGGTGGGAAGGGCAAACCAAAGGTGAAAAAAGGATGGCAGCGGGCAGCCTACAACATACACAAAAATCGGAGAAAATCCACGACGTAGCACGCAAACAACCACCTGCCTAGTCGCCTCCCAGCCCTTTAGTCTACGTGCCTATGTAGAGCCGCTCGCTCTCTGATTAGCCCCCCTGACGATCTGTCGAGCCCTGCCTCCTTCGCCATTTGAAAGTCATGGCAACTGCCCCCATCGTGTCAAACGGGACTACCCCCGTCATCTCCAACGGGACGAGTCCGGCAGAGTCCGTGTTCACCAGCCACAGCTCCCGCTCCAGCGACGATGGCATTACGCTGGGGCTGCACGGAAATCTGCGCACAGTCAACGCCTCCCACCGCACCCAGGTGCCCATTGCCGTCGTTGGTATGGGATGCCGGCTGCCGGGCCACAGCAACTCGCCCACTGCGCTCTGGGACTTCCTGCAGCGCGGCGGCATCGCCAAGAACGAACCGCCACCGTCGCGCTTCAGTTTGCGCGGCCACTACGACGGGACGCGTCGACCGCGGACGATGAAGTCGCCCGGAGGCATGTTCATCGAGGACATGGACCCGGCCGAGTTTGACGGCCAGTTCTTCAACCTCAGCCGGGCTGACTGCATTGCCATGGACCCGCAGCAGCGTCAAATCCTCGAGGTGACGTACGAGTGCCTAGAGAACGCCGGAATTAGCCTCCAGAAGCTCAGTGGTAGCAAGACGGGTGTCATTGTCGGAACGAATTTCATCGGTATGTTCTCTCCCCCAGTCCCGTCCAGGAAGCTAGCAGCCACCGAAACTGACAATGTGCTGCAATCGAAAAGACTACGGAGCCATCCAGAACCGGGATCCCGAAGACCGGGCCGACTCCATCACCATCGGGCTTGCCTCGTCTATCCTGAGTAACCGGGTCAGCCACTTTCTCAACGTCAACGGGCCAAGGTATGTTGATTACCTCAGATCCGTTACCAGCACTCGTTATTAACATTTGTGCCTAGCATGACCATCGACACAGCCTGCTCGGCAAGTCTGGTCTCGGTCGACGTAGCCTGCCGCTACCTCGACAGCTTCCAGGCTGACGGCATGATCGTAGGCGGTGCCAACCTCTGGCTGACGCCCGAGCACAACGAGGAGGTTGGCATGATGCACATGACACAGTCGGCGTCGGGACGATGCCACAGCTTCGACGCCAAGGCCGACGGGTACGTCAAGGCCGAAGGCATCAACGTCGTGTACCTGAAGCGGCTCGACGACGCCATCCGCGACGGCGACCCGGTGCGAGCCATCATCCGCGGCACCGCCGCCAACGCGTCCGGGCGCACGCCGGGCATCGCCAACCCGAGCCCGGACATGCAGGCATCCGTGACGAGAATGGCCTACAAGAATGCGGGCATCACCGATTTCAGGGCCACTCAGTTCCTCGAGTGCCACGGCACCGGCACCCTGGCCGGCGACCCTGTCGAGGTAAAGGGCGCAGGCGCCGTGTTCGCTGCCGGCCGCGAGCCCGGTCAGGAGCTGGTCATTGGCTCCATCAAGGCCAACATTGGACATTCAGAGGCCGCCGCCGGCATCTCGGGTCTCCTGAAGGCCATCATGGCCGTTGAGCGCGCCATCATCCCAGGAAATCCAACCTTCATCGATCCGAACTCAAAGATCGACTGGAAGGGATCCATGGTCCGGGCCAGCAGAACATCGCTGAAGTGGCCTGGCACCGCCACGGTCCGACGCGCCAGTGTCAACTCGTTCGGCTTCGGCGGAGCCAACGCCCATGCCATTGTGGAGAACGCGCCCGACTCGCACCACCACGTCTCGTCGTACAGACAGGTCACAACCAATTTCTTCGATGACGATGACGACGAGGAAGACAGAGACGGCGGTGGCCCCGCCACGACCGCTGTGCCGCCGACTTTGCTCGTATTCTCGGCCAACACCCAGACATCGCTCAAGAAGTACGTCAAGGCGCTCTCCTCGCACCTGCTCAACCCCATGGTCTCGGTCGAGCTCAACGACCTCGCCTACACGCTGTCGGAGCGGCGAAGCCGTCACTACTACCGCGGTTTCACCGTAACGCGGTCCATTAAGACAGGAATCAGCGACGAGTCCGTCTTGACCGGCAAACAAGCCTCGTCTCCGCCCCGGATCGGCTTCGTCTTCACCGGCCAGGGTGCCCAGTGGCCAAAGATGGGTGCCGAGCTGGTCGAGTCCTTCCCCCGCGCCAAGCGTGTGATCCAGGATCTCGACGAGGTGCTGCAGAGTCTTCCCGAACCACCCAAGTGGACCCTTCTCGAGGAATTGACGGGCGATCGGACGCCTGAAGCCCTGCGTCAGCCCGAGTTCTCGCAGCCTCTCGTGACAGCGCTACAACTCGCTCTCCTCGACGTCCTGGACAGCTGGGGCATCCGGCCGCGGGCTGTCGTCGGCCACTCGTCTGGCGAGATCGCTGCGGCTGCCGCCGCCGGGTTACTCAGCTACGCCGACGCCATCAAGACGGCCTACTACCGCGGCCAAGCGGCCAAGAAGGTTGGCACGCCCGCCGAGCCCGTGGGCATGCTGGCGGTCGGCGTCGGAGCAGATGTTGTGCAGCCGTTCCTGCGCCCCGAGGAGGGTAAAGTGCAGATCGCATGCTACAACAGCCCCAACAGCCTGACAATGTCCGGCACCGTATCGGCGCTCGAGAAGCTGCGCGCACGCCTCCAGGAGGCCGGTCACTTCGCCCGCATGCTGCTCGTCGATCTGGCCTACCACTCAGATTACATGGCGGAGATCGGAGAGGTGTATGAGCAGATGCTGCTGGCAGATGACACCATCTTCCAGAGCCAGAGCAACGGCAAACTGCTCGGCAGCGAGTCGGGCGTCCGCATGTTCAGCTCTGTGACCGGCGGGGTGTTGGCTCCGGGGGACAAGCCGGGTGCCGCCTATTGGAAGAGGAACATGGTCTCGCCGGTCAGGTTCGCCGACGCGGCGGCGGAGCTGCTCCGCGACACGGAGTTAGGGGCTAACTTCTTGATCGAGCTTGGCCCGAGCAACGCCCTGGCCGGACCCCTTGGGCAGATCAAGAAAGGTCTCGGAACAGGGCCTGGCGCTGACGCCCAATACACGTCAGCACTGAAGCGGGGCGCTGACTCGACCATGGCCATGTACAACGCGGCGGGACAACTGTTCCTCGCCGGCGAATCGGTCGACTTGGCCACGGTCAACCGCGTAAACCAGCACAACGCCAAGGTCATTGTGGACCTGCCCAACTACGTCTGGGATCACTCAGTCAAGTACTGGCACGAGACACGAACCAGCTCGGACTGGCGGTTCAAGAAGTTTGTCAACCACGATCTCCTCGGCTCCAAGATGAACGGCACCTCGTGGCAGGCACCGACTTTCAAGAAGGTGTTGAAGGTTGCCGACGTGCCGTGGTTACGCGATCACCGGCTGGGCAGCGACATAGTCTTCCCGGCGGCGGCATACGTCGCCATGGCAGTCGAAGCCATGTATCAGACCGCCATGATAACGCAATGGAACGAGCAGCCCCCCGCCCGCTACCGCTTCCTGCTGCGCGACGTGAAGCTCCTCCGGGCTCTGGTATTGGACGAGGCAGCCGAGACGCGCCTGACTCTCGCCCTTAGTCCCATCAAGGGCGGCTCAACACGGTCCTGGTACGAATTCCGCGTCTCCTCGCAACAAGACGGGCTCGCAGCCGACCCCGTGCACAGTACCGGGCGGGTGTGCGTCGAGACGGACTACGAGATGCTGAACGCGACTCCCGAGCAGGTGGCACCGCTGCAGCTCGCTACAACGGCGCGCACCTGGTACAAGGCGTTGGCAGACCTGGGCTACAAGTTCGGGCCGAGCTTCCAGAAGCACCTGATGGTCGAGACAACCATCGGTCAGCGCCACAGCCGCTCGACCATCAACCTCGAGCCACCCGCCTCGCACCCCAACGGGCAGTCGTACTACCCACTGCACCCCGCCGTGATGGACTCGTGCTTCCAGGCCGCATCGCCGGCGCTCTGGGAGGGTGATCTGCCGACATCTGGAGCGGCGGTGCTCGTGCCGAAATTGATTGACACCATTGTTGTCGAAGGCGGACGCGAGCTCCCAGTCGAGGGAATTGCGCTGGCGTCGGCGACGTACCTGGGCGTCGGCAACGCCGAGAACCCGCGAAACTACTCGACCAACGTACGCCTGTATGATCCCCGGGACGGTGCGTTCCTGTTTGAGATGCGTGGTCTATCCTCGGGGGAGATGCAGACCACCGATCAGGAGAAGATCAGCCACACGTTCACGCACGTTGCTTGGAACGCTGATGTTGATATGTTGATGTCTGTGGACGACACCGCGGCTAGCCAGTGGCTCAAGACGAAGACAATCGACGATGCGATTGACATGGTGGCGCACAAGAAGCCCGGCCTGTGCGTGCTGGAGCTCAACCTGGACGCCCTCGATGCGTCAAGCTTGTGGATGTCGGATGCCGATATCGAGACTAGCAATCCCATCCGGGCGGCTTGCTCAGAATATCACCTTGCCGTTCGGGAAGCAAAGGTCCTCATCCAAGTGCAGGAACGGCTGGCGTCGCGCTGCACGGCTGCTTCGTTCCACCTCCTCGACGCCTCGAACCCAGCGTCTGCTGCTTCCGGTACCAAGTTTGACTTGATTATCGTTAAGGCTGGCTCTGAATCAAACCTAGATGAGCTCACTCTGGTAAAGAGCCTCGCGGAGTCGGTGCGCGAAGGAGGCTTCATTGTAGCCAGCGGGCTGGACGCAAGCACGCTGAGCCGTTTGGGCAAGACGTTTGCCCTTGGCGAGAATGTCTGCATGTGTCGGGCCAAGGTCGACAAGCAGCAGTATGAGAAGCGTCCCAAGGTCGCCCATGTGAGCTTGCTCGGAGAGAGACCGTCCGAGCTGGTGGGCGTCCTCGACGCTCTCGCTGCGAAAGGGTGGACTTTCCAAAACTGCGCCAACTCGGAGGAGATCACCTCCAACGATGCCGTCGTTGTCGTGCTGGACGAGCTGTTTGCCTCTCTCATGGACACGCTCAGCGAACAGCAGTGGTCCGTCCTGAAGCACATTGTCCGCCAGCGATGCCGCCTCCTCTGGGTAACAGCGGGCGCGCAGCTCGGGGTGGAGCACCCGACCCGGGCCGCAATCGTCGGGTTGTTCCGCACAATTCGTGCCGAGGAGCACCTCCATCTTGCAACGCTCGACGTGACCACCGCCTCGGGCGCCGCGACCACTGCGGCCATTTCAGCCTGTCTCGAGCAGCTGTGCGCGGCCACCGACGGCGCGGAGCCGACTGATTATGAGTTTGTTGAGCGTGATGGCATCGTCCACGTCGGGCGTGTGGTGCCAGATGCCGGCCTGACAATGCTACAGAGCGACGACATGGCCTCGCGCCCGACAGAGACGACGGACCTCCATGCTCGCGATACGCTTGTGCAACTGCGCTGCGAACGACTGGGCAACCTTGATGCGGTGCAGTTTTGCGAGACAGAGGCTGAGCAAGGCCGGCTCGGCCATGGCATGGTCGAGATCGAGGTACACGCGGCTGGTTTGAACTACAAAGATGTAGTGGTTACCATGGGCATCGTGCCGGGAGATGAGACGGCCTTGGGTCATGAGGCGGCCGGTATCGTCAGGCGTGTGGGAGAGGGTGTGACTGAGTATGCCGTTGGGGACCGGGTTGTCGTGTTTGGCAAGGGCTGCTTCGCGAACCGGGTACGCACGACGCCGGCTCGCATCCACCGTATCCCTGACAATATGACCTTTGAGGAGGCCGCCACCATGTCGGTGGTGTACTTGACAAGCATTTACTCGCTCTTCGACCAGGGAAACCTCTCGGCCGGTAAACGCGTCCTAATTCACTCGGCAGCCGGCGGCGTGGGCATTGCAGCAATCCAGCTTGCAAGGTACGCTGGCGCTGAGGTGTTTGCAACGGTCGGGACGCCTGAGAAGAGGGAGTTCTTAAGGTCAACGTTCGGTCTGCCCGACGACCGCATCTTCAATTCGCGAAACACGGATTTTGGCGGAAAAATCTTGGCCGCTACAGAGGGCAAGGGCGTGGATGTGGTGCTCAACTCGCTCACTGGGGACATGCTCGACGAGTCGTTCCGCATCTTGAGTGACGGAGGCATCATGGTGGAGATCGGAAAGAGAGACATCCTTGATGGTAACAATCTTGCCATGGCGCCGTTCGACCGCAACATCTCGTTCCGGGCCGTCGACCTGTCCCCAGAGCGGGCGTCCGATGAACTCGTTGCCCGCCTCTTTTCGAAACTATTTGCACTTCTGGAGGGCGGGCACATCAAGCCCATCAATCCCATCCACCGCTTCTCTTGGGCGGAAATTCCGGCCGCCATCCGGTTCTTGCGTGCGGGCAAGCATACGGGCAAGATTGTCTTGTCGGATGGTGGGCTTGATGCAAAAGTCGAGGTTCCGGTAAGACCATCCCTACGGTGTTGTCCCTAGCTTGTTGGACGGACGGTCTAACACCAAGGTGCAGGTACGGAAAGCTCCCAATCAACTCAAGCTCAGGAAAGACGGCTGCTACTTGATTGTCGGCGGACTCCGCGGTCTCTGCGGCTCACTGGCCGTGTACCTTGCAAAATCAGGCGCCAAGCACCTCGCCGTCATGTCCCGCAGCGGCTATGCCGACGAGAGATCGCGCGGCATCATCAAGCAGATCAGAGCTCTCGGGGCACAGATCGACCTCTTGACTGCCGACGTGACTGATGCTACCCAAGTTGAGAGGGCTTTCCACGAGACAACTGTACCGGTGGCTGGAATTATCCAGGGCGCCATGGTTCTCCGAGTAAGTCCGTTCTGTGCATGTCGACAGCTCTCAGAGGCCAGCTAACCAGGCAGTACAGGATCGACCGTTTGATTCGATGACGCTTGCCGAGTACCATGACGCGATCCGGTGCAAGATCCAAGGTACTTGGAACCTGCACCAGGCCGCCGAGGCCCTCCATCTCAAGCTTGACTTCTTCACCCTCCTGTCAAGCATCTCGGGCATTGTGGGCAACCGTGGCCAATCGAACTACGCGGCTGCCAACGTCTTCCTCGACGCATTCGCCGCTTACCGTCGCGCACGCGGCCAGGTGGCCAACTCTGTGAATCTGGGCGTGATTGAAGACGCCGGCGTGATCGCCGAGAACGCCAAGCTGCACGAGCAGTTCGATCCTCGTGTGTTCAGGGGCATCAACGATGGCCTGCTGCGCAAGATCCTGTACTTGTCCCTGATCCAGCAGCAGGACGGCGCACAGCCTCCTAGCCCTGCCGCTGCCGCGCAGATGATCACGGGTCTCATCGCCACGCAACCGGCCGACTCCCTTCTTCGGCGCGACGCCCGCTTTGCCGCTCTGTTCTCCAAGCAGGGCGGGCAGGGAGGCAACGCGAGCGGCAGGGCGGGCAGCGGCAGCGGCAGTGGGGCCGACGCGGAAGTGAAGGCGCTCCTGGTGCTACTGCGGAGTAAGACGGCCGATCCGACGGCGCGGCTCAAGGCCACGGTCGACGTCGTCAACGGGTGCTTCGTACGCATGTTGCGGCTAGCCGAGCCGATGGACCCGGCGAGGCCACTGTCGGTCTACGGCATTGACTCGCTCGCTGCCGTTGAGGTCCGCAACTGGGTGCGGGCTGAACTTGGTGCATTGGTTACGACGCTGGATATCATGAATGCGGCATCGTTGACGGCCTTTTGCGAGAAGGTTGTTGCGAAAATTGCTGCTGCAGCCGAGGACTGAGGGGCATTTTGATAGCTCGGTTGGTTAATTCGGTCAAGTTCAAGGCTCTGTCGCGCTGGTGACAGGGAAGTGGCCTTGTGTTTGGTGATCGTGGTCGCAATGTCGCATGTCACGATGGGTGTGTCAATTTGTTGCATGTTGAATGGTATTAAAACAGCAAATGTCTAGTATGATAGGATGATGCTCTGGTGGGTAAATAAAGCCTTGAACGATCAGTTACAATTTTATACATTGCCCCGGTGGAACGCCGGAAGTATAAACATGTGTCTATTGCTGGGTGAGATAGAGATGTAACTGTGTTGTTCCATTGTGAGCAATCTGGTGGACAAGTTGCGCACAGACTTTTGCAGCGGGGTTGTGTGAACTCTGCACACCACTGCACTCGAGCAGCTGAATCAGTAGTCCCTGACGGAGGCTGAAGTGGATCCACCCAGAAATGGTTCGTTCAGAGCTGAACTTCGCTCAAGCTCCCACAACCTGGAAGCGAAGCGGCGAGCATTTGGTTACGTTCCGCATCTCTACAAAGCTGTGAGGAAGAGAAAGCTTTCTTTCAAATGATTGTAACAGTATAAAAATACGCGGAAGTCGTTTAGTATTAATCCAAATTATTAGCAGTGGTGATACTGGTGTTCTTCCAAGAGGCCCTATGCTCCTCAGTTGCTCCATATCCTTGCACATCAACAGCCAAAACAAACAGGAGCAGAACTCCCGCAGACGTCATCCGGGCAAGCTTTCTCGTTTGAACAGCGCGCCGCACCAGGAAGGCGAAGTGGCCATTTTACGGACCGTTTTCTCCCCCGCCCGACGGCACGTCCAGTGGTCAACATTATAAGGTCACGGTATTCTTTACAGCCATGGCACCTGCCCCGCGCTTGATCATGTTTCACGGTTGCACCTGACTGTCCATCGTGGCACCCCTTCGAACGAAGTCCGCAACTTGCAAACCCCATTTTGTCTGGATTCAAAGTTCCCATCCACACGGTAAGACAACCGACTCGTCACCACTTCTCGAACACCATCATCAGTGCACCATCAGAGGCTCATATGCTTCATCCGCGGGTCACACTGTCGCGTTTCTCGTAAGTTGGATAAATCTTACACATAGGCGGAAGTCTCCCAGGACTGATGTGTAGAACAGCACAGCTTTCGCACCCCTCCCTGCAAGGCGGCAAAGCAGTACGGATTAGTTAGCGCGGCCTTCGCGAACCCCGCCCCCGAACGCGACGATTGCCCCACGCTTTTGTCAAAGTTACGTCTTGGCTAGCCATCCAGCGACTGAGCATTTGAGATACGCACGACGCACCCAGCTGTGCCAAACCGCCCAGGCTTCCCTCTGCTTGGCCAAGCCACAACACGCCCAACCAGCCCCAAAGCGTGTCATTACGGTGTACTTGACTGCCTTTGTCGCCTTAATTGCAGGCCAAGCCTGTTACCGACTTGTGTTTCGGCCACTGGGCAAACAGAGCAGCAAACCCACGACTAAGCTTTTGTGAGGATCCCGCCATAAAGACATAAACGGTTTGCTGCCTTTATCAGGCACCCGACCCTCGCCACAAAAGCGGCTCTCTTTTCTATCCTCAAAAAACTGCCGCATCCTTTGTGCCTCCTACCTCACTCTAATACTATCTTCGATCTCCTCCGTATTTCCCATCTAACCTAATTGTATCCGACTACAGAACATCATCGCCATCCACACCAACACCATGTCTTCATTCGACAGCTCGACTCCGAACCGAACACCACAGCCTTGCACCCTTGTGCGGAACGTCCACATTCCGGACTCAGACGCCGAGGAGATGGACTTGGCCAGCCAGCCTTGGGCGCTGGCTATAGTGATCGAAGACGACGATCTGATGTTTGGGGGCAAGCCGCTATGCGCATGGTACGAAGAGGACAAGAGGATGTTGAGCACCTGCATTGCGGAGGAGGAGAACAGGGGCCGGCAACGCCAGCGAGTCTGCGTCGAGAACCACCGTAGCCACAAGGATCAGCATCAACGGCAAACCCCAAAACCAGCATCAACACACGCATCATCGGAATCACGGCAATAACCCAGCGAGAAAGGATTTTGAGATACCTCAATCCTTCTTCGTCCTGTCTTCGGCAGAGTAAGGCAATGCTCACATGCTGCGCTAGCCACCTGATATTGGGAAGCAGGACGACTGACTGATGTAAGCTGCTGCCACCCGATGAGGGATTATTGAACACCCCCTTGGCACACCAGCTTGCCATCTACCAGCCAGCAAGACGTCCAACCATTACCCGTGACCTATTGCGACTGGTACCGGAAACAAGTTTTGCGGGGTATCCTCGTTCACATCCCCCTGAGAGCATTGCTTTGATCGAGCTCTTCTCCTTTTGGGCACCATGACCGCGCATGCTGGGACGCCTTACGACCCGGCGATCGTCCCAGAACGGATCATGGCCGGGCATCAAGACATCTAAGCATCGTACATATCTCCCCCGGGCCTCTTTCATTTGGCATCCGCCAAGAATATGGCACTAGCATTGGCTCTCTCTGTTTATTTGACTACCTACCACGGCGGGCAGCATTTGCTGCATCATCACCTTGGTTTCCTTCCCAACTAATTGTCTTGGGTCCTTATTTTCTTGAAGCATGTTCGCGGGCATTTTTTATGGTCATCAGAGGTCGAAGCTGGACATGCGGCCTGCGGGGACTACTAGATGCGTTCATCTCGAGAATGATTTGCTCACATTGGGGTGGCTGACCCGGTTCTGGGTGGTATTGAGCTTGACACGAAGGTAACTGGGAGGAAGGCTAGGAAATGGAATAGCATTTCAACGCTAGATTGAAAGGTGTCGAGATGGCAGGCGTGCGTTGCTCTCAAGGTGGTAGGAGACTGCTCCCCAACTCCCACACGGCGATAGTACTGCGTCAACCTGCAACTACGGCACCAAGGCAACGAGCTTGCCCACTCCGTGATTCTTCGCGGCCAGGGCAAATGCCTCATTCACGTCCTCGAGTTTGAACCTTCCCACAACCTCATTTCCGCCGTCCTCCCCAAGCCTCAACACGCCGGCCTCGGCCATCTTAATCATCAACCTCGCGTCCTCGCGCTCGTACATGAACTGGCCCCTCACAGTCAGGGAATTCCACGTCAGCAGCGGGTACTGAACTGCAACGTCCTGCCCGATGATGTTCATCACACACGCGCGACCATACTTCCTCAGCGCAGCGAAGCAGCTCCTCAAATGCGTCGAGTTGCTTGCCTCGGGCGGCGAGAGATCGACATAGGCGTCCACCGGCCCAAACTGCTTGAGCGATACCGTGTCCTTCTCAACATCTCCTGTGACTTGTACAATCTGCACCCGACCCGGCGGGAACAGGCCCTGCAGCTTCAGCAGCGACTCCCGGCTGCGCCCAACGGCAACGACCTGCGCACCGATCGCAAGAGCGACCTGCACCGCCGCGCCGCTGAACCCGCCCGTGGCGGGCGCAACAATGACGCGCTCACCGGGCTTGACGTCGATGGCGCGGAGCCCGCCCATCGCGACAAGCAGCGTCGGCAAATGCAGGAGATTCTCGACGGCATACCCCAGCCCGCCCTCGGCTGGCGAGCCGCACAGCCGCGCCTCGTCGAGCGGGTACACGTTCTCGAGCGGCGCGCGCGCATACTCGGCCATGCAGCCCCACGCCCAGTTGTCGGCCATGAAGCGCAGGCTCTGCGGCGTCAGGCCGGCTGTGAGGCCCCAGAGAATCTGCTCCTCGTTGGGGTCGTCGCGCGGCCGGATGAAGCCCTCGAGCATGACGAGCTGGCCCGGCCGGAGGACGGTCGCGTCCGGACCGGTGGTGACGACGCGGCCGATGGCGTGCGCAGCGGGGACGAAGTTGGCTGGGAAGGTGTAGCCGGGGACGCCCTTGAGGATGTGTGGGGTGTTGGCGTCGGCTTCGACGGCGAGGATCTTGACGATGCAGCTTCCGGGGGTTGCCGAGGGGGTAGGGACAGTCTTGAGTTGTAATGGCTGGCTCGGGGAGTCGACCATCAGGGCCTTCATGGTTGCTGGGAGGGTTGTTGAGGACATGATGGGGTTCGGTTGGGAAGTTTGGCTAATCGAGCTGGCTAAAAGGCGGTCCGAGGACTGTATTGAGCTTTAATGATTCCCAGGGCCCCAGGGGCATACAAGATCAGTATCTTTATAGGCGGTCCTCGAGGCTCTCGCCGAACGTCTCCGGTTAACACCATCCTGACATCGGAGTTAAACGGACATGACTCTTGCTCAGCCCGACGATCAGCCCCTGCAGCAACGTAGCAATGCAAAACCATCGGGCGTTATACCAGAGAGCTAGAGGAGCCAGCCAGGTTCCATTCGGTTAATGGTTCTCGAGCTGTGACTCTTCCGTTTCTTCTGTCGAGACTTTCAAAGATCCCTTCCAAGTTGAGGATTGATAAGCATCATAAGCTCGGGCGAAAACAAGCCCGATATACCTCGTTTTGCTCAGGTAGGAGGCTTGTTGGCATAAAAGCCATCCGTTTGTCTGTGCTGCTGCGTCGGCACTCATCCACGGGGACCTTGAGCAACAATACCGTAGCATGGTGTACACCGCAATGCTAGTGCTGTCCATACCTTCATGTTATTGAGGATGCCTTCTACAGTACAACCTGGAGACCAGTTTGAGTACCCGCCGCCAGCAATGCCTCCTTTTTCGAGACTCATGCATTGAGTTATAGGCGTGTCGTGGAATCCGAGTTTCTGGTCATGGACGTAGCAGACGATTATGGGCTACCGCAGAACGTCTGCTAACAGACCTCTTGGGGGCCGGAGAGCCGGGTGCTCCGTGGCCACAGTTGTTCACTCTATGCCCGTTCAATTCCATTGTTCATTCTTTTGGCATTCTGCCCCCTGAGGTGCTACCGCTCTCGTCGTCACCCTATTCAGATGTATGTAAACACGTGTGCATTCATGTTCCAATAGGCACGCGGGTCCGGGCCTTCACGTCTGCGGACAGCTTTTCTAAGGGTATAGCCACTCCCCCAAACCAAGATGTGGTCTGGCGGGTTCATGTTGAGGAATGCTGTGTTATTTCAGGTTGGGGATAAGGACGGCAAGGGTGACGTCTTTCCATGCTATGCGATCGATGATATTGACTAAACAGTCCTGGTTGGCGTCGCATGCTTGTATTAAGTTGAGTAGCGAGACAGGTTAGCCGAGTTTTGGTTATGTTGGAGCAATAGGTTCTTTGGAGGAAGTATTCAACAATCACTGACTGGTGGCACTGAGCTCACAAAGGTCTCCAAACCTCGTCTCTTTTTTCAAGTTGTAAGTGATCGTAACAGGGCCCATGCCACCTGTACGACCTACACATCTGTGGCTTCTCATTCTGTAGAGACGCTGGCGATTTTGAAGAGAAAGATCAAGAGTCTTGTGGTTGGAAACTCGTGTGTGATTATGCCCGGATGCATGTGATCACCGCTAGCTTAATGTTCCCGGCATCAACCATCACAATCGCCTTGGTCCGTTACAATACACAGCCTATTAAAAGCCAAACCATCCGATTGATGAAGCTCCATGTTTCGAATTAAGCTCAAGACAGGAGAGGCAAGCAACTTCTTGCTCATTGGAGCCACGTACTGGAGTATGGCTCACTTCCCTCATGCCTACAAGGTGTTGTCGAAGACTGGAGCGGAGGAATGCGGAGAAACGTGGAAAAACAAAACCTGGAAGCTCTGTAGGGGTGTTTCTAATGTTGATATTTAAAGTCCGAGGATGCCAAAAAGCTCAAGGACACCAATGTTGAGCAGGTTGCTTCCCCCTGGGACAGTGACTCCATCCTGCTGAAGGCTTTCGGTACCCAAGATCCGAAGAACAATAAAGCGCTCAACTCCTCAACGTCCTTTGCGTCGGCTGCGGTGTCTTGGGCCACACCAAGCTGGCCGGCCGGGCCACGTGGACGCCCCTCGGCGGCTTTCTGGAGGGCGTGATCGAGGTCAACACTGACGTGCAGTTTTTCTTGAAGATGGGTATGGACGCGCAGATGAAGTACAAGCAAGAGTTCAAGTCGGATCTCTTCAACGTCGGCCTGCCCGGGCTGAGCTACGGCGTCGTCACCATCGGACCGTGCATCGCGGTGGGCACGCGCGTCACCCTGGAGGCCGAGGCCAAGGACAAAATCCTCGGGGGTGCTGAGATGGGTCTGCAGAACGTGCACGTCAAAATCGATTTTATCAACCCCATGCATGGCGCCAATGACTGTTGGGACCCGTACTTCAAGCCCATGTTCAAGGTCGAGGGCGAGCTCATGCTTGCCGCCGCGCTGGGCTTGCCCATTGGGCTCAAGTGTGGCTTGCAAATCTCGACGTGGGACAAGTCTGCCGGTATCATTGACGAGCCTTCTATCAAAGGCGCGCGCAGGTCGCCACAGCAGTTGGCCTGACAGAAAGCAATACCTTCTCGGCCGGGTTCAAGAACAAGAGTGGATGTTAGAATAGCAACCCAGCTCAGTTGGTGCAACGAGCTGTACCTGGACATCTCTGGGACCCAACAGATTCCTTTGCTGGACACAAACGACGAGAGGCCGACCCGCGGCTGCATTCCGTGAGTACTCCCTGTCTCTTGTTTGTTGCTCTGTGGACTATGCCGACATTATGGACATACAGCCTGCGCGCAGCCTCGGAACTTCTGGCGCGTCCCCAGCATCTGATACCCCGACACCGTCCGAGTCGTCTGACTCTGTTTCCTCGGGTTCTTCTGGGTCTGGTTCATCCGCCTGTTGGGGATCTGGCTCGTCTGGTTCTGGCTCCTCTGGTGCAGACTCATCTGAGTCTTCGGATTCTAGCGCATCTCAGTCGTCTGACTCTGGTCCCTCGGCGTCTGGCTCATCGGACTCATCTGGCGGCTTCTCCGAGTCCGACTCCTCTTCTGACTCAGCATCGTACGTCGAGTCGCGTTCTCGTCAGCAACCTCGACCGCCTCTACCTCAACAAACGTCGCTTGCAGCGCCCCATCCTCGCCCCCCACGGGATCCAGATCGAATCAGTCCGTTGTCGACATCACCTCCAAGATCAAAGCCTCCAACAATCCTCGGTCCTCGACTATGCCACCCAACCCCTGCCCAACCGTCCGTACAATGACACCAACGGTTACGAGTACTCGCCTCGTCGGTCCGGACGCCACCATGATGGTCGTGTCCTGTTCCAACGGCAACCTGTACCCCTTCCCCATCAACGGCAGCGACAACGCGGCCTGCTCCGAGATGTGGGCGTCGCACAGCGACATACTCGTGGCCGACGGCTCGCAGCGGCTGGCGCACTATTACAACAACACCATGAGCGCGCCGGGAGTGTCGCGCCTGCGCGTCGAGGACGAGGCCGACATCCCCATGGGCGGCGTCGTGGTCGGGTTTGCGCCCTACAGCTACGACGGCAGTCATGAGGATGACAGCTACTTCTATCTTGCCGTCGACCCGCACGACGACGTATTTTATCCCACGGCGTCCAGGTACGAGGAACCGAGCCTCGGGGCCAGATATCTTCTTGGCCAGGGATCCGGACGAAGGCGCGGCGGTGCTGAAGAGCGCGGACGTGCAGTATCAGTCACGGGCGGCAAGGTTACGGGCTGCTCCCCGCTCATGCTGATGCAGGGCAAGTACGATGATTTGGATAACTATCTCAGCTACACCGAGGCGCGGGATAGTACGCCTTGGGACCTTGAAAATGGATAATTGGTAAGAGTAATCGTTTGACGTACCCGCGCGGCAATGAATCTGTGGTTTGATGTGGGGTAAGAGTACTAGGACAGGTCCAGCGTCGCAGCCACCTTCAATCGTCGACAAAGCACAACTCAGCATGGTAGATGAATGCTCGCAAGTTTGCGACCACGATTGCGCGGAGTGCGCAAGCGATGTCGTCAACCTTTTTGGGAAGAACTGGCTAAGCGCGGAAAAAGATTCATCATCAAATATCATGCGCTGGATGCGCTGGAGCGCCTCATCCCCTTCCACCGATATCTCTACGGTACCTCAGAACGAGATCCAGAGACTGGTAAAATCCCTCCACTACTACACAAGATAGGGGCTGAATGGTACCTTCGAGATGATAAGCTCTTATGATGGATACACCATCTTCGCCACCGGCAACTTCAGAACATGCTTCGGTTTCCGTAGGGCTAACGTCTCTGTTGGTGATGATGCTTACATGTTCGCCGGATCGTTGGTGCCATTTGTCCTCCGCAGGCTTGGCGAGTATCCTCCTCTTGTCGACTTCGCGGATATCCACGGGTTCTCCAACCTTAAATGGGCATCACTGAAGCCAGATGCGGAGGTGGAAGTTGTAACGTTACGTCTTCAGTAAATAAACATCAAGGTACACTAACGTTACCTTACTTATCTGTCTAAATGATGTAGTCTGGATGTCTTTTAACTGGGAACTTCTAAAATGTCATCGACGTACAGAACCTGACCAGTAGCAATCGACTTGTTAGCAGCAATGCCCGTCAATATCGACGCTGCTCCGTCAATGTGGCTCGCAGCCCGCATGTACTCGTCCGTCACTGGCTCCCCAAACAGGTCCTGCAGCAACACATTATCTCCTCCGCCGTGAGCCCCCTTGCTCGCCTCGATCTCGATCTCTCGCGGCGGTTCAAACAGCGGCCGCAGCAGGATCGACCTCCGCTCAATTGATCCCTCCAGCGACTGATCACCACCCGAATTGACATAGCTGTTCTCGACAACCTCCGTCTCTAACCTCCCGCCAGTGCCGTTGAAGTTGACCCTGAATCCCTCCCACGGCGCATACGCCGTCAGCGAGTAGGTCATGACGGCCCCGTTGCGGTACCGCACCAGCACGTTCATGGTATCCTCGATGCTAATGCCGTCCCCAAAGACGCTCTGGTCGCGGTAATACCCGTCTTCATGCTCGGCATCAAGATACAGCGCCTTCAGCGTCGGAATGCTCTCGAGGTGCAACGCAAAGGGATCCTTCTTGGCGACCTCACTGCCCCAGGCACGGTTATAAAACCCGGTAACCCCCTTCTTCTCGGCGTTCTCTCTGCCGTAGAACGTGAGGTCTCCCTGAGCATACACCGACAGCGGGCGCGTCTGCAGCCAGAAGTTGACTAGGTCGAAGTGGTGCGTCGACTTGTGCACCAGCAGGCCGCCGCTGTTGCGCTTGTCGCGGTGCCACCGCCGGAAATAGTCGGCGCCGTGAGACGTGTTGAGCATCCACTCAAAGTGCACTGACGTGACGGCGCCGATGGCGCCGGCCCGGAGCAGCTCAAACACCTTGGTGTTGTGCGGCGCGTACCGGTAATTGAAGGTCACGCGGACGGCGCGCCCCGTGCGGTCGACGGCCGAGAAGATGTCCAAACACCGGGCCGCGTCGATGGTCATGGGCTTTTCCGTCACCACGTTGCAGCCCAGCTCGAGGGCGCGCACGATGTAGGTGTGGTGGGTGCGGTCGATGGTCGTGACGATGACCTCGTCGGGCTCGGTGTCGGCGATCATCTTGTCAAAGTTGTCGGCGAGGAAGGTCGGCACGGCGCCGTGGCCGAGGGCGGTCAGCCGGCTGTTGGCGTAGTCCATGCGGGTCTGGTTGGTGTCGCAGAGGGCCACGATGCACGACGTGGCGTGGTAGTCGGTCGCAATGGCTGTGTAGAAGAAGCTCGACCGGCCACCGGTGCCCACAAAGGCGTAACGTTTTTTGGTAGCCATGGTTTTGGCTGGACCGTCTTGATGCAGCAGGAGGGAAGAACAGCTGAAACAACGAGAAAAACGCGGGCTTATGGGCAGATCATGAAGACGGTGGTCTCACGGTGCTGCCCACAACTAAATACCTACCTCCTGGGCTTTCCTTAGGAGCCCACGCAAGTACCTAGTCGATGAAGAAAGAAGCATGATGGAGTCGTCGGGCCTGACATAGCCAGCGGCGAGTGGCACGGCTTCAAATTTGTCTCGGACAGGACGCTGATCTCGGCCGAAGATGTCCCATCGCCCGACACTTTAAGAGCCGATGATGGCATGGTACAGCAACCTTCTGCACCTCCAACATGCGGGGAGGTGCCGATCTTGCGGGGGCGAGATAAGAGATACTGCCGGGGAATGGCATCCAGGTCAGGGGACTACATGTATCTTACATGTATCCAGAAGCTCCACAAGTGATGCTTCTTCAAACTCCGCGTTGGTGCTGCCTCCTTCGTCCCCAACGGCTGTATCAAAAAGGGCCGGGTGATAACATCCGAGAGAAGTTAGAGGGCATCTGAGACTTCGTCAAGATGCTTCCTTCGCCCATTCAGCCTGAATCAAAACCGCCCAATCACCGCACTTGCAACGACATGGGAACTGCCAACGGCCTCCCCCGTCACGCGGTTGTCGTCTTACGGGATGACATATGAGTACAGCCCGATATTCATTGCATCCGGGCGGGGATTGCACCTCGGGAGTGTCTTGTCGGCAGCTGCTATGGATCTCCTACGTGAACGGCTAGCCATGGCAAGTTGTTACTGTCTCGGCCTAATGACAGGCGATCTACGTGTTTGCAGCAGCTTCACTTGTCATGGCGGTAGTTTCCTTCTTCGACTCTTAAGAGAATGATATCTGGGATCCACCTCCGTGGTCCCTGTCAATTGTAAACAGACATCGGTCTACCACGTCATTTACCTTGTTAGCTATCAACAGCTTCTCTGGAACGGTTCAAGATGGCTTTTGACAAGCAATCGCAGCCAGCATCAAGGACTGACGAGATCACCACCGCCCCTAATCCCAACACTGCGCCGAGGAACGGACTTCGCGATAAAGCCACAGAGTTCCTCGAAACCCACGGCGCAGGAGATAACTCGTTCACCTACGAAGACGAACGCGCTGTGCTCCGCCGAATTGACTTCCGTCTCCTGCCTCTCCTCCTGGGAGCCTATTTCTTTCAGCAGCTCGACAAGAGCTCCCTCAGGTATGTACATTACAATCATCCGCCACCTCCTCCCACAGACTCTTACCCGGATTATCGGATACTCCCAAGCTATGTCTCCATCTTCGGCATCTCCAAAGACGCGCACCTCGTCGGCAAGCAGTACTCGTGGCTCGGCTCAATCCTCTACCTCGCGCAGCTCGTCATGCAGCCGCTGGCCGCCTACCTCCTGGTCAAGCTCCCGACGGGCAAGGTCATTGGCGCCGCCATCGTTTTCTGGGGCTCGTCGCTCGCCATCATGTCGGCCTGCACCACCTTCCCGTCCCTCCTGGGCCTGCGCTTCATGCTGGGCGCCTTCGAGTCCATGATCGCGCCAAGCTGCGTCGCCGTCACGCAGATGTTATGGCGCCGCGGCGAGCAGACGCTCCGCACGAGCTATTGGAACGCCATGAACGGTATTACGGCAATTGTGGGTAGTTTGTTTACGTATGGGTTGGGTCATATTGAGGGCCGGACTATGTTCAAGTATCAGATTATCTTCTTGTTTTGCGGGCTCCTGACGGTCTGCTATGGCGGCGTGGCCCTGGTGTTTATGCCTGACTCGCCCATGGAGGCAAAGTATTTGAGTGAGAGAGAGAAGGTGGTCGCCGTCGAGCGGCTGCGGGCAAACCAAGTGGGGGTGGCGTCGAGGGCGTGGCGGTGGGATCATGTCTGGGAGACGCTGATGGACTTCAAAACGTGGTGCTGGTTTGTGGCCATCGTGGCTATTTCGTGAGTTTCTGGCCCAGTTCTTCCCCTTGGTGGGCTGAGTAGGTAGGGATATTAACTTGTCGCAGCATCGCCAGTGGGGGCATTTCGACGTTTGGCAGCCTCATCGTCAAAGACTTTGGTTATACCAACTTTGACGCCATTCTCTTCAACATCCCGTTCGGCGCCATCCAGTTCTTCATGATCATTGGGTCCGCGTGGGCCGCCACACACTGGCAACGCAAGGGGCTGACCATTGCGGCCGTCAGCGTTTTGCCCATTGTCGGAACACTCCTTATGCTGACAGTTCCTCGGACGGGAACCAACAAGGGCGTCTTGCTGTTCGGATACTATCTGTTGAGACGCCAAACGATTCCCCCAGATAAAACCCCTTCGTATTAGGTGTGTCTGACACAATCCCGGTGTCTTGCTTGGCCGCCATCACACCTCTGATCTACGCCTGGCAGGCGCAGAATACGGGCGGCGACACGAAAAAGAAGGCCACTTCGGCCATAGTATTCATCGGCATGTGCACTGGGAATGTCATTGGGCCGCTGCTCTACGACGAGGCCCAGGCACCGCTCTACCGGGTCGGACTCATCTCCAACCTCATCATGTTTGCCCTAGTTGGTGGCATCTCAGCGTATGTCCTCTTTCCCGGTCTTCATGTTGACAAACGAGTCATTGATGACCAGTTTGCTGTAGTCTCATTCCTTGCTACCTCATGTATCTCAATCATTGGCACGCCAAGCGACGCGAGGAACTAGGCAAGAATGCCGCCCTCATTGACGAGTCCATGATGGACAAGAGCCAGATGGAGCACAGCAAGGCCGTCGAGGTCGAAGACGCTAATACCCGTAGGCAGAAGGCACTTGAGGAGGACAATGCGCTAAAGGACATGACTGACCTGCAGAATGAGGACTTCATCTATGTTTATTAAGGTCTTGGGCATCAACATGACTGGAATTCACCCCGAGTCCAGCGTTGAGTCAGGGGCAATAGCCCCTGAGCCGGGTTAGGGTTGAGAGTTACGCTTGAATTGAACACCCCCAATTGACGCCCAAAAATTGATTTAGGGTGTGTGCCCCTCATCTGCAGCTTCATTCTTTTGCTAAACATGCCCAACCCCCACCGCCTGCCGAACGCCAGGCGACAGCCTGGATTGGCCGCTTTTTGCCTGCTGACGGCCGCACCGATGACTCGGTTTGAGCTGCCTCATGTCTGAGTCCCGGCGCGGACTCTGACGAAAGTTGCCTGCGTGTTGTGCTGCGGCAGTGCTGAGGCGTCAAGAAGCGTCAGCCGGAGGCCCCAATCGGACCAGCACTCTGATTGCTCAAGCCAGACGAGGTTGCTCCGTGAGCTTCAATTCCACCAGCGCCTGGTTCCGGGCTTTTTGTGTGCTCTTATCCTACAGGACAATCGTGAAGCGTCCCACCTCCCTCGCAGCAGGGATCACATCACGCTGTCACCGACAGCAGCTCATCGCCGTACCCTGTGCTCGCGGCGGTGAGACGTGACACAATCCCATCTCGGCTTTATCGCAAAAGTTCCACAACAAAGTGTTTGAGACAACACCATGAAGTCCCCGCTAGTCTACGCCTCGCGATGTCTGAGCGACATAGAAGACCGTTGGATTCCCTATTCCTCGCTCTGGTGGCGCTTCTGGACCCCTGATATCCCCATCGGCGAGCGCTACCAAGAAGGCGTCTTCGTCGGCTACTCCAACGGCGACGACGACACCGACGACGAGGACTTGGCCGCCCTCGACATCCGGCGCATGCTCGCCATCCCCTTCATCCGCCACATCTACAAGAAGCTCCCCTACATCGACGTCGTCCCCGTCAAGCGCCCCTACGAGCAATTGTCGCCGGCCCAACGCCAGCAGCGCGAACAATTCGTCATCGACTCCACCCTTGCCGCCTACAACGAAGGCAAAGCCCTTTACCCACGCTCCACCATCTCCCAAATCGAATCACAGCTCGCCGCCGCCAGCCAGACCCTCGCCCGCCGGCGCAAAGCCTACCCGTCCCCCTCCTTCTCCTTCTCCTCCTCCTCCCGCTGGCACCTTCGCCTCCGTCAAAAGCTATTCTCCCACTGCGAAGCGCCGCAGACAGCCTTCCTCTCCTTCCGGGCCTTTGACGACGTCACGACGCACGTGTCGACGTGGGCGCCGGGCGTCGAGGTGACGCTGTCGGACAGCAGGACCGTCTATAGACCGGGCCGGTCGCAGATCGAGTTCCGCACGATTCAGGAGCTGACGCAGCCTGATCCGGAGCTTGACTCGGATGAGCAGCAGCAGTTTGTGCCGGATAGCTGGATGCCGTCTGTGGGGTACCAGCCTGTTGTTGTGGGTCGGCGGGTACATCCGATTGAATTGTTGTATTTTCTCGGGCCTGACGCGGAGCAGATGGATGCGCTTGCGATGGGTGAGCGGTTGAGGGAGTATTGTGGTGTGGTTTTGAAGAGTGGGGAGTGGGAGGTTCTGAAGGGGCGGGTAAGGGAGACGGTGCGAAACGGGGTTGGGGTGGATAAGGTTGTTTTCTTTTACGGCAATGGCATAAGCGAGGACTTTGACTACTGCAGACGCGCCATGTTTCTGTTTGCGGTGGCGGTGTGTCTGCGTGATTTGGTCATGGAGCTGCGCGAGGCTAAAGGGGAAGGGATACCCATCTACATGCCGGCCTATGATACGGCGCGGCGATGGAACCTGCAGGAGCAGTCCTTCCTTGACCCGCACGGGGTGCACTTTGTCGAGTCTAACGGGGAGCTATTCCTCAAGGTCGACGAGCGGACCATGGTAGTGTCTTACCGGAACTGGAACCCGGTCAAGCAGGTTGTGGCGGACATCGCGAGGCCGGCCATGATGATCTGCCGCCCTGTTTCGGAAGACCTGGAGGACTTTGGCTGGAATGAGGTAGACAATGACGAGCAGGAGACGCTGCTGGTCCCCAAGGTCAGGTCGCGGCACATAGACTTCTCGACTATTGTCGTGGACCCGGATTCACCGCGGGTCCGGAAGTTGCTCTACAACTATGACAGGTACGAGCTACCTGAGCTACCAGGGGATATTGAAGAGAAGGACATTTTGAGCCTCTACCTGCGCAGGCCCGGGGCGTCCTTAGAGGTGGAATACTGGTAACGGCGTTCTGGCGTTTTGAGAGCGTTGATCGTTTGATGGCTTTGGGAGGTTGTAGGATGCAACCGTTGAATGGAGACCGGAAACGGCCCGATTATGATACCCCACTCACATATTAGAGTAATACTACATTTGAGGTACTTTCTATGAGCAGCGGCGACGAACATTACGAGACTGTGGCCCGTTACCACGTGCCCCATCTTCGTAACTCATCAACGCACAAGCAAGCCCTGAACTCGGACTGGCCCCTAGTATTCACCGTTCATGAACCGCCGCAGATAGGCATGCGCTGAGTGAGGCTTTATATTTTCTTTCACTTTTTCTCCTTTCTCAATTCTCCTTCATTGCAACTAGTCTCTTTTTCCGGCCTTTTTTCTTCTTTCTCTTTCCCTTTTCTTTCCCCTCTTTTGTTTTCCTTTCTTCCGTTTACATTAGTTCTTTCTAGTATATATTTTCTTGCTTTTCCTTATCCTTTATCCTTCATTTATGTTACCTCTCATTTCCATCTCGGCTTCAGGCTCATGCCGGCCCTGAGCCTCACGGACGTAACGGCGAGGAGGGGTTGCCGGAGCATCATTCAAGGGTCCATTGTATGTCACGGTGCCATCGACGATCTCATATCTGTGGACGCAAGCCTCGAAGTCCTCCATCTTGGCCTCAAATCTCTGCCAGGGTAGATCGGGTCCTGGCAGACCGTATCGCGATGGGTTTCTGAGTCGACGGTGTATATTGGCTGGTCTGCGGAAGGGAAGGAGGCGGGTCGGCCTTCCCACGGTCGCGGGTGGTGCAACAGCTTATCGAGTTCCTCTAGGGGGGACCAAGGTCCTTTAGGGTGGTCTCCGCGACTTTGGATTCGAGTCCCTGTATCATTGAATCGCACATCCGTGCGGAGCATCCAGTCCAGGCCATTCTCTTGCAGTCAGCGGCGAAGAAAGAGTGTACGGTGGAAGGATGTGCAGAGGAGAACCTGGATGACGACGGGAGGTGATTGGGCCTTTGCCCGCGCTTCGGGCGCTCGCCAAATCCTGCCCTGTATGCCCGTTGCGCCGGGGGAGGAAGGCGGATGTCCATCGAATGCAGCGCTCCATGGCGCGGATTGCCCACTTCTGGAAATTCTGCGGGATTAAGGGCAGGGCCTGATCTTGGAGGCATTGGAGATGGCGGCCTCGCATTTCTCTCTCTCTTGGATGTACTGTAATTGACGCCGATTCCCAGGGATCAAGTCCCAGGCGGTTAGGGAAGCCCGGGGAAAGAGCACCTTAATATGCGCAAGCAGAGCGACTAAGTTCCGCACTTTATTCAGCCATGCGTGACCCGAAGTCCTTGATGGCCGTGCACAAAGATACTAGATAATGCTTTGAGAGGAAGATGAGATATGAGCCGCCAAGTCAGCATCACGCCGGCGACTGGAGGCTTTCTTCGAACAGACACCCGTCATCCGAGTTTCACAATGCCGAAGTCAAGCAAGCGCGAGTCGTCAATGACAAGAGTACAAGCGTCTTACCCTATCTCCCATCTACTCCAGCCTGGCCCACTGCCTTCCAGACTCACATGCTCTGTCACACGCCGGTATGGTGTTTGTTTAAGGTAGGCTCATGGGAGCCGAATGCAGCCCAGCTTTGTCAGTCCAGATGATCTCCTCATCTCTTTGCTCATGCCGCATCGTTTGGAATCAGGACCGTCACAAGTACACCATTGCCCTCGTGGGAACTCGACTGAGGTGACCGGCTCAGTGCAACGGCCGGCTTGATATCGCCGTCCTCTGTGACTGTTCGAATGGGGGCAATCGCGGTCCATTTGACATGCTCTAGGATCAAGCTGCGGGAATACAGCAGGCCCTGGGCAAGGGGCTGTGACATCGTAGCACATATACCGTCGGCCACTGAGGTGGTAAGCCGACTATACTGGCCGCGACTGCGGCTCGGATACCGCAGACGAGACGGCGATCGTTCCGGATGGCCGAGGCGCTGCGGCGGGTGATGACCTGAAGGGCGACCTATATTAAGGAAATGGAAGCTCTGCGGCAAGCGTCACTCATGACATGATCAGCGACGATAGTGATTGCATTCGCCCGAATCACCAGGCTCCATTGTTGTCGGTCATGGATGGGTGGTCTCTTTCGTCCTTTCATGGAAAGGCATGGGTCGATGACACCCACCAGCTGAAAAGTAGGCGTACTAACAGCCTCACCCTGGCATCGTCATGCATTCCAGTTAGCGTCTCACCGTCTTTGCTTGGCATCGGATTTTCGTATCTGCAGGGGTAGATAGATGCAGCCCAGCTTCCAGGCGTCGTAATCGCCAAGACCAAAGCCTGAAAGGTTTGTTGTTTCAGGAAGCTTTTTGACTTTTGTTACCCCCGCTTCATCGGTAGCAATGATTCAACAACCGTCTCTCCCTTTAAGAGCCATCAATATCGGGTAACCATGAACGCCCGCGTGGTTGAAGGCGACCTCATCGAGGCAGAGCCTCTTCTCACCGCCGAGGAACGCGACTCCATCGACATCGCGGACGAAACCACACGTTCAGCCGATCCAGACTCCGGCCACAACCAGCGCTATGGCCGCCGAGCGTTTGCCGCTCGCTTCCAGGCGAAAAAGCGCAAGACCATCATCGCGTTGCTGACGCTTCTCATGTTCACCCTGAGCACGAGCGGAATGCTGATCCTGATACCCATCTTCCGGCTCATGGAAGACGCCGTCTGCCACATCCACTATGAAAAATCCAGGGCCGAGCCGATCGACGAGCGTCTGTGCAAGGTCGACAGCGTCCAGAAGGAACTGGCTTACCTGGGCGGCATCTCGGCCATGCTTAACTCGATTGTCGGTCTCATCGCAACTCTGCCGTATGGTGTCTTGGCAGACCGGTAAGCTTTGAATCGAACACAACAGAATCGCGCATTTGGAAGCTAAGCTCGCTCGTAGCATCGGCCGCAAGCCAAGTTTCATCCTAGCATACATTGGAACATTTCTCGTGTTCTCATGGGGACCTTTGATGCTCGTGGTCGGCAACCATGTCCGCCTAGCACCACTGGGCTCCGTCTTCTTTCTTCTCGGAGGCGGCATCCCGGTTGCTATGAACTCCCTGAATGCCATGGTATCTGATATCAGTTCAGAGGCAGATCGGTACGAGCGGACTCTCCTACTGACGCCACGTACATAGCCGTCGCTAACTTGTCTTAGGGCAACCGGCTTTCTGTGTCTCTCGTTCGGAGCTGTTTTGGGAGGTCTGATCGGGCCCGTCACGGCCGGTCTGCTGATGGAAAACCTGGGTCCTTGGTCCCCAATTATCCTGGTCTATTGCATCACGCCTTTTGTTTTCCTGTTGGTGCTGTTTCTGCCCGAGACACTGCCCATCAAGCTCCGAGACGCCACAGACGACCAGGAAGAGCGGTCACTTTCCGAAAAGCTACGCGGGGAGATTAAGGAACTCGCCGTGTCACTGGCTCTGCTAAAGAACCGCAACATCGCCCTGACGCTGCCGGCATTCCTGATTCAGCCCGTCCTGTTCGCAGCCTACTCTTCGACCCTCAGTCAGCATATCAGCACATACTTCGGTTGGTCCCTGGCACAAACAAGCTATCTGCTTTCGCCCCTGAGTATTCTGCAACTTGTCATTATCGTCCTGCTTCCGAAGTCGTCGGGCTTTCTCACGAATCCGTCCGGGCGGCTCCGGCTGTCCGTCTTCTCCAAGGACCTCCTGCTGACGAGGTTATCGCTGCTCTTTCTCATCGCTGGGGCGCTTGTTGAAGGGTTCAGCCGAGAGATTGTGCTGTTCCTCGTCGGCCTCACGGTTGGAACATTTGGCTCCTCCCACGGGCCATTCTGCCGGGCCGTCACAACAAGTTACGTTGACCCTCAGCAAACATCACGCCTGTACGCCTTGATTAGCATGCTGGAAACAGGATCCGCGCTGCTTGGTGGACCAGTACTGGCCGTGTGCTTCAATGTTGGCCTGTCAAAGAGAGGGTTGTGGACAGGGCTGCCATGGTTCTATGTAGCCACGCTCGTGCTCATCCCTTTCGCATGCCTGGCATTCTTGAGGGAGCCGAAAAAAACAAGCAATGTGCCGGACTCAGAAGGAGAGGATAACGGGAACCTTGGATATCAGTCGGGCGAGGAACACGACTGAGACGCGTCACCCCGCGCTTCATCTATGGCAAAGGCAGTGGAAGCCTGCTATACACCTTCCTATCTTGATATCCCTGTTGCTGTTGGGGGCTATATGTGTGGCGCAGCATACGCTGTGTTATTGGCAGGTCGAGGATTGGACAGGCAGTCGCATGCACCTGGATGGCGCGAGAGAACCAGCTACGTCAAAGCCAGCTCTTCGGCCATGAATGACCAGACGACGGCATTAGCGAAAGCGGAAACCCTTCCTGACTTGGAACTCAATTAGTCACGCCAGAGACGGTTTGGGCGCCAACAACAATTGAAAACCCTCGCAGATCTCATCAGACTCGCATTCAATTACACGCAAGTACGGTACCCAGGGTACCTATCCAACCAATTCACCCTTTAAGAATGTCTGCTAGAACCCTCCTCGTTGTCGGCTCCGGTCCGGGCATAGGTCGTGCCGTGACCACGCTCTTCGCCTCCAAGCGCTACACCAACGTCGTGCTCGTCGCCCGCCGCGCCGAATCGCTAGCCGCAGAAAAGGCCGCCATCGAGCATGCCGTTGGTCCACAAGTCAACGTTAGAACCTACGCAGTTGACATAACCGACCTGGCCGCCCTCGGCAAGGCGTTGGACGACGCAGACGCCGCCATCGGAAAACCTGAATGCGTCTTTTTCAACGCCGCGCGGGTCCTCCCCTCGGCCTTTTTCGAGCACGACGTCAAGGAGATTGAGTATGATCTCAAGGTCTGTACTCAACCTCCACACCCACTGCAGTCTCATAAGACGGCCTCCCCTTAACCATCTCAATTGGCGGGCCCAGATCACCGTCTCGGCTCTCTACGTCCTCGCCCAGCGCTACATCCCTCACTTGGTCTCGCTCGCCAAGGCCGGCGCCGATCCTGACTCGGAGCACTCCTCATCCGCGAAGCCGGGCTTCCTCGTGACCAGCTCGGCCCTGCCGCTCGAGCCCATTCCGCAGCTGTTTGCTCTGTCCCTGGTCAAGGCCGCGCAGCGGAACCTGGTGCAGAGCCTGCACATGGCGTACGCCCCCGAGGGCGTGCATGTGGGCGTCATCAATGTGGCTGGGGCCGTGTCGCCGGATGATCTGGAGCGCAACCCGGCGAATATTGCGGCCCGGGCGTGGGACTGGTTTGAGGGTCTGAGGGGTTTTGAGGTAGTTATCTGAGGGAGTGCTGCTTCATCGGGGGAGATGTACGGATTGAGGGAGGATGGGATCAACATAGGTACCTAGGCAGCCTGTATTCTCATGACCTTAGCGTGAACAAAGCTGAGCCATCAAGTCGACTCGGTTAATCGGATATGATCGTAGGTGAAAGGATCTCCGTATCTGGAGACATGCGCTGTGAGCCTTGTGAACCTGTCAAACAATCGGAGCCTTCGGCCCAGGTCTAATCCTTTCCATAGAAGCAAACACTTAGGTACCTAAGTATCAGTTAGGTGTTCTTTTGAACCTACCTTACCTTCAAACTGAGACTCGGCCTGAGCTGGCACGGATCAGTCGGACGAGGGCCGAGTACACCGGAGGATTAGGAAGTAAGGGGCTTAACAATGAATGTGTTTTCCTGACCTCAACGGCCAATCAGAGCTGTGAAAGTCTCAGTTACATCTAGCTTGTTTTCATAGGCCGAAGCGCCTTGAAACACTTTGATTCCTATGAAACCATCTACATGTATCGTCAGGTAGCCTCGCCCGACTTACTGCGACATAGTAGGTACCTTACCCTATCCGTGATGTGTAAGGGTGTTTACGGACATGAGGTGCGAGGTGTCACGTAAAAATCTTAGCTTCTATCAACTTCCAAACTTGTCTTAAGCATCCTGCCTTTGCCATTATGCCCTATCCTCCCGGCTTTTACGTTGCGTAGCTGTTCAAAGGCTACTAGTACCCACCTTGGGTGCTTCTTCCACATCCCAGGAGTTAGGGCGTACAGGTGTATATTGAGTTAGGATCAGTATCGTTCCTGCGGCGGGATGCAATCGTGCCGTCGTGGGAGTCAGTGTTTAGCTGGCGCCTAATTAGGGGATCCCTTTGAGGAGCATCGCCAACGACGGCACTGGCTAACCCTTTACCTTGCGCGCAAATCAGTACACGGCTGGGAGACTATGACATGTCTTTATCAATGCACCATTGAGATAAACCTAAGTCTACCATCATGTTATATCAATCTCTGTACGCTCAAGGTGCTATTATCTAGGGCTTAACAACAGCCTCATTCACGGGCCGCTGGGAACTTGCGATGCTATTTTTGGCTCGTCTTGGTACTTACCCAAGTTCCGTAGCCTAACGCGTTGCAATCCAACCAGGCCACGGGCTATGGCTCCCATGTGTGCCTTTCTAAAGACTCAGATGAACCGTCCTCCTCATTGGAGGAAGAAACAGACGGCAGTCAACATCGGCAAACTGGATCTTGGCCCCAGGTGAGGCTAACGAACCAAGCGTACCATCAGAGGCGCATGAACCGGGACCGTTTTCGCGGAGCGAGACTGCCCCGACGCCGTACCCGGTTAAGCTGCCCTCGTTGCAACCGGACGCGCACAGATGGACGGATAGGTGGAATCCGACGTCGGGGTGCATCTGAGGGTTAAATCCCCCCTTACGGTCGTGTGACCGGAGTCGTGACCTCTCGTGGGGGGTTTTCTGCCCAGTTTATCATGGCTTTGACCCGTATTTCGCAAGCCAGCGCATGATAATGGCGTCGTTTCCGGGCCATGAATGGACGATATTCATGTAGGACCTCTTTTGCTTGAGTCAGTGGCCTCGGGAGTGGGACATTCAGCCAGTATCGGACGAGTCCTCGCCTGTCCTCCCCGAAAGCAGATGTCCAGGTTGGAAGTTTGATGTCACCATCTGCAGACACGGTATGAGAGGGGCGTTTCAAGGGCCTTCGCGGGTTGAGGTATGAAAATACGCGAAATGTCCGTCTTTATCCAACGGGCGAGCATGGAAGCACTTCCGAGTCCCCAGCCCACTTGAAGCTGCTTAGTGTCCGTAACTGAATTGCCAGGTCTGCTAAGACTGCTATGACAGGAGCAGGATGTTAAATGGATTGCTCACTCCCGTCCCAAAGACGAGAGTGGGATGGCGGTTTCGGGAATGGTCTTTGTCTCGGAAGAATGGTACGGAGTAAGGATGGCACCCGTAGGCGGCTCACACCTCGGAGCGGCACCGCCCGGCGACGTCGGGCCATGTGGTTGAATAGGAAACGCGAGGCAGACGACTGGTACTGGAAAAGCGGAGACAGGCAGCGAGGGAAAGAAGAATACACGTAGATCATTGCTTTCAGCCTCATGTCGATCAAGGCCATGGCCACACAAAGGCTGATTTGTTGTTTACCTTGACCGTAGTTGGCATTTCTGTGGACGAGGCCCAGACCGTGAAGACAGACAGAACTGATCATCCCAGACCGTCCAATCCAACGTCCAACCGGAATCGTGGAGCCTACCTCCGGGTGCCCTTTCCTCATCCAGTGCATGTGACGTTGGTCGCGAGCACGGAACGGGTAAACTTCGGAAATGTGCCGCGTGGATTAGCAGATTTCAATCAGGATCTGCTGACCGAGGCGCTGGAAGCCGAAGGAGCAATTCGCTCGCCAAGCCGGGGTAACGTTATGTAGGACCTTTCTTGGGAAGGACCCTTCTGTTGGGGTCGAGACGGTGGCACAATTTGATGTGCAGTGAGGTCTTGAAGTCGCGGAGGCTGAACGCAGGTTGTCTGCTTTTAGGTAAGAATTCCCCGAATGCCCACGATGACGGGACCTAGGTCGGCTCTGCACAGCTTATTCGAGGTGACAAGGCGCTGTGGTGGAATTATGGATGGATGGATGGCTGATGGATCACGAATGCGAATCTCAAGGCTGACAGTCCCGACTCCCAAACCATTTCCAACGTTGCCTCTCTGTCCCGTCTGTGTGCTTCCCCGTAAAACAGCAGCGAATCACGGCGATTTGCAGGCTGCATTGCTTGGAACCCGCCCGAGCCTTGGAATCGCGGGCCGGGAGGCGGTTGGCGGGTGCCACTTATTTCAGGAGATGCGGAGCTGCGGTTCCGAGGAGAAGCCCCACTGCAGAAGCTGGAGCCAATTGGGGCCGCTTATTGTTTCGCGCAAGGCCCAGAATCCCAAATTGCGCCGGATGCGCGTTCCTCGAACAGCCCTGGGCGACCCCAGGATCTGTCCAGGCTCGCCAGGCTAGCCGCATTCTCCGCCGAGACGTGCGATGGTCGCGATCGCATTGGTCTTGGATGCTGTGCCGTCCAATGCCTTGCACAAGATACGGCGTGGCGAGCCCTGCCATTCGCTGCGTGGGCTCTGCCTCCCACGCTCTCGCCGCATGAACGAAACACACGGTCCAGCGGCCCTTGCCGGCGCCGCAACCTCACAAGCCAGAAATGGAGTACGGGTACGTACCTCTAGCCAAGAGCCAGGGCTGACCTGTGTCCCGGATTCCACACACCCAACCCGCCGCTAGTTACTGCTGGCATTGATGGCACGGCCAGGTGCCCGCTCTTGTCCACATTAACCCCGAGATAACGCTCGTTTGCTGTTAGAACATGAAGCGCGAGGCCCACCCGCGCGACACAGCTGCCAACGGCTGGGTCTGCCGCGCGCACGCGGAGACTGATGTGCCGAGCGCTCTGCGGGCCATGAGACAGACCCAGACCCTCCCTCCTCTCGGGGAAACTGCGGGCATCGTTGGCGAGAAGGCTTAGCAATTCCGGAGCAGAGGCGAGTGAGTTCTCGCATTCTGCCTAAAGAGAAGACAGCTTGGGACACCCTTTATATTGATGCCGTTTCGCTGTTCCGACCCCCCCGGCTGGGCCTTGATGCAAAGACTTGGGCTAGTAGCGGGCTGTTCGACTCTGATATTGTTTGCGGCCATTGGGTGTTACTAGTCAGCTTATCAAGGGCGCGTGCCCACTCCCTCCTGATCGGACCTGACAGACAAGAGCAGGCAGCCAAAAGAGTGTGGGAACATCGGTTGGGGAACAACACCAGGAACGGTCATCTGGCGCTTCGGGCCTGGACAGCGACACGAAAAAGGGGCGACCAACTGTGAATCCGGCCGAGGTTTTGCCCCCGAAGCACCGAGCCAGCCTGTAAAAGAGCAGCACAGCCGTTCCTCCGAGACGACCTCCACTACCCCGATGCGGTACGACCACGCAGAGCACTTGCAACAGCAGAGGCATCCATGGTTACGGGCATTGGGACAGGATGACAAGCTCAGCAAGCGGCGGTCCCGTGTCGGTGTCGACGGCGACGCCAGCCGCATCATCGGTCGACGTGGTCATGGGAGGCACAACAGGGGCTGCTTCGACGGCGGCGGCAGAGTCGGCTTTGACATCAACATTATCAACATTAACAGCAACACCGAGAACGACGGTAACGGTCAGCGCCAACCTACTGGCAACAGTTGGCAGCCTTGGCCATAGCGGGCACGGCGGCCATAGCGCAAACGGTCTGAACGTCAACGTTATTAATGACAAGGGTCTCGAGCCACGGGCGCGCTGCAGCCAGTGCGGGCGCCGGCGCACAGGGTGCCACCACCTCCCGCATCAGCAGGGCGTCCAGCAGCCCGCCTCCTCGTCGTCGGCCGCCAGTGCAATAATTGCCAACGGAGCCCTCAGCGCCGCCGCTCCGCACACACGACCCCGCAGGATCTCCAAGCTAAGACACCGCGCTGCTTTAAGTGTAACCTCTGCCCAACAACCCCAACAGGCCCAGCAATCCAATGCCGCCGTCGCCGCGCTTACTTTCTCGCAACCCACCTTTCACTCGGCCTCGGAATCGAGCGACGCCAGCAGCCCTGCCATGGAACCGCCCGTGCTCTCGTTTTACGGAAAAGAGCCCGTGCCGCTGCCCTCGCGTTTTGCCCAGATCAAGCGCAGTCTCGTCGCCGGCCACGAGAAAGAGCTCGAGGCGTCGTGGGCCCGCCTGATCCATGCGCTGCGCGACCATGTCGACGACATTGCGTCGCGGGGCTCCAGCCTGACGCCAAGCATTGACTTTGCCGACATCCGCAACCCGGACGCCCGTGCCGCCTTCTCATGCGACCTCAAACGCTACGGCCTCGGGTTAATACGCGGCGTCGTTCCCCGCGCCGATGCGCAGGTCGCCATTGACGAGACGGTAAAGTACCTCGAGAAGCAGACCGACTACAAGGAGCCGCCGCCTCAGGATCCGACATGCTTCGACTTTTTCTGGACCCCTGCGCAGGTGCGCACGCGAGCACACCCCCGCGTTATGGAGGCCCAACGGTTCGCCATGTCGCTGTGGGACAATGCCGCCGACGATCGCATGGCCATCCGCTTTCCCATTGCGTACGGAGACCGTTTGCGCATCCACGGCGCAAACATTGGCAACGTGGGTCCCGACGCCCCACCAAAGGCCAGAGAGTCGGAACCCTTGCGCGACGAGGACGCCGACGACGGCCTGGAAGCGCAACAAGCCGCTGCAGAGTTGCTCGGCGATTTCAACTCCTCGACCGTCATTGCGCAGGTCGACAACGGTAGTCTCGAGCGATGGGAGCCCGACGGCTACGGACGCGGCGGCACCTACGACGCCGTGTTCAGGGGCGAGTGGGAGAAGTACGACCCCTGGGACCCAACATACCGCGTCAGCGCCACGCCGGACCTCTACAACGGCTACGGCGCCTGCAGCATCTTCCGCATGTACCAAGGCGTCGTGGCCCTCAGCACCATCGAGCCGGGCCTGATCCGCCTGCTCCCCAGCCCCAAGCTGGCGACCGCATACTTCTTACTCCGGCCCTTCTTCTCGCCCAAAACAAAGCCACCCGAGCGCCGTGACGGTCCCGAGTGGGACGCCTTCCTCGACCCGTCCAACTGGGCCCTCGACAAGGAGCAGACCACCATCATCCACGGCGCCGTCCCGGGCCACGCCCAGCGCATCACCGAGCTCTGGCACCCGCACCTGCACATCCGCCGCACCCTCGTCACCATCCCCACCCTGCAGACCGGCGACTACATCGTCTGGCACCCGGACCTGGCATACCACATCACCTCCAACCCCAACGTCATGGCCAGCCGCGCCCCGACTCCTCCCCCGCGCGACGAAAACAACAACAGCAACGACTCTGCCCTCTCCGGCGGCGGCCGCCCCGTATCAATTTTGGTCTACGTCCCCGCCGCGCCGCTCACTCAGACAAACGCGCTGTACCTCGCCCGCCAGCGGAAGACCTTCCAGCGGGGCCACCCGGGGCCGGACTTTGACTCGACGGGGAGCGGTCTTGGCAGCGAGGCGACCCACGTCGGGCGTCCGACCGAGACGGATATCGCCGAGGTGGGCGGACCGGCCGGGTTGCAGGCCATGGGGCTTGCGCCCTTTGATGTGGCGCCTACGCCGCCGGATGCGAACGCTACCCAGGCTGTTTCTTCTGGTGGTGGTGGTGGTGAGGGGGAGGGGGGTCGGGGGCAGCAGGCGGCTGCTGATGGGGATGTGGACATGAACGGGGAGTCGGCGTCGGCGCAGCAACAGCAGCAGCAGCAGCCGTCTATGACGAGGGCGGAAGCCGAGGTGGCGCGCATGGCGAACATTATCTTGTTTCCCGACCGATACGACTTTTACATGGCCAAGCGCAACGCGAACGGGAGTAAGAGGAGTAAGGTTCGGGTGGAGAAGTTGTTGAACCCCGTGGAGGATGATAGTGGGAGAGGAAAGGCGAAGGGGAAGGAGGCGGCGGGCAGGAGCTGAGCCCTGATGCAGCCGACATTACTCTGCGATGGGAAGGCCTGGGGAAGGGATTGTGCTTGGATGGATTTTGCTTGTCCGTACAGGGTGTTATAGAAGAGAAGTCATACCCCCCTGGCGATTTGTGCAAGAGGAAGAGAAGGAATCTTTTCTAGTGCGGGTCTAGCTGCATGGGTGAAAGGGTCCAAGTTTGTGCATAGCAATGCCCAATGGCATATTTCGATGTTCTTTTGCTCGCGACGTGGAATACGGGAGCATGTGGTAGCATTGCGTTCGTGTATATACGAGGTTGTCTCTGTTGTCCGCAGGCCTCACATCTGACCTCGCCATGAGTGAGGTTCTCCGATGGTGTTCTGTCTCCCTCAAGCAGAGCGAGGCGACTGGCGGTCGTTAGCCATCTCATTGACTGGGGTTGTCACTCAGGCTGAAATGGATCAATATCGGGAAGTGTGATGATGCGCGTGGTTGATAAGGCAATCTGGCTTATATGATCTGCGTTCACAAGGTATGTGACGAACCAAAGCCCCATGGCTGACCGGGCTGGTCAAGCGCCGTCGTCCAAGTCTCCCTGAACCCCGTGCTTGTCCCTGCAAACAGGTGGCCTATTGACGGCCGACTTATCTGTCTTTTTGGAGATCATCCGACGTGTACTGTCTTATTCGCTTACCGGCTGCTTGGTAAGAACCTCGCCGCCGCTTGCCCCAGTCATGTTGAGCTTCGCTCTGTTAGGCCATGGCAGACCCTGACGTGACTTGATCCACGGTAGGGACTCAGGATTCACCCAAATCAACTCTCATACTCGGCTACGCCCATCAAGAAGCGGCGTCGTGGTCAGTAACGGTACAAGGGCTTCTCGACCATGCAGTACATGTTCAATGGGAGGAATCGGGTGCAGACGGGAAAACGGAAAACAGCTATGCAGCTCGCTGCAGGGGACCTAAACATGAGGACATTATCTCGCCCATCCCAAAGAACTCAGCAGGAAATCTGCTCTCGGGAATCGCGATCACCACCGTCTCGTAGCAGCTCAGAGCCGCCACTTCCCTCCAGCCACCCTTCCTACAGCCGCACATCCTCCTTCGGCTGTTTCCCCCTTGCAATGGCAGGCTTACCCACACCGTTTACGTCCATCACCGACCATCCCGCGGTGCATCATGTCCTTCTCTACCACCATTCAGCCACCATTACCCAAGCCAGCCCGAATACGTGCCGGCAAAGCTCGCCTCCAACAGCAGGAGCATCAATAGTCCACCTCCTCATCGCAGCAACGCTGAATCACCTCCGCCGGACCTTTGTCCCGTGGCTGGGGCAGTGGATATGGTACGCCCACCCGCTGGATGACCTCCGGTTGGCCGTGTCAAATCCAGACGTCTTTCTGGGCGAGGTGATCCTGGGGTACTCGTCGACTTGGGCTGTGGGGAGTTCTGCGCTGAAGGTTATCTGGCATGTGGGTATGCTGGCTGCGTTGTCACGTCTACTTGACGGGATCGGCGATGATACAGGTGGAGAGCGGACTCTGGGGATGGTGAGGGGTGGAAGGAGGCGTGGGAGGAAGGGTGGGAGTGAGGGGAAGAAAAAAGGGTGGAGCGTGGGGAAGGCGGCCAGGATGAAGCGGATGAAGCAAGATGATAGTTATGGGGAGGTATGGACGGATACTGCGAGAGTGGGATACCTGCTGTGGGTGATGGTGACAGCCGAATACGTCTTTGCCAGAGCCATGAACACGGCTGCGTGCCTGGTGGCGTGTTACAAAATCCTTACGGGAGGGGAGACGGGACGTGTTACGCTAAGATATGTGCTGAGGACGAACCTGCTCAAAGTTCCGTTTGTCCTATGGCAGTTGGTATGGTATCTGAGAAATGGGTTCTGGCCGCTCGTCTTGGGGAGTGTGTCTTGGGCGGTTCACGGCCAACCGGGCCTGCTTATAACGGGTTTGGGCTGCATGGGGGGCGTAATGGCGTTGCTCAAATACCGGAGTACGTTCTACATCGCCCTCGAGATTTGTAACGTGTTTGTTTTCCTCGGGTTCGTGTTGGTTGGTCTTGTCGTCTTGCGGTTGGGTATATACTCTAATCCACTGGGTTGCAAGTGAGCACATCCGGAGAATCGATTCAGGTCGGAAGAGCAACTGCGACAAGGGTGGAGCCCTTCGAGGAAGGGATGTAACTTAAGACAATGGCGGTAATCATGTATCATCTCTGGCATTGAGGATCGCGTCTGGTCTGTGTGCGCAAGAATGCTAGTCAGCGCGTCCAGCTACACTGCCATTCAGGTGCTCCTACCTGGCCTGAGGGAAGGTGTTCAACCAAGGTATGTCACAAGAAGCTCATACAGAAATCCCACGGGCCACACATCTTATACCCTCCCTCTTACAACCATACTATATGTACGTCCCCATCCACCACTTCACGCAAACCCCAATGGCAGGGGCAGCGGCTGACTGCAGCAGCCAGTCTACGCATACCCGTTCGCAACGAGCCACTCCCTTACCCCATAGGAATCCCTCATCTTGTACGCCGCCCGCCCCCGAATCTTATCCTTGACCTGTTCCAAAGTCCGGTCAAAGCCCTTGGTGCTGACGCCTGCAAAGAAACTCTCAATATCCCTCAGGCTCTCGAGATCGGTAAACTTAGGCAAGCTGACATTGACCATGCGGTCGACCACAATGGGGTTCCCGCCCAGCTTAGCCTCGAATTGGGCCCAGTTGTCCCGCAGGTAGGCCCAGAGGAGCGGGCGGCCGACGCGGTTGGCCGCCAGCACGCCCGCGAGGATGTGCATATCGGCGGGCGGGATCGAGTCGGCGGCTGAAGCGGGAGGCGAGGTGCTGAAGAGAAAGGGAAGCAGGACGTCCTTGATGAGACCCTCGTCGTGGGTATGGCCGAGCGCCTGCAGGCAGATCTCCTTGCCGTCGATGGCGGGGGTGGTAAACCACTCCTTCTTGAGGGCGGCGACGGCGTTGGCGGGATCCTTGAGGATGGCAGCGCGGTAGACGGGGGCGCGGAGGTCGGCGGCGATGGGAGACTCGGAAGGCTTGGATTGGTACGCAGACCAGCGCTGGAAAGCGTTGGAACCGACTCTGGAGGGGGGTTAGCAACGTCGTCTGTGGGAAAGATGAGGCAGTCAGGGTGAGGACATTAGGGCGAAAGGCTTGAAACAAGATAGAGACATACTCCTCATGCGAGTTCGCAATGGCAGTCAGAAGCAACCGCTTCCGCAGCAGGCTGGTGTTGAAATCCTCGTCCTTGGGGCCCTCCCAGCCGACTTGTTTCAGCGCCTTGTCGATCAGCTCAAGGGTGAACTTCTCCAAGCCCTTGTTGACCTGCTCGTCATCGCCAAAGATGGATTTGAGCGTGGCAATCGAGTCAAGCGCCTGGCTTAGCACACGGTAGTGCGTCTCGCTCTTAAGGCCCTGGATGAAGGACAGCAGCGCACCGGTTGTGGCGTAACCAGAGAAAGCGAGGTCAGCAGCGGATCCGGTGATGAAGATCTTGTCTTCGGTGGTGAGGTGCTGGAGCTGGGTACCGAGGAGTTTGAGTCTGGACACGGGGTAGTTGACGCGGTAGAAGCCAGTGGCGTTAGCGTTGAGCTGGTAAAACTCCTCACTGACGCCATCAATGGTCGACTCCTTGGCCGTCAGAGTGAGCGGTTCGATGCCCTGAGAACCAACCTTGCCCTTGACGGCAAGCGGTACCCACCAGATGGTTTGATCATCCTCAGGCTTGACATCACCAGTGGACAGGAAGCGGGACTGCTTGACCGAAATCTGCTGCTTGCCTTCAGTGACGGTCAGCACGGGGAACCCGACCTTTTCGATCCATGGCTGCATCAGGCTGTTGACGTCAACACCGGATGCCTCGCTAAGAGCGTTCCACAGTGCCTCCGTCTTAGCATTGCCATAGGCGTGCTTCTTCAGGTAAATCGCGATGCCCTTGAGGAAAGTCTTGATGCCGAGGTTGGAGGCAAGCATGCGGATCATGGAGCAACCCTTCAGGTAGCTGATCTTGTCGAAGATCTGGTTGACATCGAGAGCGTCACGAACCTCGACCTGGATGGGGTGAGATGAGCGAACGCTGTCAAGAGAGAAAGCCTGGTCCATGCCCTCGTTGATGAACTGGGGCCACACCTCCCAGTCCGGGTGCAGGTGGTCGGTTGCCAACCAACCAGCCCATGTGGCGAAGCCCTCGTTGAGCCACAGCTCGTCCCACCAGTCCATGGTGACGAGGTTGCCAAACCACTGGTGGGCCAGCTCGTGCGCGACAACATAGGCGATTCTGTTGCGGAACCTGGCCTCGGACAGCTTCTCGTCGAACAGGATGGCTGTCATGCGGTACGTGACCAGACCCCAGTTCTCCATGGCACCATGCGTGAATTCGTGCACGGCCAGGATATCGCTTTTGGGGAGTGGGTAGTCGATTTCAAACTGCTCCGAGAAGTAGTCGATAATCTTGGGGGCGTGTTCCAGCGCCCAGCGCCCTTGCTCCTTCAGGCCGCGGGTTGTATACACGCGGACCGGCAGCTTCTTGCCGTTGTACTCGCGGCCGGTAAAGGCCTCGACGTACTCGAAATCACCAACCGCCCATGCAAGCAGATACGTGCTCATGACCGGGCTACGCTCAAATGAGACGAGCTTCTTCCCACCCTGGACTGGCTTCGTCTCCTTCACAGGCATGTTGGAGAGGGCCACCTGATCGTCGGGAATCTCAATGGCGAAGTCAAAGGTCGCCTTGAGGTTCGGCTCATCAAAGCAGGGGAAGGCACGGCGGGCATCACACGCCTCGAACTGGGTGCTCAGCATGTAGTGGAACTCTTCGTCGCGGGGCACGCTTGCAGCGGCTGGGGCAGCCGGCTTGTACTGACTTCGGTAGAAGCCAGCCATGTCATGGTTGAGCACTCCGGTGAAGTCAATAGTCAACGAGGCATTGGCGGACACGGGAAGCTGCTGAGGGAAGGTGATGGTAGACCGCTGGGTTTTGGTGTCCTCGGCAAACGTCGTCGACTCCCAGGACCCGTCACTCTTTCCTTGGCTGACGACAATCTTGGAGTTCAGCAGCTTGAGCTCTAGGGTGTTCAGCACGACTTCGCTTGTCGCTTTGACGATCTCGCCATCGATCCTGGGGCCGTCAGCAACAGATACCTCACTCTGGTCAACGTCGAAGTCTACCTGACGGTGCCCTTGTAGGACCAGTTCTTAAAGTCGAGATCCTTGATGGCCAGGTCGTAGTGGACCGGCTTGAAGTTGTCCGGGAGGATGTCTCTGTCCGTCATGTTTTCTCGCCTGTGCCTGAAGGATGCGTGCGAGCAGTAACGGGGGAAGACTATGCACGCGGAGGTTGTGGCGGATGCCGAGCGGAGGGGGAGTCTGCGGGTGCTTCTTGGACTGGGCCTTGAGGGCAGCGATGACAAGTGTCTGTAGCTAGTTGCCTTCTGTAGCGAAACGACCGTTGGGGAGAAACGGCTCGTATGAATTGTATTCAATGAGGGTGATGGAGCCAAAAACCTTGCTCGGGCTAGAACGCGTGAGTGATGCATGAGGTTGGAAGATCAAGGTGAGTCTGGGGGTTAAGCTTTTGGCCGAACCCCACTCCCACTTGCAGCTCGACCCTCCAATGATGACGGCAGCAACAGGAGAGCCGTCTGAACGCAACCGCCCGGACCAGTGCGATGCGGAGCTAACAACCGGAGAAGAGAAAACAGCGGGTAGCGTATTGACCGAAAACCTTGAACCGAGGAAGAAGTCTCAAACAGGCAAATAGCAAACAGTGAAAATCACAAACTCAACACAGCTTCCGGTCTGGGAATTAGTGGATGGCTTTGATCGCGTATGAGGAAGGAGGGGCAGAGCATGTCGTGGAAGTCGTGATTTAAAACCCGCAATCGCCATGTGCGGGTGGGTCCAGATGGTGGAGCATCACTTGCAGGCCCAGCGGGTCACGAACACTGTGGGAGCATTAACACCGGTGCTATCCGCGAATTCAAGAGACAAATGGATCAAGGTGAGTGTCTTAATATAACTTGCTGTGGTGAGATTCGGAACAGCATATGCAGGGAGCTTATATCTCTCTTGCAACTATTTCTTTTACTCCTCACAGGGCAGCAACAGAGCACAGCGGAGTAACCGGATTCGAGCAAACAAAGCGCCTCCGAACCATCCCGTCCCACTCAACGCCGAGTAGAGAACAAGCCAGAGCCAGCAGCCCATAAGAGCCAGAGAAGAAAGCAAATGCCCAAACCGAGACTAAGGAAACCCCATCGAAACCGTAAATCGATACAAATGCCCCATGAGTAAAAAGTATGCATGACTTCCAAAAAGCCCCAAAAGCCCCGAAACCAGCCCTCCATGCTCCCCTTGACTCCCCTTCACTCCGAGGTCGAACGCCCTTCGGCCTCCCTCTCAACCACCTCCGCAACTTGATCCCACCACGCCCCATGCGCGTCCCGATCCACCGTCGACACCCGCCCCATCATGTCCACCATATCCCTCACCTTGTCCACAAACTCGGCCAGCCCGAGGCTAGCCAGCTTTTCGCCGGCCGTGCTCGTCGCCTTAACTTTCTCGCTTGCCGAGGGCGCGGCCACTCGCGCAAGGATATGCCCGCGCAGCCTACCCAGCAGCAGCCTCAGGACGGGCTCCCTTACCTCCGCATCCTGCTCTTTACTAGATGCTACTTCGGCGCTCGCAGCCAGGAACTTATTGACCATCCCGCGAAGGTGCTGTCTGGTTGCGGCGGGCATGGACCGCCCCGCCTCAAGAGCAGCCATGATGCCCTCGGCGGCAGCGTCAGCCGTCATGTCGCCGCGCGGGTCGTCGGCCTTCTCGAGCACGGCAAGGATGCGCTGGGCTTCGGTCTTCCACGGGGCGCGGACATCGCGCTTGAGAAGGTTCTTGCATTGCAGGAGAATGGCGCCAACCGTGATGATGCGGCGGGTGAGGTGGCCTGCTTCGAGGATGCGTTTGTGATCGAGGAGGAGCATCTGGGGGATTTCGTCCCGTGCGATGGGCGACAGTTGCGTGAAGAGATCCACAAGGAGTTGCGCATAAATGCGGTTTGCCGTTGGCCGGGAGGATGGGTGGTTGATACCCTCTGGGTCACGGCGGGATGTTTCGCCGAAGACCTTCTGACGCGCAGTACGCCAAGCCTCGGTCGCGGCAGAGAGATCGTACCTGCCGGACTCGACGTCGGCAGCGAAGGCTTTGGCCTCGTATGAGGCCGCCTGCTCGATGAGCCGTGGCGCTGCGAGCTGCAGGAGATAGTTGGCGTAGTCGCTGAGCATGACGTCGATGAAACTGTTCAGCGCCTCCAGTCGATCAACATAACTGCCGTGGCTTAGCTTCTCTTCGACCAGCACTTTGACCTCGTCATCCCGGACCGGAGCACAGAGTTTTGGCAGCAGGGAACCCATCGCCTGGAAGAATTTCTCGTAAGAGAAGCTGCCCATGGTGAACTGGCGCCTCGCAATATCGGTATCCAATAGTTCTCCAATGAAGGTATGCATCGAGTTGCCGGGTTTGACGAGGCGCTGCAGCTTCTCTCGGACAAGGTCGGCAACCTGCAATAGCAGGAAGAAGTGAGCATCCTGGTTGTGCTCCTGCATCGTCGATCGCATCTCTTGGAAGAGCGGAGCAAGCAGATGTTCTTGCTGTTGGTGATACTCGTGGGGCTCGGTGCGGAACTCCTTGTTGATGGCCAGCTCATGGACAACGATTCTGTTATCCGGCAGCAGACTCTTCCCGCTAGGCACCACGATGCTGACCTTAAATGGCTCAGGCTTCTTCGAGGGCGTCGATGGAGGCGTTGGCGTCTGCGTTTGTGATGGGTCCTCACGGCTCTCTTCCACCCCCAAGACCCCCATTGCCGTCTCCGTGACGGTGTGGTCCGCCACACGCGGCTTGGTGTCGCCAACAGGCTTCTTGACCCTTGCTTTGCGCGCTGCCTTCACGGCATCCGCAACGAGTTGTTTACCCTTGGCTGGGCCAGCTAACTTTTTGATCCTCACTAACAGCAGCAGCTGGTTGTTCCGGATGCTTTCCTTGTAGACCTGGTCGACTGAACCGTCCGTCGTGTCCTTAACAGACTCCCAAATGGCATCCAGCTCGACAAACTGCATGACCATCAGGTCCACAAGAGAACTGGAGTCGCGTGCCTTCCACGCAATCAACGCATTGTAAAAGGTAGCGTAGACTTCGGGGAAGGCTGACAGAAGCGCTGGAGGCGGCGTGAAGTTGTTGAAAGCGGTCAGTCGTCCGAGGATGTTCTCGAACAGAACCAGCAAATCCCTAGCTTTGCCAACCAGTTCCTGAGATTGCGGGTTGGCCAGATTATCCTTGGGCATAGGTTTCGCCTGGCTCGGCCCTGCATCTCCGGGGATATCCTTTTCATCCTTATTGCTGAGAACCTGTGATGGATGGCCTAGGATGAGAAAGGCGCTGAGGAAAGACCGCACTGCGGCCATCTCCTCGACAGAGCCCGGCGCGCCCTCGTTGAGCCCACAGATGCGGAGGATCCGTGTCGTCAGTACCAGCACGCTCTCTTGAGAGAGAAGCATGGTGACCTCGTCAAACGACGTCTCTCGAACAGCATCCAGGGACAAGCCCAGAGCCGAAAACTCGGCAACAGCCTGCTTCCTCTTCCTGGCTTTCCACCACCATTGTATCCTCGAAGCAGCCTCTTCTTCGGTCAGCGGGCTGGGTTCCTGCTCCTTAACCTCCTTGACCTCAGGCATGACCTCAACTGAGGTGGGCTTGCGGATTCCGAGGCTCTGGCCCCGTTCCCTGCCCTTGCCCTTTGCAGCATTTCGGCTACGCAGCTCTTCTCGCCTCCTCTCAGCCTCGGCAAGCCGTTCCTCCATCTGCAGCTTCATCTTGCGAATCTCCTGTTCCCGCTTCTCCTTCATGCTCTCGGCCACAGCCTTGGCCCGCCTGACCTCCTCGGCACAGGCGGCAGCAATTTCGGCCAGGTTACGCTCGCGTGCTTGGGCAGCGGCCAGAGCCCGCTCCTCGCTTGCGCTGGTGTTCTTTGTAGCGGCTTTGGCAAGGGCAGCCCGCAGGCGCACCTTCTCGGCGTGTGCAGCACGGTCGGCCAACCGTGCCTTTCGATCCTCGAGGATCGAAGCCCTGCGGAGGTGCTGGGCAATGTACTTGCTCTGTGGGCCCCCATTGCGGCCGTGCCCATGGGACGAGCGAGAGTGTGCGGAAGATATGCTGTTGCGGCGGGACGACGCGGCGCTGTCTCCGCGGCGGGTCTGGTTGGTAGCGCGGTAGAACAGGCGGGCGGTGATATGAGGAGGCGGAGTGTAGACCCTTGCGTTTTCCTCCTCTCCCTCGCCACCCACGAGCTCCATCTCTTCGCCGGGCGGCGAGAGGGCGCGGTCTGCAGTAGCATGGGCCGTGTCGCCAGCAGTTAGCCCGTTGGACTCATCCAGGTTTCGAGCGGGCTCGCTCAGGTCGAGGGAAGGGCGCCGCATCGCGACCGGCGTTGCGGGGCTCGATACAGGCGGAAGAAGTCGGTGTCGGCTTTGAAACCTTTTATGGCGGGAGTTTAAAATCGACGAAAGATGGATGCAAAGGGTAGATGGGTCTTAATCGCATGGACTTGGATGCAAACGGAGTCGGAGTCTCGGGGTGATGCAAAAAGTCTGTTCAAAACAAACGCTCGGAATAAACGGGTCGAGCACGGGCACGGGGCACGAGCACGTTCAACAAAGAACAAGACGCGAGTTTTTGGAGTCTCAGGTCTGCTGAAGAGAATGGAGGAGAGGAAATCTCTGGGAAAAAAGAATGTAATGAGGAGAAAAAGACAAAAAGTCGGCCGGCAGGAACCAGTGCCAGCGCAACCGAATTGCTGACACAGGAGGGCAACGTTTTTGAAGGGCAATCTGGGCGATGCGACATGAATGGAAGGCTGGGGAACCATGATGACGGCAGCAGAGAAGCTTGGGCCCAGCTCAAACAGTCAGTAATTCAGATCAAGCAGGCGGGGCACTCGTCCGCCAAGGTTAAGCGAACTGCTCGCTATCGATAACGCTGGTACTTACTAACAGAATCGCTTGTTGCAAGCGAGGCGCTTTGCTAACAGGAACCCAGCGCATGTTCATACGTCCGAAACACTGGCCTTCCAGCTCGTTCTGCAATTTCGGTCAGGCGACCAGTTCTGCGGTTCTTCAACCTCAATAAATGTTCTCTTCATTACGTTACCCAAGGCAGCCGTTTCGGTCAGGCCGAGGAAAATAACGTTTCCTTGCTTACATGTACGGGGGCACCGGGAGAACAGTGTACAGCTTTGGCTTGGACAATGGCATCAACAATCATGCATCATCACCTAACCATAATCAATCAGACTCGGAAGGGATGGAAGCGATACTCGGTACGGCATGCTGACATGACGCAAAGTATCGGAACCCGTTGGAACGAATGCGACAGCCGCTCTCACCCCCTCCCAGCCTCCAACTCGGCCAACGAGCTGTTTATCGTCGGCGTCCTCCCCAACCCCGATCCTTGCAGTTCGTGCACCAGCCTCTGGCTCCATGTCGAGTCGCCCGGCAGCTCCGGGGACGCCTTGTCCACCTCCACGAACAGCCCGCGGTCGCCCTCCCCGAAGCGCTTCAACTTCCTCCAACTTATCGACGACCCCGACGACGACAATGACGACGACAATGACGATGACAATGTCTTCTTCCCGTCCTCCCCCGCCCCGCGCCGCCGCTTTCGCCACCAAATGAGATAGGCCACCTCCATGGCTACCAGTAACGCCACGACCAGTATCAGCCCGATGGTTAACCCGGCTGCGGTGCCGGGCGACCAATCTGGTATTCGCTCGTCTGGGTCTGGACCCGATGTGGTGATGGTGGAGGTGGTTGTGGTGGCTACCTCCCTGGATGGCCGCGTCGGGGATGGTGTTGCCGTGGCAGTAACATTGCTGGACACAGCGTTCGGGCTGACGGCTGGCTCGACGAGCAAGAAGCCCGGACTCGTCAGATCCGGGTCTGACGCGACGAAGTCCCCTTGACCCGTCGGCGGCTTGAAGCGAAGCACATATTTTGTCTCGCTGGCGAGCTGGACTGTTGGCGGGTCCGAGGTGACGAGTTTGAGGTTGCCGTCGTGGGAGAGGTTCACTGCCCCTTTGGCCATGTTAGTGAACCTTGCTCCGTGAAGGTAAGGTGGAAGGTATGTTCTCCGGTCACTTACTTGCCAGGCAGAGTGCCACTGGGTCCGGGTCAATGGCCCAGCTGGTCAGCCAGAGGTCGTAGATGCTGTTGTTGAGGGCGTTCCACGAGATGAGTATCTCGTCGCCGTGCCGATATGTCTCGGAAAAATCTGGTCTTTGCCCGTTGGGCGCATTCCACAAGTATTGTCTCTGGATATCTTCCGCGTTGTCGTTTTTGCGGCTCCGTCTTGTCGTTTGTTGGCCACTTACCCGCCCTCGGATCGCCATGTTCGATAGTTCCGTTCACAACCGCAGTATGCAAGCCACCATTGATCTTTAACTGCTGCAGCGAGTTTGCGCTCACGATCAAGGACTCCGAAAAGGCAGGTTCCAGTCTTATCACTCAAACTTGATATCGCGGCATTCGCAGGTAGATCAGCTCCGCTGCAAGCCCCGTTCTTGAGGCTTGCATCTCATACCCAATATGTGCCTACAGAGTGGCATTTTGCAGGTGGCCGATAGGGTCGCAGTGCCATGAAGGGAGGTACGATGTTGGAGAACGAATGAAGTCGTGGCGACGTGCATATAAGCGCTTACTCTAACCAACGGCCGGCGAACGGGCCCAGCACGGCGCTTATACCGTTCTCCTGGGTACCGCGGTGCCGCGGATGGACGAATAACACGCCACGGACCTCTGACAAACTCGACGCGTCAACCAGGACACCACACGCGAAACAGCTGCCTCCGGACTAAACCTAGCTTGATGCTGACACGTGTGGCTGCATGTGAGAGACGACGACGGCCTTGTGGGTTTGACGGCCTCCCCCTCTGCCTTGGCAGCCAGACATGCGGCCCCGAGATGCTCCGCCAGCTTCTTGGACATGCTACCAAGGAGCTGGCCCAAGGAGCTGGCTTCAACGTATGGTGAGACCCCGGGATGCCTTCCTGGTTGGCTTCCCAGTGGCCCAAAACAACACGGTATGGCTCATAAAGTCGCTCGCCCGAGAACTCGCCTTGCCCCGTATGAATGGGGCGCCATGGCTCCGCAGCATGACTTCGCCGCAGAGTAGAATGGCTTCTGCAGAAAACTCTAACAGCCCACAAGCACCTCTGCGTTATCAGCGGGCAGCAGAGTTCGAGATCGTCGATATCTCCAACCGGAATCAGATCCTCTTGATCCACCCACCACACCATACTCGTCCAGGTCTTTTGCCCTTCTCGCATGAAGAACATGGCTACCGCAACGTTTCACAGCCGACCCGGCCCCGCACCCAAGGCCTGCATCCAGGCAGGGCCGGCCGGCCTGAGTTCATGGCTACGTGCCCGTACCCACGCACAGAGCAGCCAGTGGGCAAGGTATGATGGCCTGACACTGAATATGTCTGGGAGATGGCTTTGTTTTCCCAGTCTCTCTGCTCCTATTGAGTCGTCCCGGCTCCTTGACCTACCATCTATGACTTCAGCATCAGAGAGAAAGGGCGGCAGAGTGGACGGCTCGAAAGGTAGCTGTCTGGAAATCCGCGATGCGTGCGCAGGTCACGGTCTATTCATCTACCTATTCAGCGAGCTCCCGGGATAATTGCATAACTGGTGGTCGCCAAACGTGACAGACTGCCATTTCAAATCCTCCGCCCCCAGCTGTCTCAGAAGCACGGCCGGGTCCGCTGCCTTGATGTTGGGGCCTGGCGCCATGGCTGTGGATGAAAATATGGCGCCTCCGCTCTTATAAGAGCCCTGCTCAACGGGATCCTCGTCCTCGATGACCATACAGCAAACGGCCATCTCAAGCTTGTCAACCACCTCACCCTCGCCATTCTTCAGCACAAGGCCCCAGATGCCCGGTCCGTTGGAAACCCCGGGGCGCATTCTCTTGTTGGGAAGTCGGTGAACGAGCGTCCCGTTGAATATCTCCACGCCCTCGGACGTATATGGCTGGACATAACCCAGGCCAGGTAGAGACGGACGATAACCCGGCCACTCGGGTAACTCGATGGTGCCCCATGAGCGAAAGTCAAAGACGGTCATGGCGTTGGTTTCTGCCGCATGTTGGTTTCTGTGAGCTGGATCCCGAAGTATATACACCCCGCCCTTCTCAATGAACTTGTCGAGGGATCCCAGAATACCGACTCCCATGAAGAACGCGTTAGAATGCGTCTTGAATCCAAGCGGCAGGGAGTGAATGTAGGGTGCAGCGCTGAGCACGTCGGATGGAAAGTCGCCAGGGAAGGCCTTGTGCAGTCGGAGAGCGGCGATATCGAGACGGTGTCCGTGAGGATCCTTAAGGAACTGCAGTGGGATGCAAGCCTTGTCCGCCCATTCCACGAAGCGCCTGTACTCCTGGCCGGCTTGACGGTCTCTCGTCTCTCAGAGACAATGAGAACGGCATCGGCGCGGGCCCGGCCCTTGAGCATTCCTTTGTAGGGCCACGTCTTCAGGGCAAACTTCTTGTTGATGGGTGGAAAACTTAGGCCCCGGTCAGGCCACGGCTTTTCCGGTGGCCAAGTCAGGCCCTGGCTGATGGCACTCCTATCCAGCGGGCGTCCCCAGGCGTCTATCTTCCGAGAAACTTGCTTGACCAAGTTGTGTGCCGCTGTCATCAGGTAGATGGGTGCCTTGTCATCGTTGCTGACTCCGCGAACGAACCACGCAGTCCCCTTGTTCCACGCTGTCGGAATCATGTAGTTGAAGCTCGGATTATTCCAGGGCTATTGGTAGGAACTCGATTCCAGGAGGTTTCTCGCGTGGAAGGTGGACAACCCACGGATACCCGTCTGCTCTGCTCGACTTGGCCGCCGGGATTTGCGTGATCCGAGTATTCCCATCTACTCTGCTGTCCTCCGGGGTGCTATGCTCCCAAAGGGTCTGCGATAATTCGTTGATGAATTCGGGCGGAGTGACGCCGACGTAGTTCTCAGTGCCCGGATGTCGTAGCTCCCAGGTTATATAAGGGTCATCTTCTTGGCTGACCATTCCAGGGTACTGCCATCTGTCCGGCGCGGGAACCTTGATTTTGGCTCCTTTATTGTGCGTCATTGTGCCGTCTATGCCCAAGACGAAAGACAAGATGAATCGTTGCTAGTCCAAGAAAGAATGTCTTGTTGATTGAGATGAAGACCTCATGAGCGGATGTCTCATGTCGACCGGCCTGTCACTTGAACTAATTACCAGGCAGGCAGTGCTTGCGGGGACGCAGCGAAGTCTCTTCAGCCAGCCCGATCGATGCATGGCTTGAATAAGTCGCGAGCCCGTTGCTACGTACATGCAGCTGAGCCTCGTCAGCCAGCCGAGTCGATGCATGGCGTTAACTAGTCGGGACCTGAGAAACCTGTCTGAGACCGAAAAGAGGGGTCCATGGAACCACGTCGGCGACAACCAAGCACACCATACTAGGTCATAATGCACGTTTGCGGCGACGGCCAACCAAGGAAACCGAACATATGGAGTGACCAAGACATAGAGCGGTCTCTCCAGGCGAGACAGGCATCTGTGTGTAGCGGAGATTTACAAAAGGGGCCATCAGGTAATCAAATCGGTGAACGAACGGCCTACTTGCTGTAGCAGTAACAGACGCAATCATCAGATTCACCAAGCGTCCAAGACTAAGTCGTGTTACCAAGTTAGAAGATGGGCGACGAAGACAGAAAGGCAGTTCCTTTCAAGGCAGAGGCTTTCACGCCGATGCAACAAATCTTCACCCGGCTGAGGGACTACTGTACGCCAAATCCGCGCTTTGTTTTGCCCTTTTTCAAAACGTATCGAGAGTTACAAGTCGACCTGTCGCCAAAGGCGGCAGTTTGTTCACGAGCTACTCCCAAGTCACGCTGAATACCTTACGTACCTGACAAGACATGGCGGACATTATTGGGCAGTTGCCACGGGACAGGGCGAGGTCTTCCAGCTCGAATGGCCGGCGAGGGTGCTCGACAAGGGTACTTATGACTATGTCGGCAGCGATGGGATCGATGCCCAACAAGTCGAACCTCAGACGGTTGTCGACGCCGAGTTTCGTCTTTCAAACGATCTGATGACCTTAGGGAACATCTCGGCCGGGCCGAGCGGTTCCAAAGTAGGTACCAGCCTCACCCATGTGACCGCGTTTTAAAGGAAAAAAGGATACCTTAGCCAGACCTGACCAATCCCCAACACCAGCTCTCTCAAGTCTACGAGCAAATCATTTTCAACCTCGTGCCAACAACGAGCGGCTCCAGCCCAAACCTCGAGAAGCTCCACATTGATCAAGACAAGATCAACGACTGGCTCCTCGAGGAAGTGGTCGACTGGGAGCCGCCTCGGGAGGACCTTCTCGCCGATATCCCATCAGACTACGACGAGCACAAACCACCACCACCAGCCGCCGCCAAACCCGTCGAGGGAGGAAACACGAGCAACACCGTTGATGATGCGTTCGACTCTCCCCTGCGCACCATCTCGCGCGTCGACCTCTACCAGAAGATCCTCGACGTGTACGAGTCCCAGAGATTCCGTTGGGCGACATTCAAGGTGAAGGCGCGTCACAAGGACATGACCAAGGCCACACCAACCGAGATCGACAATCACAACCGGCTGCTGTCAACCTACGCACCCATCTTCGACGCCCGTCTCGAGGGTATCTGGACTCTGCTCGTCGTCCGTGGCCAGTACCACCGCGTGAAGTACTTCTTGGGCTTGATCGATGTCGGCTCAGCCTCCGATCCTCTGCTCAAGGCCAAGGAGAACGTGCTGGCGTCCGTCATGCGGAGCATTGACGATAGCGAGGACATCTACCCGGTCATCTTCAGCCTGTCGACCTGGGCCAGGAGCTTGAGCACCGCATTCAAGCCCGAGGACCATCTCGCGAGCGAGCCGCTGATACGCGAGGAGTTGATGGAGAAGCAAAAGGAGCGGGCCGTCCTCCTCGAGCGCCTCAACAATTTCAAGGCGGCCGAACAGGACGTCGAGGCGCTCGAGCGCAAGGTGGACGAGGCGCGGTCGAGTTTCTTGCAGGCCCGCGATGCCATGCTCGAGAACTACTCGGACACGGCGATCAATGCTATCGAGATGTACTTTGATGTTCAGGCGCGAAATCCCGACAAGGGCAAGGGCAGCACGGTGGCGGAGGATATCGAGCGAGGCGATCTTAATGGCGCCCTCGAGGTCATGAATCAGAAGCCACTGACCGCTGAGCAGTTTACCAAGCTCAGAGACATGCATGGCAAAGTGTATCAAAAACCAGTCTGCCTTACAGAGCGCATCAGAGGCGCTCGCAAGAGCGTCGCTGGCGGCGGCCATGGGCCGAGGGTCTGACGCCAAAACGGCCGTGGCAACCATGCAGGAGCGCATCGCCTCGCTGACCATCGACATCGACTATATCGTCAAGATCCTCGGGTCCTCAGATAATCCATTGGGCGTTGACGTCCACGTGCCCGACCCGGATGCCACGGTTCCCGAGGGTTCCCCTGAGGGCACCTCCCCTGCCACGGTCAAGGTCTTGCCCAAGCCGACCAGTCTTCCCGCGCGCGTGGTCCCGACTCAACCCGTTCTACCGCGGAAGGAGCAGTTTGCGTCGACGTGGCAGGAGGTAGTCTGGAAACTAGACACGGCGACGACGTGGAAGAACTCGATGGCGTCGGTATTCCAATCTCACATGGATTGGAGCGTCGATTTCTTCGGCTCGGCTTCGGGAAGCGAAGACAAGCAGGAATCCCACAAATCAGCGTCGTCAACCGGTATGTATGGGGGATTAATAAATCATTTACCTTCAACATATTCAGTTATGTTGATAGCAAGTCTAAGTTTAGTTGCTTTCCCTTTCATGACAGGTTTTTATAGTAAAGATTTTATTCTAGAATCTGCTTTTGGACAATTTAGTTTTTCAGGGGTAGCTGCTTATACAATAGCTACTATTGGTGCAGTATTTACAACTTTATATTCTGTTAAAGAAAAAGCGAGATCAGCCTGGGATTCCGCGCGATGAAGGTGGTCATCGACAGGCCGTGGTTCGACGGGTCGGTCCTGCGCCGCAACGAAGACTACTACCGCACCCTGTCGACGCCATCAGCGCCATGGATCCCGACGCCGTCGTCAAGGCTCTCAACCCGGAACCTGGCGACTACAGCTTGGTAGCCAAGAAGCTCGGCCCCGCGTGGAATTCCGTGCTGCCATCCTACCCGACCGCCTTCGTCGTCGCAAAGGACATCCACCTCGTCTTGCGCAGCGACAAGGACTGGGACTCGTCCCAGGTTGACGATTTGCACCGCAGCATGAGTGCGGGCGGCGGGTTCTTGTGCTTTAGCGTGTCCAAGTCCGAAAGCTCAGAGGAGCATCGCACCGCCGCGGCCGTCGCTCACCGGGGCGAGTACTTGTCCATCCGTATCCCGGCGCCGCAGATCATCGGTTGGTGCCTGGAGCTGACGCCCAAGGATGCCTCGCAGGCGGCCTACACGCAGGTCAAGGATTCGAGCTTGGGGAGGGGTGCAGACCCGGCACCGCACCCTGGTCCGCCCAGCAGGGCCTAACGGCGATTTTGTCGACCGGGTGTCTTCGGCTCTTGTCGTTCAGTCGTTGGGCCGGCTCACCCGGAGCGGACTGCGCATGCCAGTTCCCACTTGCGGTTGTGGGGTATATGTCATCTCTTTTCCCTCCGCCACTCCGGCGATATCTCGTAGACATCAATGTCATCGATCTGTCAGAAGCGGGCGAATTCTTTAGTATTCAAGCTCCTGTCCTTGACCTGTGCCGTCAGATCGTTGCGCTACTCTATACTTCTTCCTTGTGGCCTGAATAAGCGTAAATGTGCCCCAAATCATCCATTCATGGTGTTGCTATTTCGGAAGCTCCCGTCGGATGCCGATTGGGCCTTAGCATTGTCCCTTTTAGGCCGCTGGGTCTGAAAGCGGTTCGGCGATAGCGGGCCACATGCCGTCAAATCCGTCTTGGTGCTCGGTTGAGGTTACATATCTGGCTGCTGGGATGCATGTGGCGTTTCTCGGGTCAGCAACGAAGCCGACAGGAAGCGGAGGGAAGAACAGGGTTGAAATATGCGCAGAATGGATTGACTTCCAGTCCATGGAACAAACAATGCCAGAGATTCGTCTTTTATATCCGTAGACAAGATCGACAACGGGCCACGCGAGCCACGGTGGACCTCGGTCGGATTCCCACCCACCAACCGGGTTTACCTGGCTCTGATTGTTTTAACTTTTTTTCAGGAAGGTGCCAGTCAGCCGGTAGCACCCGACTTTGCAGTTGAAGGTCCATATTCTGGGATTGAACAACGTTCTGATAAAGCGGCATGGACATCAGTTGTACGTAAAAGGCACGATCCGATCACCTTGTTGGGCTTGCTTTTTATGTCTTTTCGTGGTGTGGGCGGCCAGGGCCAGATCGGGCTTCGGGGTTCTGGGTCACTATCCAGATTTTAGATATGGCGTGCTGAGAGGGACTCGGAGGAACTTTCGCCAGCCTCCACATGCAACCCCCATCATGCTTTCCAAAGCAAGAAGATAGGGAAAGTCGGACCTCGGGGCACCGAATCGAGTTCCCTTTGGCTCCGTGCGCCGCCCAATCGATGTAAACCGACTTGCCGAGTCTGGATTGCTTCAGGTCCGTTCTCCGGTGAGGGCACATACCCGATGTGTTAGGCCTTTTCGGGGCAAAAGTCAACCTGGAAGAACCTGGCCCAACCCGACCAAGCTGAGCCCAGACCGCAGGGTCCATTGTCCTTTCCAACGTTAAAGCCACGCACTGACACGGGACTCCATCCGATCGTCACCAACAGATCAGATTACGGGCGATTCCCCTGTGCTAAAAACCTCGCAGTCGTATTTCTGCACCACAAGATGCACATGTTGCGAAGCATGTGCAGGATAAGCATTGGCGTCCCTTGGCGCTATCGGGACCCTGCTGCTTGGCCCCAATCATTGCCACCGACACCTGGACAGAGAGATGTGGTGCCGGATTGCAACACGAGTTCCGGGAAGCTGAGGGTGCGGACTCGTATTTCGCTTCAACGGGTCCCTCGGCGGCCTGGCTGTGGGGATGGTCGCTAATCACCCCAGCTCCTTTGGGCTGACTCGAGACATGTCTTTCCATTCTGTTTTAACCTTAACTATCGCCTTCGCGGACCACACTGCCGGAATCTGCTCATGAGGCTAATCGGGGAATCAAAAGAAATGCGTGCTATCGGCTTAGCTACAGCCTGATGATTGCGCTAAAGCCCCTCCAAGGCCTAGAGCGCAGCTGTCCGACTGTCAAGATGCTGAGCCGAAAATCCTCCATCCCCCTCGCCGTGACGGCCATCACCATCCTCGCCGTCCTTTACACTGCGAGGATAGGAGCCTGGTACGGCTTGGACGAACCATATTACCCCAGCGACCCTCACAGGAGCCATCATGCGCCCCAAGGCGCTTTCGAGGAACCTCCTCCTTCTCCTCCTCCTGGACTTCTTCCACCACCTACCAACGCACCTACTGATCCGGCATGTGAGGGCTTCCCAGACACTAGCAATGTGCTGCTGGTCATGAAGACGGGCGCCTCCGAGGCCTTTGCGCGCGTGCCAACCCACCTGATGACCACCCTCCGGTGCTTGCCCGACTTCCTCATCTTCAGCGACATGGATCAGAACATCGCCGGCCAGCAGATCCACGACAGCCTCTCGACTGTGCTGCCCGAGGCCCAGGAGGGAAACCAGGACTTTGACCTGTACCGCCGCCAGAAGTGGTGCGTGGTCAACCAGGACAGCTGCAACAAGCTGGGCAACCCGGCCGACGAGGGCTGGGCCCTGGACAAATACAAGAACATCCACATAGCTGAGAAGACGTATGCCATGCGCCCGGGCTATGACTGGTACCTGTTCATCGATGCCGATACGTACGTCCTGTGGCCGAACCTGATGCAGTGGCTGAAGACGCTGGACCCGGCTGAGAAGCTGTACCTGGGGAGCGTCACCGTCATCAACAACTTCAACTTTGCCCACGGCGGCTCGGGATACATCGTCAGCAAGGCCGCCATGGAGGAGTTCGTTGGGAAACACCCGGGCGTCGGGAATGAGTACGACGTGCGCGCGAAGAACGAGTGCTGTGGGGATTACCTGTTCGCGCTCGCCCTCAAGGCCAAGACGGAGGTGGCCGTTCAGCAGATGGTGGGTGTTGCCGGCTTTTGTTTCCCCCCACACCGCGAAGACATCCTCTCTCTGTGCCTCATCCTAATCCCAGCCGCCCAAGATTTGCTAACACCCAGTCCCAGTGGCCTACCATCAACGGCGAGAAGCCCTCCACGCTCCCTTTCGGCCCGACCCACTGGTGCCACCCGATCGTGACCATGCACCACATGAACGCCGAGGAGCTCAACACCTTCTGGCAGTTCGAGCGCCGCCACCTCCTCCAGTCCACCACCACCATCATAACCCACCAGCACGGACAGTCAACCAAGACGCGGTCTCCACCACCGCCATCACCACCACCACCCCGCCCGCTGCTCATGAAGGACATCTACACGGCCTACGTGGCCCCCTACCTCAACGCTTCCCGCGACGACTGGGACAACCTGGCCGACAACCGCTTCTATCTGGATCCTGCCCGGAATTCGTCATGGGAGGACTGGAAGCTGCAGCGGAGCAAGAAGCCCGCGGAGCTTAATGAGCACGAAAGGATGGCGCACTTGTCGTTTGAGCACTGCCGCGCGGCGTGCAAGAGCCTGGGGGGGGACGAGTGTTTTCGGTTTCGGTACGAGGATGGCGCGTGTAGTATCGGGGATGCGTTTGTTCTGGGGAAGCCCGTCAAGAAGCCGGATGGGGAGATGGTTGGGGTGAAGAGTGGGTGGATGGTAGAGAGGATCCAGGCGTGGATTCAGAGGCAGGGCGCGAGCTGTGATAAGGTTAAGTGGCCTGAGGTTAAAGGGTGAAGGGGTTGTTGGCCTTTGAACTTGGGAGAGATTAAGGTGCGAGTCGATATGGGGAGCTTTGGCTGCTTCGCGACTGAAAGGGGAGATGCTGCGCCGCATCGAGGCCCGGAAGGTAAGAAACACGGCTTGAGATCGAGAATTCCCATAGCCCGGCTTGAGGATCTCGTGAAGCCAAACCCGCCGCGATCTGCGTGTGGTCTTTCGACATCATGATGCGGCAGATGGTCGGCACAGAGCCCTCCGCGCGCCAGCGACCTCCTTTGTATACGGAGGCTTGGGAAGTATTTGGATTGTGTTGCGGCGTTTGGGAGTCCCTGGCATGCAACATCGTGGGTGTAGCACTGGAGGTTTTGATGTTACTTTGTACGTTGTGCATAGAGGGAGTGATAGGCAGACATGAGGTAGTCGAGCTTAGGATGAATATCGTCCTAGCAAGGTAAGTACATACATCTGCCGAGGAAGTTGCCCGGCCAGGCTCTAAGGTTGACATGTGATCCACAGATGTTCTCACTTATACCGAGGGTGACCGAACCTCCCATCACCACCTAGAGCTTGTTGGTCTTTGGTGCAGTGGGGAAGGAGCCTCTTAGTGCCTCAATCCGCTTGTATCCTTTGGAGGTTTAAAACAGTATGGGTACAGCTAACTTATGGTACATGAAACAAAGATACCCTTGCGTTGTCCGATTCATTGTTGCATTTTGAGGGTTGCTCAGCGACATCTGTGGTGTTCCATGAAGCTCGTTACTTGTGGACTCCCATTTCGACTGTGGTGACTGGAACTCGCGACCTATCGGCCTGCCGCCACATAAAGCCTCCCGAATTCGGCTGATATCAGGGAGGCGGAAGAAGCAACCCCATTAAGGGAAATGGTAAAAATCACCCCACAAATCCGCTCTTGTCCCTTCCCGGCTGTTGAAACACTGTAGCGGCGGCGGTTGGAGATCTGTAGACACATCAAAAGATCCCGAGGTGGTTATTATTCTCTGGATTACATGTAGGGACAAGGGCGAAGACACATATTGAGCGTCAAAGGATCTGCGCTATGGTAGAAGATGGCGGACACTTTAATAAACATCAGTGTTATGGCCGGCTTGAAGGACGGAGGAGACGTTTCCGAGTCTGTGTCGATGCTGTGGTGGTCAACGCTGAGGTTGATGATATAAGGGGCTGTTACGCCTTGAGGAGGTCTGTATCCAGAGCAAGCCAGGTGGACTCGGCGATGCGATCATCATGAAGTTCTTAAACCTTCTTCTCGGTGCCGCCGTGGCCGGTGCGAGCGTGGCGGCTCCGGTTGCTAACGCTTCGACGCCAGACACTAATACGGACAAACGAGCAAGCAAGTTCAGGTTTGTAGGCGTCAATCAGTCCGGCGCCGAGTTTGGCAAGGACACTCTCCCCGGGCAGCTCGGCAAGCACTACACTTGGCCTTCAAAGTCAAGCATTGATGTGAGGTCACTCCTGTATCACACTCTCAGGGGTTCTAACCGTACTCAGGCGTACTGACATAATGGCAGACTCTCATTGGCAAGGGGATGAATACGTTTCGCGTTGCAATCATGATGTAGGGCTCGGGATCGGGGTTGCCCTAAGAGGAAGACCATGTTCGTTAATAGGACGCTATAGGGAACGGCTCATCCCGAACAAAATGACCGGCAACGTCGACGCCGCTTATGCCCAAGGCCTCACTGATGTAAGTCGGAGATCAACTTGTCTTCTCAATCTCAGCCGGATCTAATCCTTTCGTTAGATTGTCTCGCACATCACCAACAGGGGTGCTTATGCCGTGATTGATCCACACAACTTTGGTGATTACCTGCTCGATTCATGGCCTCGTGAAGATGCATGAATGGATCTACTAACTTCTGCTCTGCAGGGCGGTACTATGAACAAGTCATCACCGACGTCGACGGCTTCAAAGCCTGGTGGACGACCACTGCCGGGATGTTTGCCAATAACGACAAGGTCATTTTCGATACCAACAACGAGTACCACGACATGGACAACTTGCTTGTCTTCCGGCTCAACCAAGCCGCCATTGACGGCATCCGCGCAGCAGGTGCCACGTCACAGCTGATCTTTATCGAAGGCAACTCATGGACGGGGGCTTGGACATGGGTTCGTACCATCTTCCTTGGTTTGAACCCTTGTATGCCTCAAGCCTAACACACAGAACCGCAGGTCTCCTCGGGCAACGGCGCCGCCCTGCTCAACCTCAAGGACCCCGCCAGCAGCAACACGGACAAGCTCGTCTACGAGATGCACCAGTACCTCGACCGCGACGGCTCCGGCACGTCGGAGACCTGCGTCTCGGCCACCATCGGGCAGGAGCGCGTCCGCGAGGCGACGGCCTGGCTCAAGGCCAACGGCAAGAAGGCCATCCTCGGCGAGACGGCGGGCGGCGCCAACGCGCAGTGCATCGCTGCCCTGACGGGCATGCTCTCCTACATGGCGAGCAACTCGGATGTGTGGACGGGGTGGTTGTGGTGGGGCGGCGGGCCCTGGTGGGGGAATTATATGTTTTCTCTGTGAGTGTTCGCTTCGGTAAACTACCTTGCAGTGTTGTGGTTGTGTTGGTGTGGGGTTGTCGATTTGCTGACCATGACCGTGGCCCGCATGTAGGGAACCGCCGAGCGGGGTTGCATATGAGAGGGTGCTGCCGAGCTTGCTGCCTTATTTCTGAGATCGAAACTGCAGAGAGACGATAATCGGCTGAGAGCCCCTGGAGGAATGGAAACGTGGGGGTAGGAGTGAAGCGAGGAAGTAAGGTCATTAAGTGCCTGCCTGCCTGGGTGCTTGGGTACCTTAGGTAGGCGGCCTGTCTCAGCGGAAGAAACTCGAACTCTTTGGCATCTGTATATTGCAGCTAACTTGTTTATTGTTCGGGAAGCAACTGGAAAATGGAAGCTTCCCCATAAGAAAGAGCGCAGCCGACGCGCCTTACCCAACAGGGCAGACTCTCAAGAGATACTGTAGAAATCCGTCCAGTGTGGATGGGATCAATGAGCGCGTCTCTCGTCCAAAATGTAACCCTTTTTTAAAGAGGTAGACAAGTTGGTGGAGTTTTACCGCCGTCCTTCGAAGTAGGGTTGTGGTATCCCAAGCGTCGCGTTTATTGATCGAAAACGCGTTTTGCCCTGAAGTACGGAAAACTGTTATTTTGCCGCTCTAATTTACATAATTCGGAAGGCGATAGCAGCATGGATTAGTTAGGCCTATATATGAGGATCTTTTTCCTGCCACTATCGCCCGCCAGCTAGCACAATACCCACAAATCCTAGGACCTAGATTACGAGGGCTTGCTAGCCGAATGGGGAGATAAACAAGGCCTGGATACGTGACTGATGCCTTATTTGTCTCCTGTTGTACATAACTTAGTGGTGCAGTTCCTCGGGTACTTCAACTAATTGTGTGACCGCGCCTGCTGTCGAGGTGCGCGCTTCCCTTGCTCGCGTGTGCCCCACTTGCTCTAGCATTTATCTCCTGCAATGCGAGAGCTCTTCCAGCTTCTATTTCTTTTCTTTCTATCTTGTAATTTTACATAGTAGAGAGGTCTTTCCGCAGCCTTGCCTCGGACAATGACGCTCTGCTCGTTGTGACGGAAAGCGCACCCTGGACTTACGCCTAATCGGTGGGTGGCCTGTGCGCCCACTTACTCCACGCGTCGCAGATGCGCATCCTGTATACTCTCCCTCTTCCTTTCCTTAGCTTTCGATTAGCAGAATTGAGTCGGCATTCGCAGTGCCCAGTGCCTCGCCTTGATACAATTTGCCGGCCACGCTTGCCGCTGCTCTGGCTGCCGGCGCAGGCCCCAATTATCGCTTCGCGTTCCCCGTGACGCCGCACTGCTTGGTACCTCATCAACGAGACCCAATATGCGAGGCACGCCTGGTCCAACCAAGACCCCTCATACCGGCCACCCATGGACGAAAGGCGGGCTTCATCACTCAGAGGCTCTGATGAACGTGATGCAAAGAACATCGCGCCCGAACTGAGACTTGTCGACATTTGGCTACCGACGCTGAGGATGCCGGTCGATCTCCCTTGGCAGGTCAACGAACATGAAGCTCCAGTTCCGAGCTTGATGATCACATGTCTGCTGAAACAGTCGGGGAATCCGACCTGGATGCCGACTTAGGCCCCGATTCCGCCTCCGGCTCGGGACGCCGACAGTTTGTCTTCCTGGTCCGACTCCAATGTGCAATTCGGCAGCATCATGTGCGCCTACACGGCCCTTCATCTTGCTGCCAGGGAGGGACACAATGGAATTATAGACATGCTGCTGGACCACGGCGCCTTGAATGACGGCTTCTGCCGCTGGTTTTATAATTGCCGTTCCCCGCGCAGCCTTTGGCAGATCCTCGTGGACCCTGAACTTGACCCGTGGGCTCATGGACATGACCACGCGGGCACTCGACACGGCGATTGGAGAAGCAAAACGCCACTTCACATCGCCATCTGCTCGTCTCGCATCGATACCGCCAAACTGCTCGTTTCACGTGGCGCAGGAGTTGCCCGCAGTTTCGACGTTTTGAGTCTCCCGGCTCACGGCGCCCTCCATCAAGCCGCCACGGCCGGTTTTACCGGGTTGGTCCAGTACATCTTGGACACGCACCCAGAGTTGCCCGTTGACAAGCCAGACGAGAATGGCTTGACCGCATTTTATCATGCGTATGCCAACCAGCGCTGGGATTCAACGGCTCCCTACTCTCTTGTCCGTGGAGCCAACATCAACATCACCTCTAGGATAATTGGGGATGACGAGAGCCTCAAAACCACGCCGCTCGGGGAGGCATGCCGTCTCGGCCGCTTCGAAGACGCCCATGAATTGATCGATATGGGTGCCGACGTCAGCTTCGGCATTCTGAGAGAGGCAACGGAAGAAGATGACTCAGAATTAGAGGACGACTTCGACTCCGACACCCACATATCGCTATTGCATGTCTGTAGCATGGACTTCAGCAGGGACAACGACCTATATCCCCGGAAACCTGGTGTCTGGCACCCCGTCTCTTCGCAGAGATCCTCACAGTCCGCGCTGATCGCTCGCCTGGTTACAGAGGGCCTTTCCCTAAACTCACAATGGGGAAAGACCGAGTCAGCCGCCTGCAGAGGTACAACTTTGCGCTACCCCATGACACGCCGCTCTCCATCGCCGTAAGGCACCAGAATCTCGCCGCGGTCGAAGCACTCCTACGTGCCGGGGCGGATGTCAACTTGCGCGCGTCATATGGCAGACTCCTCTCATGCTTGCCGTCCTCCTGCCTGACTGTGGAGTGTGCGAGCGGACAGGGCGAGACAATTCTGGGGTAACTGTTTGGGGCAACTGCACGCTGTTGCCCTGCCATGAAACATACCTGAAAAACGTTCCGTCAACCGACTATCCTGCCAAATGGGCGATAGCTAGACTCCTCTTGGATGCCGGTGCTCGGATCGATGACCGGGATCTAGATGGAAACTCTCCCCTGCATTTGCTCTTTCAATTTTCGGGGGGCGACCGCCTTGGAGCCGCATTGACAACGAGCGGAATCGAAACCAGCTTCTTCGCTTTTTGCTTGCCAGGGGCGCCGATCTGTGGAACTTGAATGCCTCGGGCGAATACGTTCTACGGCTCATCGTGAAGGCGACGGGGAACACGGCCTTGGAGATCATATCGGGCCATTGTCGCATCGACCTGGCAGACCGACTCTCCATGGATGAGATTACCGCAGACGCAAGGTCATACGTCGATGGAAGGTTCGGGCGGCTTCGAGGAGCAGGGCACATACATCGACTTTGAGGGGGTCACAAAGTATGGGCGCTTGATCAGAACGCTAATGAGCATGGACGTATCCAGGTGCGTGTCCCTGGAGGTATGCCCCATCTGCAAGCATGTGCTGGAAGTCGGCCGCAGCAACCCACATGCACTGTTCATAGCAACCGAAGTCGTTGAGGTCCTCTGTTTCAGGGGCTTTGAGAGAGGGGTTTTCGACTCATAGGCAAAGCAGGCCCTCCTGCGCCTCGGTTTAAAGATAGGGAGGAGGGCTGTTGCTTACCAGCTCCTCGGGGAGTTTGTCTGAGGTCCATGGAATCAACAATTTCGGGTCTGAAGACGAGCTGAATTTTCTTTCCATGGTGGTCACCTCATCGTCCTTCGACCGTGTGTATTCGCCGAGCCCTGACGTACGGGTGGTGGAAGCTGGCGCTGACAGTCATCAACCTGTCGGCTCGATTCGGTTCAAGCGGTACGATTGGAACAAGTGCTACCAGGATGCAAGGCGTAATGTCGCCACTCAAGCAAGCCTTGGTGTACCCGGATGCCTTCCATATCGAGTGGATGTTCTCCAGACAGCGGATCCGAGGAAACCCGCAGGCGGCTGCCGCCCGCTATCTCCATTGGGCTGTGACGCTGCATTGGGCTGACGATTATCTTGTCCGGTCCCGGCGCCCTGACGACCCGTCGTGGTCCATGAGAGAGCAGAGCATTCGCTCCCTCCTCGCTGCCGGAGCCGATCCTGCTCAGCTTGACAACAGCGGCAACACGCCACCGTTGCCCTCCTGCAGAAGCTGGTGCGGGGATCACAGTCAGCTCAAACATGTATGCCACTTATTCAAGCCTCTGAGCAGGGGCGTTGATATTAACTGCAAGAACCAGGACGGACGTTCGGTGGGTGATTACCCCGAGTCGCTCTCCGAGGTGCCCCAAGCAGCTGAGTATCTATACCTGTACTTAAGGCTGGTCAAGCTGGAGCATGGGAAATGGGACCTCACTAATGAGAGCCATTGGTCGTTTTGAAAAGGGCTATGCAGGATCTCAACGGGGAGATTAGGTCAAGAATATGTCAGATCGCTGTCTCTGGATGAGTAATACAGTACTACAACGTCTTACCCCTCAACTGCCCCCGAGGAGCTGCCGCGAATCTGGCTTGTAAGCAGCTGAGTTCCGTGCACATCCGTTCTGACCGTTCTCTCTCATCAGTAGTTCCCTAGATGAACATCCCCGCTTCGTGCCTCTATCCCACATCACAATATACGACGGCTGGGCTAACCGAACTCAAGGACCCAACAACCCCTGTGCCGCTCGTTTGCAGCACTCAGCTACGGTCGATGGAGCCCTGTTGACGAATATTCCGCGGTCATTGGCTGCCTTAAAAGTGGCCATCTGTAGACGATAGCCGAAATGCCAGGGTGGCAGACGGGGTGTCTAATTTCGCTGAAGGTGGTAATCAGCCCTGGACGGTTTGTCGATGCGTGCAACGTAGGTGGAACATTGGAAGATCTCTGCCACGGCGAACCCCGCTCAGGACGATTCAACTATCACTGACCCTACTGTGCGGTAGACATCATGAAGCCGTTAGCCTCACTTATCCGCCGGCACCTACCTATCTCGCCCATATTCAAGACCGCCGCCGAGCCAGACCCGAGTCGAGGAGGCGCAGAGGGCCGGCAGACCCAGCAGCGAGAGGCGCCATCAGGGGATTCGAAGAACCAATCCGCCAAGAGTGTTCCGACCTCTGGCTTTGAGCTCATAAATTCTTCGACGAAACTCGAGGAAGAGACGTACTCGTGGCACTCGGTCAAGTCGTTCTACCCGGCCGCCATAGGCGAAATCCTCAACAACACATACCAGGTCATCGCCAAACTGGGCTACGGCAGCGCTTCCACAACATGGCTTTGCCGCGATCTCCGGAACCATCGCTATGTCACCATCAAGATCTATGCCACGGGCGAGGCTCAGACGGCCCGCGAGGTCATTGCCCTCAAACATATAAACTGGGTGCTCGCGAACTTGCCGCCCAATAAGCACCTGGGCGCGAGGAGCATCCGCACGCTGATAGATCAGTTCGAGATCCCGCGCCCGGCGTCGTCGCGCTTAAACCTTTGCCTCATTTTCGAACCGCTCAGCATGTCCGTCGGTGATGTGAGGAAACTATTGTATGACGGCCGAATGCCCATCAACATGGTGAAATCTGTCGCCTTTTACGTGCTCCAAGCCCTTGATTTTCTCCGTCGCAAGGCCAAGCTTGTCCATGCAGGTACGCTTCATGTTCACAAACAGCGCCCGTATCTTGTGTTATATACTGACTCGCAGAACCACCAAGACATCAAAGAAGACAACATCATCTTCGCTGCCGCGCAAAACTCAGAGTGGCGCCAGTTCGAAGACGCCGAGATGGCCGAGCCCAGCCCGCGCAAAGTCTATAAGCACCACGCCATCTATTCAAGTAGGGTGTCGGGCCTCCCGACACCATCGATACCCGTCCTGTGCGACTTTGGCGAAGCCCGGTTTGGGAAGGAGTCATACGGCGAACACGCCATGCCAGACCTTTACCGCGCCCCTGAGATTCTTCTGCGCATTGAGTGGGCTGAGAAGATTGATATCTGGGCGCTGGGGCTCGTGGTAAGCTTCCCCGTGCCTGAAACCTAATGGGTTGCAGTCATCGACACAACTGACATGTTGCGACTCAAACGAACAGCTGTGGGCACTGACCGAAGGGACGAATTTCTTCAACGACAACAAAGGTGGCCGCTGGAAATCGGCCCTGCCTCATATGGCCCGCATGGTCAGTCTCCTGGGCCCGCTGCCACAAGACTTGTTGGACCTGACGCCCGTGTCAAGGGAATTCTTTGACAAGTCCGGTGAGTACCGTACCATTACCTGTAGCCCTTATGAGGAGAGTGGGGCGTCATGTCATGAAAATTCTGCCGACCATTTGGTGACTTCAGCTGACGGTCTCGACGTTGTGATAGGGCGTCTCAGAAAAGGGCATCAAGTCATCGAGACGCCACTGGAAGCCGAGGCGACGGCCTTGGAAGGGGAGGCCAAGGCCAGCTTTCTGCGGTTTCTCAGACGAATACTTCAATGGGACGCCGACAAGCGGCCCTCTGCACAAGAGCTGCTCAAGGATCCGTGGCTGGTTATCTCGCAGGATGATTCGGAGTCGGAAGAGGGAAGGCAAGAGGACGCAAGTCAGTAAAGACTTTTCCTTCTTGGCAAGGGATTCCCGCGGCATTTGAGATCACCGCTCCCTGTCTGGCCCTCGTTAATCACAGCCTATCCAGCACGTTAGTAATCATGCGGCATATCTGAGTATGCTGCTCCTTTGCTCGGGGCCACATGAATCTACGCCCAGGTTGAAGTTAGGTAGGTACTAAACCAAAGACGGATACCTGCCGGTGATATGTACTGATGAATAAAGAGTATGTTATGTACATGAAAATCTCCTGGGCTCCGAGCCAACTCCAGATCCCCGGCCACCCCTGACTTGAGCCCACCTTCTGATTCTGTGAATCCAACCCCTGGCCCAATTCCTCAATACCCCTTTCTCAAACCGAAAAGGATCCGGCTTTACAAGCACTGCGAGTACCAGTCGTTGGAATACTTGCAAGTAGATCCCGCTTCGCACGTCTTGCACCCGGTGTACCCGTTCCCCCCGCACTGCGCATACCGCGGCGCGGTGCAACCACCGCTGCCACCGCCGGAAGTCGAGGTCGTCGTCGAGGCGGGCGGGGCCGAGCTGGTCGGGGTGCCGCCGCCGGATGACGAGCCCCAGGCGTTGAGGATGGCGTTGTAGGCCGCCTTCTTCTGCAGGTTGCGGTCCCAGATGAGCGGGTACGAGTTGGAGATCCACGTGTATTTGTCGGTGAAGCCCCAGGTGGTAATTCCTATGCATGCGGCGACCTGCTTGCAGGCCGAGACGATGGTGGCGTAGTCGGTCGCCTGCTGGTTGAAGTTGGGGTTGCTCGAGGGCGTGGCGATGTCGAGTTCGGTGAAAGCGACCTCGACGCCGAGGTTCGCGAACGCCTGCAGGTTGGACACGTACTGCGACGCCGATCCAACTTGTCCCGTCGTCAGGTGGCCCTGCAGGCCCATGCCGTGGATGGGCGCGCCGTAGGCCTTAACCATGCGGATCAGGTTCTGGGCGCCCGTGGACTTGGCGCCGGGCTTGTCGCAGTTGTAGTCGTTGTAGTACAGCTTGGCCTGGGGGTCGGCCTCGGCGGCGGCTTTAAAGGCGATGGGGATGAAGGCTGGGCCAATGGTGCGGCCCCAGACCGAGTCAGAGCTGCGGTAGGTGCCGTCCTCGTTGAGTGCCTCGTTGACCACGTCCCAGGCGTAGCATTTGCCCTTGTAGTGGCCCACCACGTTGGCGATGTGATTCTTCAAGATGCTGATGAGGGTCGCGTTGTCGAACCGGCCGTTGGTCACCCACGACGGCACTTGGCTGTGCCAGATGAGGGCGTGGCAGCGCATGATCTGGCCGTTGGCCTGCGCCTGGGCCACGATGCGGTCGGCGTTGGCGTAGCTGAAGGTGCCGCGTGACGGTTCCAGGGCGTCGAACTTCATCTCGTTCTCGGCCGTGTACTGGCCAAAGTCCTGCGAGTTCTTGGCGATGTTGTTGGCGCTGGCGTCGTTCATGACATAGCCGCTGATCTCGGTGCCGAAGTACTTCTTGCCCGCGGCCACGGCCCGGGCGTGGAGGCCATCGGCGGCGACAATGCCGGCCGAGGCCAGCGCAGCCAGGAGGATCGATTTGAGACCGGTCATGATGTGCGCTGTCGGGGTAGAGTGTACAGTGCCGCTGGAGGAGAAGCTGTCAATGTCAGCATACCAGCAACGCGGCAGCCCCTTTTAATCTAGTCTCGAGACTCTCGACCATGGCATAAACCAGCGGTCAGTGGACTGCTGATGTCGTATGTCGGTCGATGACCGGGCCGGCGGCTCCAACACGCCTGTCACCTCCGTGCCTTCTGCTTCAGGTTCGGAGGCTTGAACAGTTCCCTTTCATCTCCGAACGTGCTCGCCCCATCCCCGGCCTGTGATGTTGGGTCATCAGGGAGAGTTGTTGCTATTGGCACGCTTGGCAACGGCGTGGGCAGCGTTGTATCCACCCATTCCGGGCATCATGTCGCCTAGGCGAGGCTCAAACACCATGTCTTGTTTCGGAACGGAGCTGAGCGGAGATTGGGAGTTGAATCAAGCTAAGCTGCGAGCCCCTGGCAGGGTCGGTCCGTCTTGGTTGCTCCACTCGCCGGCAGTGGACCGCGGCAGTTGATGTGCCCAGGCAAGCCAGGGAACAAGAGGAGTGTTACTCCGTACCGAGGTAGGGGAAATACTGAACGATACCGTAGCTATACTCAAGAGTTATATGTCTGTGTAAGGACTTAATGTAAGGTAGAGAACGTCCGTGGACGCTGCCTGCATCCGATGCCCTCAGCCCTGTCCCAGCCCTGGTTGGACTAGGTTGGACTAAATTGGACTCGGCGCAGTTGGTCAAGACCTACCTTCGTACCGGGTTCTGTTTCCCAGCTAGGTTTCAGCTGGAATTAAGCTTTGGCTGCCCCATCTCCAGCTTGCGCCTCACGGCTATTGTACAGTATATAGCCTGATTCCAAAGTCGCACCAAGCGGGAAATTTTGCACGCAGCGTCGGGATCCTTGTTCAGGACTCTCGACGTCTCAGATAAATCGCTTAGTGTGCTCGTGTTCCCCCCGTCTGGTTGCCCTGCTCCGGCGAGACTGCTGGTATAAACCCCACCCTTGCGGTCTGGTACGTGTAGCTTCGGGATGGTCATTGGCCAATCCAACGACAAGTCTAAACATGAACGGGATGGTGTAGGCTCGCTCACACAGGCCTTGAAGGCACTTGTAAGAGTCGAACTCCTAAACGCTCTGGTCGAGTTTCCATGGGAGCTCTTTGCTCTTTCCAGCCCGCCCTCCCCCTTTTTTCCCCCAGGTTTTTTGGTCACACCATCTTTCCCCGCACGTCCTTGGGGCCTTCTGACAAAAAGATTGCGATGTTTGTTGTGCCAACGATCAAGGGCTCGTTGATCCAACCCCCCGCAATCACTGATAATGAGTTTCACGGTTGGTGAACGGTACAAGTCAAGTTCTCCGCCTTCGCCGCGTCCAAAGTAGCGGCCTGCATCACGCCGAGGAGTGGATCGCACAGCAACGGCCACCTTTCGACGTGGTACACCTGGGATACAAGGCTACACCGGGCTTCGTATGGCGCCAATGACGGTGCCGCAGGCCATGCAGGGCACCAACTCGGTCGTCCTGGCGCTGCTGCCGGGCCAGTTTTATGGGCCGTTTGCCGGGGCCACGGTGCATGTCGACGACGTCGCACGGGCCATGTCTCGGCGCTCAGCCCGGGCGTCTTTGGTGACCGAAGCCACCGGTACACCCTCAGTGGGGCAGCTCTGGTAGGACGATGCTATCGGCGTTCCGAAGCGCGGGTTTGAGATGCGTTTAGCAGGAGGGCTGAGACGACGGACGTTCCACTTCGAATATACGAGCTACGAAGAGCAGGCCAGAAGCTCGTCGATCAGTTTCTCGAGCTAAGGTCGAGGAACAAAGCCGACGTCCGGGGTACAAGTCAACGCTAATGTCAAGACGTATCTTGGTGCTTTACTATGAGACGCTGTCGTGCATGAAGTCTTTCAGCTGTTGTTGCCGGTAAACGGCGCATGGTAAGGCAGAAAGCGAGGTATAAAAATGGACATGATACTCAAACTGCTTAAAAACGCTATACAGCAAGATTTTTGGTTGATAGAACTCCCGCTCTAGAAGAGTACTTGTTGCGCCACATAGAGTGGTGATGAGTGTTTCTGCACTTCCGTAAGGATTACAAGAACTTGGATTCCTGGAAGCCACCGGAAACTGTTTTGTTTCTGGAATGCAGTTGTGAGACATGGCTCCCGTCTACCTCCGTAGAAGCATTTGTATCGCTAATCCTGTCCCAATGATTGCATAGAAGCACTTAACGCTCCGCTAATTTCATCACATTTGCCGACGATAAGATAAGTACGAATCCGTAATGTGCACTTGTGGAAGCTTTGAGCTTTGAGCTGTGATGCCAGTGCGCCTTCCAGGGTGCTGGTGGCAAAGAGGGAGCTTCAAGTCCTGTTTCCCCGACATCCATCTCCTCCGCCATTTGCGCACTCGAACCACATAATGGCGCGTCTCGACGAGATGCGGTTTGATCCGTCTCGCCTGAACAAGGCGAGCGCGGCAGACTACTCGTCCTCCGAGTCTGACGGCGACGAGGAAGACGAGTACCTCATGCCCTCGCGCAATCCGCACGACAGTGAATTCGCCGACTACAACCCCCGCAAACGCCGCCGGACCGGTCGAGATCCAAAGGAAAGTGCGGCGCTGGGAATATTTGGCTCTGAGAGCGAAGATGACGGCACAAGCCACAAATGGAAGCACAAGAGCCTGCGCAACAAGGGAGTCAGTTTCGTCTCTTCGGCCAAGGTTGAAGCGGACTCCGATGAAGAGGACGACGAGGATAAGGAGGACAAGGGAGCAGTTCAAGAGGAATATAAGGAATACGACGATGCCAATCCAGGCGCCGTACCGCCTGCCGCCGAGGATGACGAAGACGAAGATGAAGAGATGAGCGGCGTAGGTCTGGGCTTCAAGGGCGCGTCTGCAGCAGCAGGCCGAGGTTTGGGCTGGACACCGCCTACGCACCAATCGATGCCTTTGAAGCGAAAACAAAACGCACCACAGGCGTTCGTCAAGTCAAAGATTGACAGCGCAAATCCTCTCGGGAGCGGCTTTACGCCGACATCCGCGCGAGGGCCAACGCTTTTGGTCAAGGATGATGAACCGGCTACGCCCCGCTCCGCGATGCCGAGCGCTTTCAAGCAAACGAAGAGCGGCCAGACCAAGATCAACACAAAGTCATTCGGGGCCCGCATGATGGCCAAGATGGGCTACGTCGAGGGAAAGGGTCTCGGAAAGGAAGGCCAAGGGCGCAACGTCATTATCGAGGCAAACCTACGCCCGCAGAAGGTGGGACTGGGTGCTGTCAAGGAGAAAACCGAGCAGGAGAGGCTGGAGGAGAAGCGGCAAGCCCGCCTTCGTGGAGAGGAAGTCATTGACTCGGAAGAGGAGGAGAGGAAAAAGAAGGCAGCGCGCAGGAAGAAGGCTCTCCCTGGCGGTATCGGCAGCGGGACCGGCAGCGGCGGCAGCACGCCGCGACGCCAGAAGCCAAAGTACCTCACCATGGACGAAATCAAGAAGGCTGCCCCTGGTCTCAACATCCCCGATGCCTTCATGCCCATCCTCGACATGACCGGCCCCGGGAAGAAGCTGCTCACCTCATCGTCTGGCTTGATGACCCCGACCGGAGGTGTCGCTCCTTCCGAGTCTGCAGAAGCTGCCGAAACTCGAAAGCTCGTCAAGCGTGCGCAGAACGACTTCATGGCGATTCTGGAGGAGTGGCAGAGTCTCCAGGAGCGCAAAGCGTACCTGGACCTGCAGCTCAAGCAAGAACAGCAGGAGCTGGAGGAGCTCTCGGTGAGCCTGCAGGGAAACAGATCCGTCACGGCGGCATGTGAAGCAGCGTTCAAACCGACCGAGAGCGGTAAGGCGGACAGGAAAGCAGACTTGAGTTACAGGCTAGGCCGGACCATCTCTGGCCTCGAAGATGCCAGCAGCTCCCTGTCGGACTCCATGCTCCCCCAAATCAAGGAGGAGCTCACTTCTTTGGCCGTTGCCGCGATCCACCCCCTATTCAACCAATACCGTCAGCTTTGGGAACCCCTGGAAGAACCCCAGCCGGCGTTTGTCGACGGACTCAACTCCATCCGAAACCTGTTGGGCCTCGACCACCAAACCAAAAGGACGTACCGCAAACCAACCGCTACCCCGTACGAAACAATGATGTACGAACAATGGCTACGAACTGTCACGGCCGCCGTCCGCGAATGGAACGTCCGCGACCCAGACCAACTCATCGCCGTGCTCGATGCCTGGGATCCCCTCCTCCCGACCTTTGTCCGCACCCAGCTCCTCAACGACATCATCCGCAAGCTTGAAGAAGCGCTCCAGAAATGGCAGCCCAAAAAGCACACCCACAACCTACCGCACCGCTGGATCTTCCCCTGGCTGCCCCACCTCCCCGCAGCCCATCTCGACCCCCGCAGCTCCACCGGCCTCGTTGCCGACGTCCGCCGCAAGTTTCGCCAGCTGATCGACGCCTGGGATTTCAAGCGCGGCGTCATCCCGGGCCTGAAACCGTGGAAAGACGTCCTCCGCCCGGCGGCCACCGCCACCCACGCGGCCCGCGACATGTGGTCGCCCCTGGTCATGAACCACGTCCTCCCCGGCATGGCGCGCTTCCTACGCGCTCACTTCCGCGTCGATCCTCAGGACCAGGAGCCGTACCTGGGCGTGCTCGACAAGACGTTTGAGTGGCTCGATGTGGTTCGCCCGAGCATGCTCGGCGAGGTCATCGTAGCGGAGGTGTTTCCCCTGTGGCACGAAAGGTTGTACCAGTGGCTGATAATGGAGGAGGCGGACTACGAGGAGATCGGGCAGTGGTTTCAGTGGTGGGAGGCTGAGGTGTTCCCCGAGGTGATCAGGGAGTTGCCGTCTGTCGCGGCCGAGTTTGAGAAGGGCACGGCCATGATTGAGAGGGCGTTGGATCTGGGTGATCGGGTCAGGTGTGAGTTGGAGCCGCCTGAGAAGGGACCGGCGTTGAAGACGGCCACGAGGGAGGAGAGGAAGACGAAGAAGAGGGAGGAGGCGCCCGTGCCGGTGGTGCAGGAGCAGAAAATGCCCGAGGAGGTCTCGTTCAGGCAGGTCGTTGAGGAGTTGTGTCAGCAGCATGATCTGCAGTTCATGCCGGAGAGGAACAAGGTGCATGCGGAGGGTCCGTTGTATAGGATCTCGGGGCTGGGTTCCAAGAAGGGCGTTCTAGTCTACTTCAAGGGCAACAGTTTGTTTGCTCAGGTGAAGGGTCGAGACCCGGTTGAGATCAAGAGGGACGATGAGGATGTATTGGGAACGTTGATAGAGTTGGTACTTTCCTAGTTGGGCTTGGTTGGGGCCCTGGGGAACGTACTGAGTCCTCAATGAGAACGATCGACGCAGAGGTTATGATACACTTCTGCCGCAGCAGTGTGCACTTCAGCATCGACATGTCGGCAAACACAAAAGTATGGGAACGAACATCGCCGCTGAGGCCCCAAGTAATGAGTACAATCCAGCGTGTTGCGCTATCCTCCGGCTACACGTGTATAGGTACCTTACGCTTCTCATAAGAACCAACTCAATCAAACTAACCTGCAGGTGGAATTGAGAACGCGGACATTGCGCTGGCGCCTGGGCGGATATTTCTGGCCTCCCCACGGGAGCGGTTGGATCTCAGTAAGGCTGAGCATGTCAGCTTGAAACGCTGGGCGTGCGCCACCAACTCTGGAAAGCTTCGCGCAATTGGTCTGCACACTGCGCTAAGCGCTGAAGCCCTAGGCCCGGGCAGGTCAAATTCAGGGGCACCTGAGATTCAGCACCCCTGAGTGATCAAAAAGTTAAGTGCAAAATCCGCAAGGGAGCGTGGCCGATTGCCATTTAGTAACTTTCGGAGGGTTGACAAGCAGCTAGAAATTGACCTCAAACTCAACAATACCTCTCCTTTCCCTTGCATTCCCAAGTTCCAAATCCCAGACAAAGTCAAACTGCGAGACGGTTACCTTCGCCGCGTCTACAAAGTACGAGATCGGAATGGGAGTGTTTCACCGTATCTATGCGGCTCTCCACGCTGCACCCCTAGCCCTAGGCAGCGCCGATGCCGCAGTCCAGGGCGTCTTCGCCCACTACATGGCAGGTTGTGCCCCGTTGGCCGCGCGGACGCTATTAACTGTCCTAGGTTGGAGGCATGTCCTCCATTTCGCAAGCCCTCACCGATGTCTCGCAAGCCCAGTGTCTCGGCATCGACGCCTTCGCTCTCAACGTCCAGCACCCGGACGCCGAGTGGACTCGGGCCTCGCTAGCCCTCCTCTTCGATGCGGCGGCCCAGATAGGGTTCAAGCTCTTCTTCTCCATGGACATGGGCGTGATTCCGTCTCCCATGGCCTGCCTCCCCCTCCTGAAAGCCTATGCCTCCCACCCGGCATACTACCACTACCACAACCGCCCCTTTCTCAGCACCTTCCGCGGCGGGCGCCACCGGGGCTGGCAAGCCGCCCTGCAGGCCCTCATACCACCGCCCTACTTCATCCCCAACTTCGAAGACCACCCCACCGTCCAGGTCGCCGGCGGCGCCTACCCGCCCTCCATCTTCACCACCCACCCATACCTCGACGGCCTGATGGCGTGGGAAACAGCCTGGCCCTTTGCGGGTTCCTCCAACCTCTCCTCCGCGCTCTCCACCTCCCTGCACATCGACCCCTCCACAATCTCAGCGGACGCGACCAATTTGCGCGTATGCCGCGCCCACAAGAGGAGCTACATGCTCCCCGTGTCCTCGCACCAATCCAAACACTGCGCCGCGCACGGCAACTGGCTCCGTCCGGGCGGCCTCACCCTGCCGCGGCACATGCTCCTCGCGCTGCGGCTGCGGCCCGATTTTGTGCAGCTGCTGACGTGGAACGATGCCGGGGAGGGGCATTACTTTGGGAATGTGTGGCCTGAGTCACTGCCGGATGCCGACATGCGGGCGGTCGTGGATGGGTGGGATCATAGGGGGTGGCAGATTTTGATAGGGCCGTTTGTTGACGCGCTGAAGAGGGGGACGAACGAGGGGGAAGGGGGTGGTGGTGCTGAGAGGGTGTATCCTCTTGATGGGAAGGAGTTTGCGGGGGTGTTTTGGTATAGGCCGCTTTTGAAGGCGACAAAGGGGGGAGTTGATCGGTTGGGGCTTGGGAAGCCTAAAGGGTGGGAGGATGTGGAGGATAAGGTGAATGTGGTTGTGCTGCTGGGGAGGGAAAGTCGGGGGTGGAGAGTTAGAGTTTGGAGTTCTGGGAGGGTGGTGGGGGAGTTTGAGGGGCAGCCGGGGATGAATATGTATCAGGCCGAGGCGGGGAAAGGGGAACAGATGGTTCAGGTTGTGGCGGACGATGGGAGGGTGGTTGGGGAGGGCAAGGGCGCGGTTGGTGTGACTGACCGGATTGAGCAGTTGGGCGGTATTTGCAACTTCAACTACCAGGTAGTGGAGATCGCCTGAATCGGCTTAAAGGAACGCTAGAACTGGGGGATCCAAATCCCGGAACCTAGGGTATTCTCGCTTTCTGACGCTTGTAAAACCCAATATTTCCACAATATGAGAGCAAGCACCACGTCATTTCATGATGTTGGCGAACTCGTGGTCTATCAACAGTCAGCGACCGACATTCATGGTACATACTCTGATCCTCACAGTCAATGGTGCCGTCGCCATTGCGGTCGGCCAGCTTGATCATTTCGTCGAGCTCGGCATCGGTCAGGTTCTCGCCCAGGGACTTTAGCACGTTACGCAGCTCGTCGCTGGAGATGGTGCCACTTCCGTCCTTGTCAAAGACTTTGAATGCGTTGAGAAGTTCCTGCTCCGTATCCAGCTCTTTGACCGTTTGAGACATGAGGGCAAGGAATTCTGGGTAGATGTGTCAGCAGTCGGCAAGCGGTACCATAAGCGATATGTTGGGAGGACTGGGCTTGACTACCATCAAAAGAGATGACACCGTCGTTGTTGAGGTCGGCTTCGTTGACAAGATCACGCAGCTCTGCTTCGCTGGGGTTCAGGCCGAGCTCACGCATGACCTGGCCGAGTTCGGCAGCCGTGATATCGCCTGGGAAATCGAACAACAGTCAGCAGCCATCGCGGGGCTGGAGCCAGGGCGGGCGTTGACTCACCAGTTCCATCCTTGTCCTAAACCGATGCACAACCACAGATACGTCGGTTAGTCGCTGTCATAATGCGGCACGCACACTTCATGGAGGTCGTGTGACGCCTGAAAATTGAGCTTGAACAGAGAGGCTAACGCACAAAAATCTCGAAAACCTCCTTGTATTGCGCGACTTGATCCGCTGGCAGCTTGTGCGGTGGTTTGAAGTCCTTGGGTGCCTGGAGCCCAGAGCTCAGTCAACCGTGGGTTTGTCGCGAGAAATCGTAGAGGTGAAGTTGACACTCACCATGGTTGTTCTTAAGTGGTCCGGTTGTGTCGAGCAGTCCGTGGAGTGAACCTCAGGTCAATTGTCGTTCAATGGCGTGTGTATAGATTCTGCAAAAAACAAATATGCAAACAGTAAGACACTGGAGTTCGCCGCTCTGAAGATGAAATCGCGAGCCTGATGAGGGTGAGGGGTTCTTGAACAGGCCGATCGTGAAACACGTGCCATACACGCGACCGTCTTGTGCAGCCAGCGCCCTGATTCGTTGGCAAACGAGAATGACGAAGGGACGCAGCACTTAGCATTCCCTAACCCTATTCCGACTTACATCCACCTGTCCACACAACTCGGCGTGGATCTTCAACAGAATATGTTATTACTCGGAGAGGACCCTTCTTGTACATACTGGCCGAATTGGTAACTTGCAAGTTATTCCACTCAGGATTTCTTTGTTTGAACCCAGGGAAACAGGCAGGCATCAGCCAGCCCAAAGTCTGGTGCCGACGCCGCTTGGAACTTTAGGCCAGCGTTCAACGTTCAGGGACTGCCAACACAACCCTCAGGCTCTGTAACACTGTACAACTCAAAACAAATCAATGGGATAAAACTGAAACACAATTTTCTCTACGTTTAACATCATATTGTCGATGTGCCTTTGTCGTCAGACCCATGGGGCAAGCTGTAGGCCAAGTATATAGCACCATCACCCCGCCTTCATGCCCACATATGGTCCGAGTCAATGTCCGCCAGACAACTTTTTGATATCATCAAACGTACCATAATTCCCAGTAATGAGTATGCAGTTATTTTCTGGTAATCGGCAGCCTCGTAAGTCTCCCTTCAGTTCCCTGACTGATTTAGTCCTGTACTAATGCAATTCTAGTGCCCTCAGAGCCGACCAAAGAACCCGAAATTATCACCTGGCCGGTTCAAAGTCAGTCTTGATACCCTGCTGAGATGCTATTTGTGTCTTTTAACAATTAACCCCGGTAGGACGCAAGATGCGGCATAAGACGGGCCACCGCCCTACCTGGATAGAAATCCGCAACGTTGCCAGTCGGGCGGTCGATGATGCACTGAGAACGCACACTGTCGAGAAAATTATCGACATTGTAAGAAAGCCTGCCAGAAGTGCTGGCCTCAAGGCCAGCAGGAACAAAGGTGACAAGGACGCCCAACTTAAGCGCGAGTACCATAACATGGTTCTGGACCTTCTGGAAGGTATGTCATAATACATCACGGATCGACGTTGTACACACATTAAGCTAACGATATCTCTAAAGAAGTCTTGAAGAAACAAGCTGGCCAAGCGCAGGCCAGTGGAAAGACGCCAAGCGAGGTGCCGAAGTCCAAGATGAAGCATCGACAGCAAGCAGATTCGAAAGGCTTTTCCCGCCTGTACTTGAACCAAGCTCCTGTTTTTGACGCAGGGCCGGACCCATCCAAGTCAAGCAATCATGCTGCCGGAGAAGGAGAGAGAACGGAGGATCAAAGAGAACTTAGTTTCGGCCGAGTAAAACAGAGCAGCGATGACAGTATTAGTATGGAATGGGTGATTGTGGAGGAAGAACTGTACTCGGGGTGGGTGTCCGTCAACGCCAACGGCTGTTGAGGTTTCTAGCCTATTAGGACGGCACCATTCTGTTGGAAAGCCAACAGCCACGAATGTGTCGCACCGTAGTAATTGGGTACCAAAAAGATGGGCAACCACTCAATTGATGATGATGTACCTGTCTGTGTTCTTCCAGAAGTTCCCTGCCTCTTCCTGATCCTGAGAATCCTGGTGCCAAGCCATTGGTCACCCCTGAACTGCCCTCTCTGACCACCTGCCAAATCCAACACATTCCGCAATGCCTCCATACACTCCAAGCTAAATGCGCACTGATTTGGATGGCGAGGCATCCTAGTATAGACTGCTCATGATAGACATTACCGCCTTATCCAGTACTAACAATCTCTCGTTGGTACTTCATTACCTGCAGGGTATTTTGCATGTGGTGGGCGCGTTCTCCCCCATGGTCCATATCGACCCTGTTTCCCAATTCTACACATCAAAGTACTGTATATACATACCTATACACATCCTCAGAAACATGAATCATTTCCAATCAGATTTGCCATCGTATGGCTACCTCCCCCTGGGAATGCAAACTCTGTGAAATTGCAGTTATATATTATTATTCCTACACCGCTGTGCCCTTGGGCGTGCCGGACCTTCAACAACTTACTATACAGGAAAACCGCGCCCTCGTGGGCCGGGTGAAAAACCCAATATCGACAATCAAGGAAACGATCAGTGTGCGATCCTGCAAATACAAAGTGGGAAGGCCTCTTGGCCTTCGAAGGAAAGGGTATTAGACTGCGAGCTCCAGCTCCAGCCTCCTGGCCAGACCGTACATCGGCAGTTTCCCTGAGTCCATCAGCCAGTCCAGGATCCTCCCCGTTAGCCGTGCAGCTTTGGGACTGATTCCCTGTAGAACAGAATAAAAGTCCCTTCGCGTTCTGACCTCGGCTCTCTCCCATCTTCGAGTCAACGGTGGGCCAAACACCACATCACAAGGTGTTCGACAGTCTCTCGCCCCTCTCCACACTCGCATATAGGCGTCAGTACCTCTGGGACTCTCCTTTCGAATAAGAAAGCCCGAAGGCCTATGGCCCCGGTTCGAATCTGGATCAACAGTGAACTCTTCGCTCTGCTGAGGCCGTCGTGTCTCCTTAGGGTTTTGTCTTGGAACAGAGTCTCGTGCTGGTGGTCAAGGTCATCTGCGGGCCTCGTTGCTGTCCGGCCGTCTCGTTCCTTGAGCCACCTCTCTCTCCAGGCCTCCTCCATTACTCTGTCCGTGTCGGCAGTCCCTCCCGTCCAAACTGCAATTGTGTTAGCGGCTTCTTCTACCGCTGTGGGCTCCTGCGGCCCAAAGGCTCGCGGTCGGCCCCTGTTATCCGTCCTCGAGTTGAATATCTGATATATCTTGCCGCAGGCCGCATGAACAATACTCCCTGCAGTCTTCTTTCCGCCTCGGCCGTCGGCCAGAGTCGGCATTTGAAGCCGGGCCTCAAAGTCAGCCAGTCGTTTGTTGAAGTAGAGGTCCAGTGGCGGTACCCATGTCTCCGTTTCAAGGTTCCGAGTGGGTGTGGACTTGAAGGCTCCTGCCACTATCCGTAGACTCTTGTTTTGAGCTTTTCCAAGCGCCTTGGTGATCCCTCTCGTTGCTGGCTCACCCCCATTGCAGTTATATATGACAAAACGAACAGGACAACTGCTGTCACGGGATAGTCCCGTGACAGGGTTAGGGCTACGTTATGTAGGGAGATGGTCTGTGCGTAGCTCTGCCCTGCAGGGTTTTCCCGTAGCTGCGCACAGCCCACAGTTCTGGTTCCTTGCGCAACTATTGCAGTTCAACACCATACCCAAGACTGCCTATCAATCCCGTGATAACTGCATATGATAGCTATTCTGCTCAGTCAAGTCTCAGGAGAAAACATGAGTCATGGAACACCAGTTTGAACAAGCAACACACCGTATACTGCACCCAAATATCACTGGCAGTGCCATATGTAGAGTGATCAAATGATTTGGGAACAAAAAATTGTTCCCTTCCTGCTTGTGGCTATGTTGGTTCATGCTGCGATCAGCAAGTCAAGCAGCTGGGGTGACGAAACAACTGAACCAAGGGAGTACATGGAGAGTCAGAGTCCCTGACTCATTCATGGCCAAATCATCTATAAATTCACTAACACTTCGAAAGGTCTTATGGCTAAGAGTGGTATATCTAACAGACCTTAGTAGACCGTGAATCAGAATCATCTAACCTAACATTCCACTCGACCTTGAACTCAACCACCTCTTTTTAATAGTTGCCTCCCATTTGTATAACCTTTAGTGGCAGTTGACTCAACGATCTTACTGTTTATTTAAATACCTGTTATAACATTTCGTCCATGTCTTGATACCAGAAGAGCAACTCGGGAAATGCGGGAGGACAGTGGAAATGCTAAGCCTGACCGGTGATGCTGTCACCGATTCCTGCCAATGATTCTCCTCAGACTTCCATCCTAAGCTCGAAAGTTCCAAAATCATTGAAAGCAGTAACCAGCTGGCTAGCACCTGAGGCACCAGAGTTCTTTGACCGGTTACTAACTTCTCCCAGCCCACAAAATCTTCTGAGGTTTCCGTTCCTTCTTCACACACCGTGACACCGACTTCTTCTCTGTCAAGTCATCACCATTGAGCTGCCAAGATCAATGTTTGATGACAGCATCATCGTTTATGTCAACCTTTGACTTTTTGTTCAACCTAAGAAATAACGTCAAGTTAACGTTATCCGCTTTGCAATTTACAGAATGGGCAAGTCGATCGAGTCAAAAGAACCCAGCACGCATCCGCTTCTCTTCAGTCTGGTTCCAGCCATGCATCTTCACGACCTCGCCGACAAATCGCACACTCAGTGGGGACGAGGGCTGACATCGAGACTACAGCTGCCATCCAGATGTTTGATTGGGAAACCATCGTTAGTTCCAGTCATGCCCTTATTAAACGCCACCATTTTGTCATTTGCGGACAAGGCTATCGCGGCCTCGAGTCGCTCGTTCAGTCTGTGTTATGATGCTGACCCAGCCGCACTTCCCAGCTCCCCTCGTCGTTGTACCCATAATGCAGTTGTTCGGCTGCACGACGACTACCGCGAAATTCTGCAAGACATCGATGTTGAAGCCGCTGTCAACTATTCCGAGTAGACAATGCTCCACGAGGCACATGCCGCTCTCGAGGGCGCGCGCTTGCCTCGCGGCTGAACCCGTCGTCACCGCCTTCATGGCCACGCATCTGGACGACAGAGCTCCCTCCCAACCGGCGAATTTGGAGCGGGTGGTCGCCGCGGCCGTGGCCGCAATGCTCAAAGGCCAAATAAAAGGTCACTACGATCCGAACGATTACTCCTTGGAATGGCAGATAATATGCCGCCTCTTGGTCTCTGGAGTGAAGGGTTAGTGGAAAGAAAATGTGTGTTGACTTTGGTGTTTTATTGCTCCGACGTTTCACGCTGACTCCCCTTTATCAGACGAGTTTGCGGAGCGCGTCGAGAGCGACGACAACCCAATCCGAGGCATTCAAGGAATTTGTGTCAGACACCGATTCCACGTCTGAAGCTTTCACTGAAATCGGGTCAGATGCTGTGTCTGAGGAATTCATCAACGTCGAATTCGACGACGAGTCCGAGAGTGGACGGTGGTCTCAACCGCTGCCACGAAATGAGATGCTTCCAATTTGGGCAGCTTGGCTGAGACCATAAATAGGTTTCCCGAGAATGATGGGAAGACCCCAGTCTTCTCATTCATATTCCTCTTTGCGCCTGTCTTACCCTGCTTTTTGTCTTTGTTCTTGTGAGGCGGCTAAGACCGCTTGCGGCGCGGACGCACCTGCTGAGGGACGCAATATTAGCGCGTGATTTTCCATCCATCTTTGCTTCAATATTTGCTAGTTGTCCTCTATTAGGAAAGCTCACTGTGGCCGTGAATAATGTCGATTTCAACTCCGAGTCCAAAGCCTTTACGGAGGTCGAATCGGATGCGGACTACGACCACTGGTCAGTGGTGTCCGTGACCTCGAAGTGAGGTACCTGGTCAGGACCACGGATGCCGGAACTTCCCAAGAACAAATGGAAGACCATAGCATCTTTTGCAGTCACATCCACTTTGCGCCCGCTTGCCCTTCTTACCTACCTTACTATCTCTGATCTGGTCGCATCACTTCGTCTCACCTTAGCTTTCTTCCTTACCTCGAAGCTATGTATTATTGTACTACAAATCTAAAGCGTTCATGGGGATCTCATCGGATGCTTGATTGGACGAATTCACTGGAGTTTGAGCCGATTAAGACGATGACGAGAAGTAGTCGATGGGCCTTCCGAAAACCATGTAAAGACCCCGAATTTCTCGTCCATATTGCCCCCTACGCCTGTTATACCTTTGCTTCTATCTTCATGCTTGATGCACGTTTTTTGTCACTCTTACCGTTCTTGCATGCCGTAGTGAGACACGGTACTACCTCTTGGGGCGGAGCCTTAGCAACACATTGAGTCCTTACATGGTTCTTCTTCTACTGGATTATACAGCCCAGCTTCTCGCATCGTTCTCCAAGCTTAAGGTATCAAATTCATCCGCCTGCATGACAATTTTTAACGACACAGCCCAGAATACCGTCGACGATGCCTCGACTAACCTTGAAGTGTATGTACAGCATGAGATGATGGTCTCAACACAGGCCGCCGCAAAAGAGGCTCGCGCCGCCAACTATCAGAAGTCTCTGATCAGTCTGGAGAAACTGTGTATACCACCTAGTAATGTTCTTACAGCCACTAGTACTGGCGATGTCAGTGACGCAGCCTGGTTGATGGTCGACAATAGTGCCGTTGGCCTGGGTGATTTCACTGTCGGGAGGCTTCTCGTACACACCCTGTTCGTCGACGCTGTTGAGAGTGAGTACCTTAGGCATCCCAAGAGACCTCTGAAGTACCTAATTCACGTTTGCTTTGACACCTTATGCCAACACATGAAGCAGAGAGGATTCAGGCCGAGAAGGACGAGGTCGCGGTAACGACTGCTTCGGGCACCCTCGAACATGGAGGTTGGTGATGTTCCCTCGACTTTAGTTTGTCTGCTAGCTGATACCTCTTCAATCTTTAAAGCAATTCCACTGAAGCCGGCAACTCGAACCGGGCCAACCATCCCGTCTAATAATCTTCCACCCAGTGCAGGGGAATCTTGAGGCCACTAAGCAGGCAACGGAGCCCAAGATTTCAGCAGACTTTGCCGCGCTGATGAACGGCGACACCCTTCGCTTCACTCCATGGGATTACATTTTTGGAGCGGATGCCCGTTATCCATTTTCTGCCTGGAATGATCAAGGGTGCGTGGGCAGGGAACTGTGTTCACTTTCATGATGCGTTGCGCTGACAAGGAGAAATTCATTAGAGATGATCGGGCTCGAAGCGATACTGTTTGGCAGTCCGACATCGACAAGTTGGTGGGTGCGGTCGACGAAACCAAGGACTTCGATACCGATGGTTCAGGCGATTTAATGTAAACCAGTTCGGACGACGCCGCCTTTAGGACTCAGGCTTTCGAATCCAATGTGGGACCCGAGTTTGAGGGCCATACCAAGGTCTCATCCGCTACCGAGGCTTTCACGGAAGTCGGGATCAGATGAGGAGGCCCGCAAGGAGAGCTCACTGGCGTCGACCCGAGTAGAAGACGCCCTCGATTGTGTGGCGTACATGGAAGGCTACTTCCATTAAGCAAACTCAACACTAACAATGGATCCCGATGTGGAAACCAGCCTCGACGCAGAAACCATCAAGAACGGATATATACATTTTGTGCGCAAGATTACCGACCTGCAAAATCGGGCCTCAGTCGAAGATGTTTGGGCATACGGGTGGCTTCCAGGGGTACGTGGCTCAGGCGTCCCAGGACGGCAAGAAGATGGTGCTGGGCGTCCTGACCCGGGAGTTACCGCTTTCTTTCCTATCATTGACGAGACAGGACCTTCGCTCAAAACCTCGGGGAATCGACTCTCGAGGTGTTCAACACCCACGCCAATATGGGCCGGTTGGGCATCGCCATCGTGATCCGTGTCGTCGAGAGAAGAGGTGTTCAACGCCTGCAAGTTGCGCTGTTCTGTCCTTGGGATAGACATTAGTACATCAAGAACAGCTGGAGGACGTACGATTGGCGTATGAGGCCGAGAAGGGCGATATCATCAAAGCAGTGAACGCGTGAGCGGCCAAGAAGAAGATCGGCGTTCATGATGGCTACGGTGCTCCGAAGACTCCACGATGGTGAACCAAGACCGACAACACGACTCGCTGGGGGCTTCCTACCACAACTCAGGAAAGCGAACGCATGGCCACCCAGCCCACCCACATGACCGAATTGCAGGGCGACATCTTCACGAAGCTGAAAGCGGCTGATGACAGCGCCGGCGTCATCACGGCACGCACTTTCTTCGACCTCTCTCGCCACCCCGTGCCGAATCAAGTGCTGATCTCGACGCTCATCGCCGACGAAGCAAGAATGTCGAAGGGCAACTCCGGCAACTAGGCCCTTCGAGCACTGAAGTATGAATCCATCACCCTTATTCCCGGCACCCCTATATACAACTGATCCCCACCGTTGACTCGAAGATGGGAGAGAGCCGAGATCAGAATGCGAAGGGACTTTTATTCTGTCCTACAGGGAATCAGTCCCAAAGCTGCACGGCTAACGGGGAGGATCCTGGACTGGCTGATGGACTCGGGGAAACTGCCGATGTACGGTCTGGCCAGGAGGCTGGAGCTGGAGCTCGCAGTCTTATACCCTTTCCTTCGAAGGCCAAGAGGCCTTCCCACTTTGTATTTGCAGGATCGCACACTGATCGTTTTCTTGATTGTCGATATTGGGTTTTTCACCCGGCCCACGAGGGCGCGGTTTTCCTGTATAGTAAGTTGTTGAAGGTCCGGCAAGCCCAAGCGCACAGCGGTGTAGGAATAATAATATATACAACTGATAGTAGGACATTTACAGTCCAGTGAGCCTTTTAACGGGTTGCCCATTCTCAACATGGATCTTTTCCGTGCGATGTTTATTCCGCCCCAATTCAATCGTCCTTCAGCTCCTGCTCCTACCTAGCTCGGCCGGTAGGACACCTACACAGGCTCCTCTTTACTGCAACCGTTGCTTGTTTTTGTTGTCGCTAGGCCTAAGTTCTTGAAGTTACCCTTTTTGTCCATCAAGGGGGTGGATGTCGTTATATCTGATACGCTATATACCTGTATGGCTATTCACAATGTAGTCTTGGGAGATGGATGCTGGACAGCATGAAGCAGGCGAGGAACAGCCAGGAGCGTCTCTACTACCAGCGTCTTGACGTTTGCGAGAAGCTCTTTTGATGGGCAGTTCCGTCCGCGTATAATTAGTGCCGGGAAGCTGGGTTAGAGCCTGTCAGTCCAGTAATGAGAGCAGCACCGTGGACACCGAGGCCAAGGACGTCGAGACTAAGGATATCGAGATTGAGGATGTTGAGACTGAGAACGAAGACTGAGGATGTTGAGACCAAGGACGTCCAGATGTCGAGAATGTTGGCCGGGATTATGTTCACCATGACGATGAGTGGTTGACCATCTCGCGTATTGACTATGACTAGGAGTGATCTTTCATCTCGGGCGCCTCGGTTTGAGCTGAACAGCTAAGGTACAGGTACTTGTAGGATACAAAATATGGAGGAGTAGCCGTATCAACCACTGCATTACGTAACGTTGCATTAAGCCCGAGTAATTAATCGAGGGATCTCATGAAGCAGCTGAATTATCAGACCACACTGCAGTGCGATTCGGTATCCCGTTCATCCAGCACCAAGCCCTCACGCAGGTTCCCAATTCAGGCGACAAACCCGTCCTTGGACTGAATCTTTGTGGTCTTCATAGAGACCGCCTGGCAAGATGGAACAATTTGCGATCGGGATCCAGACACTGATTAACTACAACGAGGGCGTCCATCACGATATAACACATTCTTTTCCCTGATGTTGACACATGCCACCATCGTCCTAAATGGATCACCTGAAGTAAGGTACACAACCGGCTTGCCCCACTGCATTTGGGCAAGAGGTGAGTCTCGTAAAGTCCCGTCCCTAACCAGCCGCTAGCGCTAATCTATGCTTTGAAGTGTCTACTCTATGAAAGCCAATGGAGAATGTTACAGGCCGGCCATGCCCTGGCCCAAACCGCTAAGCAATGTCCAAGCTTGACTCCCAATTCCATGTTGCTTTATCTCCAAAGTCCCTTCTCTCCTCCAAACCTCATGAGGCGGTCGTGCAGCTCACCCCGACGCAGCGCCTCATAGATCTCCCCGGCCATGGTCCCCAGAATCCTGCTTCGCCCCGCAAGCTCCTGGTCCATCTCGGCACGACTGCCGTGTTCTCCACCGGTGTCAGTACCTCGCCCCTTGCGCCCCCTACCCGCCGTGCCATTATCTTTGGGGCCCTTGAGCTCCTGGAGCAGCAGAGTAGGATGGTCTTCGACGCCCCGATTCAAAGGGATATTCAACTCCTTCCGCACAAAATCGTACACAACCCTCGACGCCGGGCTTATGTGGTCGGTTGTCGTCTGGTGACGGAGGAACTCGGTGCGAACATCAGCGTAGCACTTCTCCATCGCGGCAGCCATTCGAGTCTGGTACTCCCTCACCCCCTTCAGCGAAGCGCCGCTCTCCCCCAGACACTCGACCACCGTTCCGAGCGACTGGTTCACAGCCGTCTTGCACCGGTCCGCCAGATCCAAATTCGACAGCTGATCCCAGCGTTCCATAACCGCGTCCTTCACCCCCTCCACAAGCCCATCCTGTTGATCCTTCACCGCAGCTTGGAAACACTCCTCCAGAACACCCTTCACCACATCCCCAATTCTGTTCCCAAACTCGACTCGCAGACACCGCAAATCCAACGCCTGGCACAGCACATACAGATGCGTCGCCGCCATGAGCCCGACAACCTCGACCGCCTCCAGGGCATACCGCGCCGCGACCAGTGCCATGCTGTTTACGCTTTGGTTGGCCATCTCGGCAATCTGTACGTGTGCGCTGACCGGCTTAGCCAGGTATCCCAGCTCCGCGGCGTACGCGGCCATGTTGACATCGAAGCCTTTGCACGTGAAGCTCTGCGAGGGGTCGTCAAACGACAGGTTGGGAGGCAGACCCTTGTTCATGGTGTGGTTGATGAGCTCTGAAGACTGGGCGAAGAGCAGACGGCCCAGGTTTTGCAGCGCCAAGAGAGTTTTCTCCATCGCCGAGGTGAGCGCGTGGGCTTGGAAGTTGCCGCCGTGGTGGATACGGTTGGGGCCTCGGGGGGACAGGTCGAGAAGAGGGTTGTCGGTTGTCGAGTTGAGTTCGATGGTGACTTGGCGCGTGGCGAGTACCAGGTCCTCGAGCTGCGGGCCGAGCCATTGGGGGGAGGTGCGCAGGGCGTAGCGGTCTTGGGCGAGACCCTTGTTCTTCAGATTGGTCGGCTCGCTGGACGGGGGGCAGAGCTTGGAGCCCGAGAGAAAGTGCAAGATGTTGGTTGCGACTTCGGCTTGGCCCTCGTGCGGGCGGACGGCGGAGATGAAGGGGTGGTAGTTGTTGGCGGTGCCGCTGAGGGCTTCGGTGCACATTGCCGTAAGGACTTGAGTGAGCAGGGCTAGCTGGTTTGCTTGGTGGATAGCTAGGCAGGCTGCTGCACAGCTGGGGGAGGTGCCGTTGGTGATGCCGAGACCTTCCTTTGCTTGGAGACGGATTGGCTCCAGACCAGCGGTTTTGAGGGCTTCGTTTGCGGGAAGGACCTTGGTGTTGCCATCTTTTCCGGCGACCCTGATGAACACGTCAGGGTTTCCTTCGATAGCCCCGGCGATGTAAGATAGAGTTGATAAATCCCCCGACGCCGAGACGCTTCCTCGCAGCGGCGTGACTGGGGTCATGTCGAGGGACAGCAGCCTCATGATGGACTCTATGACGCCAATGCGCACACCAGAGTGGCCCCGCATCAGCGAGTTGCATCGGATCAGCATGGCCGCCTTGACAATCGGGGCCGGAAGCGCATGGCTTCGCAGCAGTCCGTTCCCGGGGGCCTGGGCCAAACCTGGACCCGACTTGTCGGCCTGCAGCAGTATGCCGACATTCAAATGCTGGACGAGGCCGCTCTGGAGGCGCTCGAAATCCTTTGTCCGCGTATCGGCGCTGCCACCGAAGCCTGTGTTGACGCCATAGATGATGCGGCCAGCCTGGATTTCGCTCTCGAGAAATGCAACACTGTCGCTGACCAGTCTAAGATCTTCAGGGTCTTGTGTGAGTCGTGCCCGGATTTGGTATCTGTGGTACTAACGTCAGCAACTATAAATGACCCCAAGATCTCCTCAGAGAGAAATAGTGCTCGGCTCACAATGAGACAGCGACGACATCAGCGAGGGTCAACTCGCGGCCATTCAGTAACACGTCGAGCCGATCTTGCAACGCAACCCACTCTGCATACGTTGCAGACGCATGAGGCGTTGACATTATCGGCTGCGAGCGTTCCTGTTGGCGGCCATTGCTCCAGCTTTCCATGGATTGAATGTTGTAGGAAAATTTGGATGAGTGAAGTTGCGGCGGAAGAATCGCTCAAGATATTGCAAGAATCATCGGTTCTTGGGCGAATGTTTGCTCAAGGCTTAACGCTAAGCGTTCTGGGCGTTTTTTTTTTTTTTTTCCTTTTCTGTTTTTGGGCGTTGCGTTGCCCGGTTTGAGCCCGCCGCCCAGCTTCGGAACCCCCCGCACCGCGAACCAAGTAAATAGACTTCCGTTTTACAGTAGGGATCGCACCTGTTTCCGACTGGCTCGGCCCCTTCCGTTCTTTTCCGCCTTTCCCACCGCGCCTTCCCAAGATACCGAAGACCGAGTTGCGCAAAACTCCACAAGTGGCTGGTCAGTGACTCGGTAGCATCCGATCCTCGATTGAGACTTCTTCCTTATTCATGATGATCAAGTTGATTGGGTTTTCTTCATTGTTGTCACCGGATTCTGAGTCGCGCCGAGCAACCAGGTTACGTACGGTACCTTGCCGATTCAATCTGCACTGCGTCTCAACTTGTCGCGAGTGCTGATCATGCGGAGAAAACCGTCGTACATGGTACCTTCCGAGTTTCCCATACAAAAGTCACTTCCATCCTGGATCGTACTGTCAGTTTTTGGGATGGTGCAGGCCAGGCATCCCAATTCAGATCCCGTTGACTCTTTGGGCAGCTTGCGCCGCCATCCCCACAGCCTCAACGGCGTTAGAAAAACAAAGGGTCCCGGCAGCAGGGCAAAGAGAAACACCGCACCGAGAGCCCCTTCTGTCAAAAAGATGCAAAGATTGAACGTTTTGTCGAGACACACGAGACGAAGGAGTTGAGTTGTTTGTAAAAAGGCTCAAAGCTCGCAGGCCATAGCTCGAGTAAAACGCCTCAACCATCTCGTGCGCATCGATGACTGGTGTCCGGGTAACGAAGGGATCTTTGGTGATTGACGAGAGGTGAGTCGTTGTATGGGCGTCATTGAGATGGTTGAGGTCGAGAAGTTGGAGAAAGCGATCCGTAGATGCGAGAGACGCGTTTCGCACCTCTGGCAAGAAGCCCCACACCCATCCTCTACTCGTGTCGTGAATCTTCAAGTCCCCTTCAATCATCCACATCCCTAGGCTTCAAATTGGCCCAAACCTTGTTGTACTCTTCCAGACTCATCGTCTTGAACTCGGTCGGCCTGGTGATGGGCACGAAGCTCTCCTTGTGCTCTTCAAACTCGGCCAACCTCTTTCTCGTTGCCTCGCGGCTAACATTGGCACTGTAGACCTGATTCGGTGGCAGCTGCTCGTCACATGGAGGCCCCAGTTCCAGCTGTGGCGGACTTCCATCTGTTGAATGTTTAGACTGTTATCCCAACAGCGGACAACAAGTTCTGTCCAGCCCTCCTGGTCGCAAGGAACTGAAATTGACCACGTCCTCCAGGTCCATTTGTGTTTGGCCGACAAGTTCTCGGGAGGCACCTGATACCAAGCCCAGCCACCGTCTGAGGAGACCTTGACTCGCTCCGGCCAGCGACCGCCACCGGAATAAGCCCAACCTTGTTGGGTGTCAACGATCAACCGGATCTGTGGAGAGTTAAGATTTCTCTGTTCCTTACCTGCCACTTCTATATGGAGTTTGTGTACTACAACCTCCTTGTGCCAAGGCATCATGATGGCACTGGTCACCGGCATCTCCTGGACTTGGATGCCCACTGCGTGCGATTAGCTTTGACATCACAAACGACTCGGGATTATACGTGTCCAGGACTCATCTGCTTACAGTGAGGGAGCTGGTTATGCTTGCCGTACTGCTGCTGGAAGTAGAGATACTCCCTGGACTGCACAGGCGCGCGGCTCGGCTTCTCGATGGCTTTGATGCGGTACAACCACTTGACATTCCTCGCGCCAGTTAGGCCATAATTAACAACCGCCCTCAGCGGGGCTCCATGGATCCAAGCAACGGCTTCCCGTTCATCTCCCACGCGAGGAGCACCTCGTCGCCTTCACCTTGAGCCAGGGACAGAGACGATGTAGTTCATCAGCTCACCGCCGTTGAGGTAGCTATCGGCGCCGTACAGCTCAATATGCTTGCCGCCGTCTTTGAGGCCTTCGCAGTACTTGATCACCTTTTTCAAGCTGATTCCGCTCCACAGCGCGGTGCTGATTGGCCCCTCGGCCAGGGAGCCTTGATCATCTCGTCGTCTCCGCCGGCAAACCTTGATCTGCTCGAGGCGTCTGGTGCCGCTGCACTGGATCGTGACGATCTGGAAACACGCGGAAACTTCGACTCGTCCTGCAGGTCGGCCAAGGTGAGTTTCTGCGGGTAATTCACGAGTTCGTCGAGGCAGAGATCGAATGCCCCGGGGCCGAGGGTCGGGATGCCGCCGTAATTGCGGACGAAGTGGAGCTCGTTAGGCGTGACAGAGTCCTTATTGAGAAGATGCTTGGGTGCCTCGCCGTTGTAGGAAACTGGAGCAAATGAAGCATGCCTGGATGTTTCTCCTGATTGCAGTTTAGCGACTTCTTACTAATTTAAGCTGAGAATGTGCCGCATTTTCCCGTCAGGTGTCATACCTTTTGCACGATCTCCCAGCTCTCCTCTGGCACATTCTCCAGAGCTCCGCCGATGGCCTTGTGCCACAACTTTCATCTCACGCCCTCAAGCACTGGGTTCGTCGGCGGGAGAGGGCCAAGCTGCAACTCGGGCGGTGGCGGGAACTTGTAGCGTATAAACCGCTTATGAGCCCTTGCTTTCTTCTCGGGGTTATCCTCCTACTCGACATAACCGTGCCAACTTGGCCGCTCTTCCTCGACCACAAAGGCAGGGTCATCGGGCTCGGCGTTGTCGCGGAGTTACAGTTACGATACGTTGGGGTCGGCCGTCTGAGAAGAGTCGAAGCTGATTGTGATATCGCTCTGGTTGCGAAGGGCGAGCTTGCCTGGCTCCAGGCCTTGCTCGAGCACTCATTCATCCGGTTTCTTGTGAAACCCAAGGTCAGCAGGCGAAGTCAAGCCTGCTGAGGCGTTATTCCGACCACGGCATTGTGACTACTCACCGGTTCATTCATTTTGCTTTTGTGGGCTAAGTCAGCGCTCATCGTGAATCGTATAGTCGTTTGTTGACTCAAGAAACTAATGGATCGCGGGGCGTCCGACATTCGTCAAGGGGCCCAGACAGTAGATTCAATGGAGGAGGCTCAAGAGGGGTTAAATAGGACGACAGTGAGGGCGTGTTCGCTTTACACACCACAACGTCTCGTGTAATTAAACAAATACCGGTCCGCTTTCAAGTAACATCTGGTTTCAAAGCAGGAAGTCAAGGACGCTTATTACTGAGCTCCAATGACGAAGCGACGCGCTTACTCAGGCCACTGCTCATGATAATGCAACCAACTAAGCGATGAACGAGGGCATTTCCAAGGTTGGCGATTTTGTCATGTTTTTGATGGACTGATACCGTGGACATGGAGCCCGAGTCAGTTGACAGGATCCAGGGCACTCGAAGGCCACATGAGGTAGCCAAAACTTAAGCCAATTCAATAAAGTACATGCAATGCATTGAAACCTGCTCGGAAACAGGATGGTGTCGGAACGAAGCCGCCTTAATGGCTGCATTCAACGGACCTCGGTGGTTGATTGGTGCCAGCACTGCAACCCCTCTTCCTTACCTACAGTACTTAGTCCTCTCCCATGCCCATCAACAGCATGGTCAATCAAGCACTTTACCACCTTTCAATTCAATCCACTGCTTTGACTCGGAACAGCTTCTTCCAGCGCATATCTCAGCGGTCATCGCCCTGCTGGTTCCAACAGATGGGCACTAGCTCAGGGTACCGTACATGGACGGTACGTAGGCAGCCCACTCGTTCTGGCATAATGAGTCGTGTTCAACATTTAAGGTTTAAAATCACGGACTCGGCCGTTCGGAAGGGCCAATGTGATGAGCCCTGTTGCTGCTCGCCTAGGATGTTACCAAGATATCCGTACCTAGGTAGTTAGTAACGTTAACGTTATGCATATTTGATTTGTCTGCAACCTATGCGTATTCGCTGATAATTTAGTCCGAAGAAGCCGGTTCGAAGCAAAAGTCCATTCGGACAGCTCCAGATGCGGCTTAATCAGTCAAGTCCCATCGTCTCCGAACAATCGACGATAATTAGAATCATTGCCCCCTGAGGTCTCCGACAACACTGCCGTAGTATCGAGTCTCCAGAGGCAAAGCTGCGGTGCGATGTCTAGCTCACAAGCCTTCATGCTACGGTGTGCGCAGCAATCAACAGCTGAGGCGCCGTTACCTATTAATTAGTGCGCCTCGAACTTCCAACTCTCAAAGACGTGGGAAGCATCATAGTTACTTCAACTACAGCGGTTGGCTTGGGTTCAAGAGCTTGGGAGGCATCAAACAGAAAAACTATGAGAGTCGGGAATCCTCTTCTGCTTAATGTCTGAATACCTTACGGACTCGGGTGGTAGGCGCCGTGCCAGGGTTAAAAATACCAGTAGCAAAGGCGCCGGACTTCAGGGCAACCATTGAAGGAGTCGAGTCCGGGCTGGTGTCGCCCGAGACGTTGTGCAGCTTGCTTGGAAGGAACATTTTCTCCCAGGTTGCATCGTAGGTTCAAGGCGGTAGCTGCTTCAGGCTCAACCCGCATATCTCAGCTGGCGGGAAGTTGCAGAACGGTAGGCCGGACCTGGAAATCGAAACGCAGCTGTGAGCTGGAAAGCCGCTGAAGCCTCGAGGGAAGGCGAACTGGAGGTGCCTAAGCACCTTCTACAAGAATCGTCACTGACAGGTGGAACATGGAACTATTTTCAGACAATAATCGTTGCCCGGAACCTGAAATGGATCCGAGTCGAGTCTTTGCATCAACGTTGACACGTTCTTGTGTTTCGCCAGCACCTCCGACGCCCGGCCGGGGCCTGCGCCATGTCCGAATGCCCAAGCCGGCCTTCCTCCAACGTCGTCCGGCGGCCAAGACTGCGCGTAAGGAAGGCGCCAATAAGGCCAGCGAGTCTTGCGGCTTCCATCTCTACATATAAAGGCGGAGCATGTGCCACCGACTCTTGGTCGCCTTCCCTCACTGAAAATCTTGGGACGAGATTTTTGGGTATAAGCTTTCTCTCCCTGTCCCAGCGCTGCTCTCCGAATGAAACTCACTGACATCTTTCGCCGTCTCGTGTCTCGCTTCATACCAATCCGCTCCGCGCCCCAGACCAACGAGACCAAACAATCATCTCCTCCATTGCCATCTTCTTCAGACACAACGCTTCCAAAACCCTCACCCATCGTCACGTACATGACTGCTTCAGCAAAAATGCCTGGCGTTACTGCTCCTGAAGGCTCCAGCAAGTACGACCAAATCCCGGGTCCCCTGGGAATGGCCTCGGCTTCGCTGGAGGGCAAGGTGGCTCTTGTGACCGGCGCCGGTACGTATTCCAAAGCTTCCCGCTTTATTTCATGTTTCGAAATGCACCGTAGACAGTCTCTCTTTCTGTTTGTGCGGCTGGGTGCGCCGGACGGCTCGGTACTTACCCCAACTAATGTCCGGCCCGCTGCCATGGTTTCAACGGTCCAAGCCGGGCATCAGCATATCACATTTGGTTCCGTAACATCCCATTACATTCCGTACTCTTATTGGCATCCAAAATTAGGACATAGGCGTTAACATCATGCATAGGCCGCGGCATTGGTCGGGAGATGGCCCTCGAACTCGGACGCCGCGGCGCCAAGGTGATCGTCAACTACGCCAACAGCGACGAGGCTGCCCAAGAGGTGGTCAACCAGATCAAGAAGAACGGGTCCGACGCGGCATGCATCAAGGCCAACGTGGCCAACGTGGATGAGATCGTCCGCCTGTTTGAGGAGGCCCACAGTACCTTCGGCAAGCTCGACATTGTGTGCTCCAATAGCGGCGTCGTTTCGTTCGGTCACGTCAAGGATGTCACGCCCGAGGAGTTCGATCGTGTCTTCAACATCAACACCCGTGGCCAGTTTTTTGTTGCCCGCGAGGCGTACAAGCACCTCGAGGTCGGCGGCCGCTTGATCCTCATGGGTTCCATCACGGGTCAGGCAAAGGGTGTCCCCAAGCATGCCGTCTACTCTGCGAGCAAGGGTGCCATCGAGACATTTGTGCGGTGCATGGCTATCGGTATGTAGGGCGGGCGCTACCTGTTGGGGCCCATGTGCTGACACAGCCAGATTTCGGTGACAAGAAGATCACCGTCAACGCCGTCGCTCCCGGCGGCATCAAGACCGACATGTACCACGCTGTCTGCAGGGAGTATATTCCGAACGGCGACAAGCTCGATAACGAGGGCGTCGATGAGGTATGGTTCCAGTTCTACCCTCTAATGTTTCATGCACATAATGACTCTTTTCAGTACGCTGCCGGTTGGTCGCCGCTCCACCGGGTTGGCCTTCCCATCGATATCGCGCGTGTTGTCTGCTTCCTGGCGTCCCAGGACGGCGAGTGGATCAACGGCAAAGTTATCGGCATTGACGGCGGTGCTTGTATGTAATGCGAATAGACGGCTCTCTCATCCTTAACACTCCTTCAGTCATGGCAGCGTTTATTGCAACGACAGGTTGCGTTGAATGGTAGACGGACAACAGGGTGCGGGAACTGGCATATAGTAGCGAAGACACACAGGTCACAGAAGCTGTATATCAGTTGGCGGCATTAAGGGGAGCTTTCATAGGAATCCAATACCAAGTCTTAGCAAAGCCCTGGCCAAGGGGCGCATCATGCATCATGTGTGACAGCGTATGCTGACAGTGAAAAATTTGGTGGAGGGCCCTGACCCCTTATAGGGCAATGAGACTGCATGTCCCTAATCTTGATCGGCGCAGTTCTGCTCCGTGGGGACTCTGTCTGTGATCAGTGTTCTATCTCGTACACGACAAATTAGAACATGCTATCCCCCAATACCTGATCTAGGCACCCAATTTAGTCTTTCGACTTCACAACCGCCCACGTTGGCATATCAAAATCTGGAGTTTTCACACATTACGAGTCATATTATAACTACCTATCAGCAGTACGAATGGCCGAGAGACTGCCATTACCCATCTTCATTCCCTTACATCAAGAGAAGCATTACCTTTGACGTACAGACAACCTCACTCGACTAGTCCCGTGTCAGACACCATACGGTACTTTGAACGGACCCCTTACTCCTCTCCTCTTCTTCTTGGACACGGCAGTTATCCCACCTTCCCTGCCAATACTCAATAGCTAACGTAGACGAACCCCTGGCCAACTTCAACACCCTAGCAACCGACAGCCACAGCCACCGCAGCCCCCGTACTGACTCCCATGTCAATCCTTGCTGCACCACTCGTCACAATACCCTTGGTCGCGGTGGCTGTCACAGTATCATTGCCCCTTGCCGTCGTCGTCGGGTAAGTCGCCCCGGCGCGCACACTGCTACTCGTACCGTAACCCGTGCCTTGGGTAAGAGCCGTCACGGCAGTCGACTGCGTGTGGCTGTGGCTGTGGGTGACGGGGTGGCACCACCCTTTGCCTTCGCCGGGGCAGACTACGTCGGGAGTGACGACGGGTTCGAGTAGGGTGATGGTACTGGGAAGAGGATGGTTTGTCGTTGGGGTCGGCAGGGGTGGGAACTCGACTATGGGACAGAGAGTTGTTGAGATGGTGAGCGTTTCGGTGATCACGGTTATGTGAGGGCTGGAGGTGTCTGGGGAGCAGCTGGAGGAATGGGAGGCGGGGCAGGGAATGATGGTTATGGTTGTGGTGATGTAGATCGTTGAGGCTGAGTAGCTTGCGATAGTGGAGGCATTGGTACTGGTCGAGACCGAGGTGGCTTCTGTGGGACTGGCGCTGGTGGTGGTGGTTGACGGGCTGGATATCTGAGGGGACGTTGAACTCTTTGACTCCTCGGTGGAAGTTGAGCTCTGGGCTTCCTCGGCACTGGTTGTACTGGCGACTTCAGTAGTAATGGAGGTAGAGACAGTCATGCTGGAGCTCGAGATAAAGATTTCAGAAGTTGTTGTGGTAGTCGGCTGCAGCACCTCGGGTCCCGTTGTCGGTAGTTGTCGAGGTGAGCGAGAAAGTGGTGTAACTCACACCGCCGTTGTCGGTGCAACGTAACCATTCTTGCACCATCCATCCTTGCCGTCGTCGCCAACAACACAGTGCTTATCACGGGGACGATCCCCTGTTTTGGAAGGACAGCAGGTGTAGTCCAACGCAATGCAGCCGGTTCCACACTGCTGCAAGCCCAACTCCTCGCAAGTCTCAGCGTCATAGGTATCGTCGGTGCGGCGGAGGAGCATTGGGCCCGAGATCCGACGGGCCAGGTCAATGGCGGGCAGGACGCCCAAAATATGAATTTGCGCGTCTTGAACGGGTGAGAGTAAGGGTTATGAACTAGAATAAGAATGAGCGTGGGCGTCCCGGGACAAGAATGAGTGACTTGTCTCTGGAAACGCAGGTAGTGCCCAAGGAGTAGAGAAGAGGGAGAAGGAGCATGACAGGAACAGCCTTTCCTCCAGTTAGCTTTGAATGACCGGCCATCTCGCTGCAGTAGTGTAAACTGGTGCCTGATTCTGATGCAACGCGACGCTGTGATGCAGGTGTGCGGGCGGGCATGCGGGCCTGACAGATTGACAATATTCTCAAGGGTCGAGGCTCTGTCGAAGACATGAGGCCAGTTTCAGCTTCCAACGGGACAGCCAAGGGCTGCAAGGCACACCCAACAGCAGCGCTCGAACCTCTGAATGCCACCTTGTTGGGGTGGATTTGATGTTTTTGGAAGGCCCGGGAATCATGTGAAAGTGTATCGCAGACGACCCCGAGTCAAGAAGCGGCTCAACCGGGATAGTTAGCGCCTTCGAATTCTCGATGCAGTCAACGCGTAATGAAGGTCTCATCAGTTGATACTCCATTGATTAGCATTTTTCTCTTTTTTCCTTTTTTTTTTTCGATGGGAATCTGAGTGTCGGTTGCCAAGACGGCAATGACCCACACCAGGTCCGTTCCGTGTGGAGACCCGTTCAAGCGGGGAATTCCTTCTTCCAGCCCGGCGAAGTCCGGATCAAGCACGACGCGCGAAAGCAACAGCCAACGGATGTGACATCTGAGGAAGATAATATCCGTATTGAAAAACTCTGGCAGTCATGGATCGGTTTGCGATCAGGCAAGATGTGATCAAGGTGATGGTTGTGGGCGACTCGATATCGCACGGGCGCGAGGGAGACTGGACCTGGCGATACCGCATCTGGGAGTGGTTCGAGCAGCAGGAAATATCGGTACGCTTTGTCGGCCCGTACGCTGGCACATCTCCTCCCAATAAACCCCAGCCACCGCGCCCTCCCCGGCTGATCGACCAGCCTCCCGAGCCACCACCACCGCTCCGGACCGATGGGGCCTACGCAGAAGGCGTTGCTCGGCGGTTCTTGGCCAACTCTAACCACTTTGCCGCCGGGGGACGCCAGACTCATCAGGCCAAGGACATCATTTCTGAGCAGGTTGCTGCCCATCAGCCAGACCTCTGTCTCGTCCAGCTCGGTTTTAACGATCTGGGCTGGCGTGTGAGCGGGCCCGTCGAGACGCTGGCGAGCATGAAGCATCTCGTCGATCACGCAAGGTCCGCAAAGACAGATCTGAAGTTTGCTATAGCCGACGTACCTTACCGGACGGACTTGCCGGGCCGTGGAGACCTTCCTGTCAGCACAAAGATCTACAACGACATGCTCGCCCAGTCTATCCCTTACTGGAGCACTGCAAAGTCGCCTATTGCGCTTGTCCAGTTCTGCAAGAACTACTCGTGTAAGTCGTCAGAACTCTTGGGTGGTTCTTGGCTCTGACTTCTTGCAGGTGGGGGCTCCAACTCCGAGGCTGCGTATGACGGACTGCATCCCAATGCCCTCGGCGAGTATCAGATCGCCAGAGCCTTCTCACAGACGCTAGTCTCCGACTTCAACTTCGGCCGCAGCGCGCTTGTGATTCCAGACAAGATTCCTCCTCGGCCTCTGTCCACGCCGGCCAACCTCAGAGCAGCCCCGGCGCCCAGCGGCATCATCATCACCTGGGATTCCGTCTACGGCGCCTTCGGGTATGACCTTCAGCACCGCCTTGCCGGGGAGGGCGACTGGGAATCAACCCATGTAGACTGCAACCGATACGACCAGCAGTGGCTACATAAGGGCCAGACTGTTGAGTGCCGCGTCCGCACCAGTGGCGGTGACACCCTCAAATCTGCTTGGACCCACATCGCCTCGGCTGTCGCCAATCCCCAGACTGCGCCAGCCCCTATTAACATGGTCACTCACGCCACTTCCACTGGCTTCAGCATTTCCTGGACCAACCCGCCACCTCCGTACGCTGGCGATATTGACCGATACGGGATCACCAACTTCGACAGCGATCAGCCAGGCGCATTCCTCTGCAAAGTAGGTGTCAGAGGTAACCAGGCAGAGATCACAGGACTCACTCCCGGGCACCGTTATTACATCTCCATGGAGACATGGACTACGTTTGGTGGCGGAATTCCAGCCGCTGCTCGCGCTGTGTTGGTAGGCCGGGGATCGCCTGCTGTTCCGACATCTCTGCGCGCCAGGGCCCTTGACGCTCTGGCTGTCGAGCTTGCCTGGCCCGAGGTTCTGGATGCCGCAGGATACGATGTTTGGGTTCGGCGAGAAGGTCCTATCCATGGTCGACTTGGCGTACGGCTCTCTCCCACGCTGTGGCCCCTTCCAGAATCTATGGTACACGTATCTGATGGCACAATCCCCGGCTGCAAAACGATGAAGGCCATTCTTCCTAACATGGAGCCATCCGTTTGGGATTGGGAGTACGCCGTCGAAGCGTATAACGGAGACGACCGGTCTGGCCTATCCGAATGGTTGACTCCGCCTCCTTTAGCTCCCGAGAAGATGTCCTTGGCAACGACGGACTTGATACACATTGAACTCAAACATGGTTGAGCTCTATCCAACCTGAACAAAATAAAAATATAAATGGGTGTAAGGCGCTCGTACTATCAAGCCAGAACGCCATCACGTCACAGTTGTCTTCAGCTCGCCATTCTTCATGCCATCCTTATCCCACTCGATAATCCTCTCCTCGCTCGACGTCGGACTCGGCGCCGCACCCCGGACGGTCGCATGGTGGTGAAACTTGCTGTGACGGAGCGTGGGGCCCATCTCGTACAGACCGCCGCCCTGCTCGGCAGATGAACTCTGGCCAAGTCCGGACTTGTTGTTCGGCTGTCCTCGGCGTCCGCCGCTCGCATACCTGTAGTCCTGCGTCGTGGTATTGAGCTTGAGCCAGCGGCCGACCAGCGGCTTGAGGGTTGGCGCGCAAGCTGCAACGACACCAACGTTTTGTTGGAGGCTGAGAGGGTTGTCGATTTGAGTCAGCTTCGAAAAAAGGGATATGCAAGGATTTTATTGGAGGCCGGGGTGGGAACGTACAAGCCCAGTGTCTGAGTCCAGTTGTGGCTGTCATGTCGGGCAGGCTTGCTGTCAGCCACAAGGTACTTCAGTCAGAGCTTGGAATTTGAGAGAGAGAGAGGCCATACAACACTGCGTCGGGATCGCCCCGAAACTTGACTTGGGAGACGGCTTTTGCGACTCCAATGAAGACCGCGCTGGCAGAAGAGACAAAAGGCAATGGAGTCAGTTCAAGCAAAGGCCCCAAGAATGCTCGGCCTCCAAGCCAACGACAGACTCACATATATCCCAGGCTAAACACGCCGATTAAGTAGGCCCGCGCCCGTACCGACATACGCAGCCGCCATATGATGGGAATGGGAAGAGTCGCAAAGCAGACGTCGGTGAATATATTGCAGCCTAGTTCGAGTCAGCTTTCTCGATGCCACTCTGCACCCCGGCTTGGTATGTCTCGGAACGGACCTGTGTTGATAAGGGGGAAGATGCGGAAGATCTCTATCGGCCAGCACTTCGCCGTCTTCAAAAGTGCTTTATCCCACTGTGCAGCAACCGGATCACAATAGGCCAGAATCGAGATCCAGCTCTCGACCATGTAGAGGCAGATGAAAACTGAATGTCCCATATCAGCGCCTGTGTTCTGGAGCCGCGTTTCCTTTGGCGATTTCGACACGCCTGGGTGGGAAGGTCAAAGTCTCACCAATCAAGCCCCAAATCACCCTCGTCCACCACGTGTTCATTGGGTTGCTCAGCCGGAGCAGAGAGAAAGCCACCGAGAGCTTGAGGAAGCAAAGACTGGTGACTGTGGTGAAGATTGCTTGGATGAAGACGGTTATGCCGTAGACTTTTTGGTCATCATCTGATAACGTGAATGCATGGTGACCCAGGCCGTGTGCTGTTGCTACTGCTATTGTAATCATCCCTCCTCCTGTGAGACCGATCTGCAAGGCCAAGTCGGCTGTTTGTCAGTGTCTTCCCTGCTCCGGCGGGGACAGCGGTCCCAGGGGACTCTGCTTCTTGGGCTGTCGGAACAACATACTATGCACAAGACCATCATCACGTCGTCCTTGCCAAAGGCCTTGACAACGAAGATGCGCGTATACATGCGCATGCAGAAGCATATTAGAGCAAGCGCATGGAAAGTGATGCCGAGCCCGAGAATGCGAGGAACGTTGCTCTCGCCAGCGAGGGCCGGGTCCGACGGCGGCGCTTTAGTCGTGGCCGACATGATGCAGGCTCTCCAGCGGCGACGGCGTCGACGTCGTCGAGCATGAGCAGGTGGAAAACGCTGGTGGTGAAGAAGACATGGCATCGGCCAGTGCCCAAAGGTGTTATACTCGGAGTGAGGGTTGCCGTCCAACAAACTTCAAGTGTTTCGGCCGGGATCGCAATCCCCATGCAACCACGGGTTGCAGTCGCCAGCACGCACACATGGCTCGTACCTTAACTGACATGGGTGACCGAACATGGATTTGTTGAAAGTGCCCCTGAGTCGCGAAAACGAGGTTATGCATGTGCCCACTGTCATGCAGCAACCTGCCTCTTTAAGCACAGGGGACAAACCATTCGGAAAAATCAGAGCCTCTGGGGACCATGTCTCGAAGCACCTGGGTGCCATGCTTCTGGCTTTACCCAAGTTTCCATCGCATCATGCAATGCTTTTGGCCTATTCTGCCAAAAAATCGTACTATACCGTCCCCAGGTACGGAGTAGCGCGAATTGGAGATAGGAAAGCACAGTAACCATTCACCGTTCAAGTCTTGCATACGGAGTATTCCGTACCTACGAGCGTTTCGAAATTGCATCTACCCTCGGGCCGGCGCCAAATCTGAGTAGTGGCTCGTGTTGCTGCCGCGAAGTCGGTGACAGAACCCATGAGGGAAAAGTTCCTCTTGGGTCGGCCGCTGACCCTGGAACGTTACACTGCTAAGGGACCGCCCCGACGGGGGTGCCGGATCGTGCCTGCCGAACGCGCCACCACCCACTTGGCCCCTCCTTCCCCTGGAGCGTTGAAAACCATTTCACCGAGCGTGGGCGCATGGCACCGAGAACCCAAGGGTCCAACAACCGAAGAATTCGTTGGCCGACGGGGGACAATATACCTTATGAGGGGAACCATCCACTCGGTGACTCGATCGCCAGGCATACCTAATTGTGCGTCAAGATCGAGCTCCTGTGTTCACTGTTGATCTCCGATGACTACGGAGTATAGTGGTGGGACATCGATGAATGCATATTTCCACGAAAATTGATCCAAGACTTTATCAGTCGGTGGATCAACAAGGGTTTCTTCCCAGGAGCATGGCCTTGCATCCTTTCGAGCCTGTGGCCCCTGACGCGATTGGGTACCTTCGCGAACACCTGCACTGCATCTCATCCTCCATTGGGCCTGGACCGTATCCAGCCCCGTTCCATCAGGGCCGTCCGCCCTTGAGTATCACCCGCCTGGGTAGCGAGAATGAGGAGCACCGGATCCGGTATAGAGCCGGAGCAGCCAACACGGCCGGGTTCCAGAGTCGGCAACTGTGCCCACCCTCCACGTGGACCACGCGGCGCGGTACTTAACGTTATGGGCGTACCGCCGATTGCCCTGATGTGGTCTTGATCCGAAGTCGATCATCCAACCGTGTTTATGCAGGTCCAGGTTCGACATTCCGTGACGCCGCTTTGAATCTGCCCGACATGCATTTCTCCCTAGTGCCCGCCGTTGGGGCCCTTCTGCTTGCCGCCACCGTCACCACTGCGGCCCCTACGGAGGATGCCCTGGTGATCCTCGAAGATCTTCAGAGGCAGGTTGAAACCAAGCTGCACGACTCGGAGACTCTTCAGGCCCGCGGGTCTGGACATTGCACGCTCCTAAACGCTGCCGTCCGTAAAGACTGGTATATCTGCCCAATTCTCCTTTTCACCAGACGTCCCCCACCGTCTGCAGACGAAATGTCTTGTCAAGGGCCTTCTTGTTTGCTGGCCAGACGGACCGGACGCGGATATTTCACAGGCTGCTGTTGTTGACCAAACACACTGACATTGGCTCCGGTTACTACCTTGGCTAGGGAGCACATGTCCAAAGTCGAAAGAAAGGACTACATCAGGGCAGTAAAGTGCTTATGGAAGTTGCCGTCCGTCGATCCGGATTTTTCGGCCGCCCAGAACCACTTTGACGACTATGTCGCCGTGCACATGAACCAGACCAACTTCATCCACGGCACGGCCAACTTCCTCACGTGGCACCGCTACCTCATATGGCTCTGGGAGCAGAAGTTGCGCAACCAGTGTGGCTACAAGGGATATTTGCCGGTAGGTTCTGTCTCGGCTGCTTGTCTGGATATGCAACAAAACCACAGGAGCGCTAATTCCCCATTGCAGTACTGGAACTGGTTCAAGTACCAGGACGACCTGTCCAAGTCGCCAGTCTTCGACGGCAGTGATACCAGCCTAGGCGGCGATGGCGAGTACTTTGCCCACAACGGCAGTGTCGTCGGCGCTGGACGGATCTGGCTGCCGTCAGGAAAGGGCGGCGGCTGCGTGAAGTCGGGTCCTTTTGTCAAGTACGCTCCGTTCTCCTTAACACCACCTACCTCACTGTCCCTTGCATCCCCCATGACCAAAAACGAAAGACATCTGACCACGCAATTACTCGTCGGCAGCTATACAATCAACATCGGCCCGGTCCAGCCCGCCATGCAAGGTTACACCCCCGTCTACACCGACGTCAAGAAACTCAACCCGCGCTGCCAGCGGCGTGACCTCACCATGGCCGCATCCATGTCCACCTTCACAGCCTCGAACCTGCTCAACGTCACCGTCGGCCGCGCATCGGCCACCGTCGGCCACTTCCAAGACGAGCTGCAAGGCCCGTACGGAACGCTCCGCCTGCACGGCGCCGGCCACTACTCCATGGGCGGCGACGGCTCCGACGTCTTCACGTCACTCAACGACCCGGCCTTTTACCTACACCACGCCATGATCGACCGCATTTACTGGATCTGGCAGGTCCTGCACCCGGCCGAGGCGAACAAGGTCAACGGCACCATCACTTTCCGCAACAACCCGCCCAGCCGCGTGGGCACCGTCGATGACCTGCTCGACATGGGGAAGCTGGGACCGTCAATCCCCATCAAGGATGTTTTGAACACACTCGGGGGCACTCCGCTGTGCTACATCTACGTTTAGATGGGTTTGTCCGAGTCGTTTTTGTCGCCGGGGGTAGGGGAGCAAGGTGAAGGCGTGCGGTCAATATCATGCCATAATGACGGGGTTGGCGATAGCTTCAAGTTCGTTTGTGGCCCTTGACGTTGATACTCGGAGTTGATGCACGAGTTGAAAGCAAAGGTCGGCTGCATAACCCAATTTGAGCCTTGACAGGTCAGCCCATGCATTTGCACGGTTGTCCGTCATTCAGGATATGTGTGCGAATACCTTTGCAATAAGGTCGAGTGCTCACCGGCCGTCAATATAACAAAACTCGGCCCTTTTGTTGGCCGTTGAGGAATCTTCAGCTAACTCGTTGACGGTGACGGTGACGAGGTTGATGTTGTGATGGCCACGTTGTAGGGCTCCAGCGATGTGGGAGCATTAAACGGGGGGATGAACGTGCTTGGTTTAGGGATTAGTAGCCAAGTCAACAGAGCCAGCCATGTCTTCAACAAATGTACAAAAACAACCGAAGAACGGGTTTTCAAGCCTTAAGGTATTTGAAGATATATACGGCTTCGATCGCTCAACAGCTACCCAAGACAAACAATCTGGTCTGTTTGCCATGTGCAAGAAAGGGAAAGGGCACAATAAAAAATATGTGGGGCTAGCCCTTGGCCTCACCACTTACGAGCCGAGCGCAGTGGATCTCATCCTGGGCCCCACAGGACGAGGGCGGGACTGGCTGATGCTGGTTGAACTTGAACTGTTGATGGAGGGCTTGTCCCAACCCGCAGTCAACCTCATTCTCTCGCATCACACATTCCCGACTCCAAAAAGCGGCCCCGCGCGCCCTGACTCTTCCCAAGGCTGCGGCACTGGCTACACTACGGATACACATCTTCTCTTTTCGTTCTTTTGCACCCGTCTTGCGGCATTGTAACTGTAGCATTATTGCATTTCAACCAAGGTTTCCATTGTAGGTTCCCCTCCTCCCGATCACCGGTCTTGTCATCCTGCCCAGTTCGCACAACCAACGCTTGGCTCGGAGTCCTTGCGTAAGCTGAGCACTCGTTCCCCTTAAACATCTTACCGCTCACGTCGTGTTGGCATCTCAACTTGTGTCGCTTCTTGGAGGCTGGCAATGGTGCCCGCATCGACGGCAGCAACCCCACTCTCTTTCGCCGAGAACGCCCACCGAGCTCCCCCACTTTACGTCGGATTGCTAACCATCCCATACTCCTAGATACCTTAGACATTGAGATACCCGTTCGTGCCTCGGACCACCTCCTCCATCTGCATCACCGCCGGCCTAAATACATTCCGCGTCTCCTCTCCCCGTGTGCGCCATTCTCCATTTCTTGGGCCGCAACGCAAAGAGACCGACCGCCTTTCCTACCACCCCAAGCCGACGCATGCGAAGGATCGCGACTTGCGAACAACGCCGAGGTCGTGGTGTAATCGGGCCACTTATCAGTGGCATCTCGCCGCTGCTGTGACCTAAGAGTCAGCCGCGGTCGCCCAACATGTTTTGGAGATTTGGCGGTTACGCCAATGTCTCCACCATCGACACCATTCTCGACAAGGACAAATTTCAACTCGAGGAACTCCTCGACGAAAGCGACCTCGTTCAGGAGCTGAAGCAGCACAATGCACGACTCGTCGAATACCTTCGGGACCCGCAGGTCCTCGAGAAACTACTCAAATATGTAGTTGCCCCCAAGCTCGAGCCAGTCGCTGCACCCGACGACGACGAAGATGAAGATGAGGACGAGAAAAGCCAGGGATTTGCTGGTCCATCCATCAGATCGTGGAGCTCCTCAAAAGCCGGCGACACCAGCCATGAGGACGGCGAAAAGAAACGGAACCGATACGCCTTCGTCTCCACCGAGATCCTGTCATCTGAGACATGGTCAATATACGATGCGCTTATGGAGAGCAAGCAACTTCTTCACGACTTCTGGCAGTTTTTGAAGCGCGAGCCTCCTCTTGACCCTCTGCAGGCGAGCTATTTCACAAAGGTCAACGAGTCGTTGTTTGACAAGAAGACGGAGGAGATGCTGGACCTCCTGAAATCCATGGAAGGGGCTATATCGGACATCTTAAGACACGTAGATTGCCCTATGATTATGGATCTGTTGCTCAAGATCATCAGCTTGGAGCGAACTGAGAATGGACAGGGCGTCGTTGAGGTACGTGGCAGACTTGCCTCTTGCTGATTCTAGGACTAACTACAGGCCTGGGCAGTGGCTCTATACGCAAAACGTTATGCCGACACTCCTCTCCTTCCTCGGGCCGGAGCACAGCTGGGCGACCCAGACCTCTGCTGCTGACTTCATCAAGGCCATCATCACTGTTTCGGCCAATGCGTCGCAAAACGAACAGACGTGTATCGGCCCCAACGAGCTCACGCGCCAGCTGGTTTCGAAGCCATGCGTTGAGCAACTCATTCAATACATGCTCGGTGGCGGCAACCCGCTGACGTGCGGCGTCGGTATTGTGATTGAGGTCATCAGGAAGAACAATTCAGACTATGACCCAGAAGGCGTGGATATCAACGCAGCCCCGTCCAGTCGGGACCCCATCTATCTCGGGACGCTCCTTCGCCTTTTCGCCGAGCACGTCCCTGATTTCATGAATCTCATTCTGAATGCGCCAGCTCAGAAGCAACGGATCTCTTCGACTTTTGGGGCCCCTCTTGAGCCGCTGGGTTTTGACCGATTCAAGACGTGCGAGTTGATGGCGGAGCTTCTGCATTGCAGCAACATGATGCTGCTCAACGAAGCCGGTGCCGAGGGCTTGATCGCCGCCCGGGACGCCCTTCGTCACCGGCTTAGAGCGGAGGGCCGATTGCAGCCAATGAGCGGCAGTAATGATGCGCCGACAGAAGATCTTTCCATGCAAGCCCCGCAGCCGCCGGCCGCGGAGCAAGGCCGGAGGCTCGAAGTCATGAACTTGTCCTCGGACGACGACGGCTTTGAGGAGGTGTCGCATGCTGCAGACGATGAAAATACCCACGGCGTCGTGGAGCTCCCTGATGCCCCCACGCATCCCCCAGGATCTTCTTTGCTCGAAAAGGACGACGACGAGTTCGTCGATGAACCTCTCAGCTCGCCCAAGCTGACAACGCTTGAGCCGGAAGTCAGCAGGACCGAGCAGCAGCAACCATTTGATGATGCTGACCTGATGGTTGCCCCACTCTCTCCTAACAAGAAGGCGACGTCGACGTCAGCAGGCGGGGAGGTCAAACAAGCCACAACTGCTGGGAACATTTGCCAGCAAGCGGCGGCGGTCAGCGGAGAGTCAGAGGCGAAAGGCGACGGGTCACGCCAGGCTGAGCAAGCAGACGAATCTGCCAGTGCCCCGGCCGCCCCAAAGACCCACGAACCAAAGGCAGAAGGTACCGCTGAAACCAAACCATCGACCAGCGAAGCGGCGTCCTCTCATTCACCGGACAACCCAGGCTCCGTGATCATCGAAGGGAATGCTCCATTGCCTCCCCAAGAGGGACCCGCAGAATCGGTTGCAGCCAATGCCGAACCGTCACAAGAAAAAGCTGTCGAGGCACACATCAAGGACATCGCGACGCAAATGTCGGAAACGGAGCCGGTGCAGCCCGAGGCTTTTCCCTCACAACCAGCCCCGGAGACGAGAGACACCTCTGTCATCATGACCGACGCATTAAGGGCCGAAACCGAGGTTCCTGTCAAACCCAGTCCGGTTGTTGGAGACTATCTGAAGATGCAATTTGTTGAGCACCGTGTCGTCCCAACAATCCTCGGCTTCTTCTTCAAGTATCCATGGAACAACTTCCTTCATAACGTCGTGTACGACATCGTTCAGCAGGTATTCAACGGGCCCATGGATAGGGGTTACAATCCGACGCTCGCCATCAGCCTGTTTGAGGCCGCCGACATCACGAATCAGATCATCAACGGACAACTCACTAGCGAAAAGTCCCAAGCTGAGACCAAGACTCGCATGGGATTCATGGGCCACCTGACGCTCATTGCAGAAGAGGTTGTCAAGTTCACCGAACGCCACCCCCCTGAGCTCCTGAGCGAGCTGGTGCTGAAGAAAGTGATGGCGCAGGATTGGGTCAACTACGTTGAGGGCGCTCTTGCTGAGACGCGCGAGCGTGACAACGCTATTCTCGGCGGCGTCCGGCCGGAAGTGGCCATGAGCCGGGCAAACGCTCAGAGTCTAATGGGCGCCGGATTCTCTGGGTTGAGCTCGATCGGCCTCGGCGGTGGCCCCTCCAGTGCTCTCGCGGACGCCGGGCTTAACGGCAGCTCCGAACTGGCCGAGGGCTCCGGCAGCGGCGGGATCGGACCCTTTGCTATCAGCGCGGGGACTCTGATGAGCGGATTCGGCAGTTCTAGTGACGAAGACGAAGACGAGGAACAGGACACGGAAGAGGATGTCAACAATGAGGTTGGTCATCTCAATTCTTCTGACGATTGGCTTATGGGCAGGAACGACGTACTTGCGGGCCCGAGTGGGCGCGTGAATCCGTATAAGAGGCGCAAGTGCAGTGTCGGTGTCGCTCAGAGCGACCCTGGCATCGACGAGCCGGACTACGATCACCTTTTTGATGCCTGGAGCGGGCCGGGTCCATGTTGCGGGTCCGGTTCCACCCCTAGCAGTTTATTCCGCGAGTTTTCTAGGATGATGACTCGATTCGGAGAGCGGAGATGAAGACGGGAACACGTCGCGGGGCTTTCTATTGTCTTGGAGCTAAGGCTTCATTTCGATGGCACAATGGCTTTCCTAGGAAATCTGGTTGTGTGGATAACACTGGCAGCGGAGTAGCTGGCTGCCATGGCTTTTCAATAAGTCTTGAGCAGTTGAGCTGCTGTTATTTGCCACTGTCATGGAGACCGTTGCTTTTTCGAGTTGTTGCTTCCTGATTCAGACCAGAGCAGGTGCCCAGTGGGCAGCCACGCTTTCCTTCGGATGGGCTGTGTTTCCAGGGTTCATGTTCTCTCCGCCTGCGTCCTCCTCCTATCACTAGGGTGTTCATTAGCTGTGTCTGGCGCGCTTGCACATCGGCGACTCATCCACGTTTGCGCTCGCTGGTCTTCATTCGCGTCATTTTGCCGGACACAGACACTAACAACCTTGCAGTTCCGGGCCTACACCGACCCCCTGAATGCCAACTCCAACGCCATGAACCCGCCTTCGATCCCCCCTCCTCCGCCTCCCCCACCGCCTCTCAACATCCCTCCATCACGAGCCCGCCTCCAACTTGCCGCCCGTTTGGCGATGAACAAGCGCAACGCGGCGGCGACCGCTGCTGCCAACGGCGGTCAGGAGGGCAGCTTGCCCCCCACGGCAGACGACGCAACTGGGTCCGGAGGCTTCACCCTCCCTAGCACGACAGGGAGTGAGCGGTTGCGCGACCCCTTCGCTGACTACGACGATGACGACGAGGACAACTCGGGCAGCGGAAGTGATGACGGCGAGACCGAGAACGGGCAAGGCGACGAAGGCTTGGGAGTGGACTCGACCAGCACAGCTTGGAACCGTGGGTCGTGGTGGCGGGGCGTGGTCCGCGGCACCAGGCGCGGCGGGACCAGCGGAGCGGGCTACGACGACCAGGACGTGGACGAGGTTGAGCGGTTCGGCGACGGGCGGGACGATGATAGCAGCGATGAGGAGGGCGGTCGGCGGTTGGGGGTTGAAGACGACGAGGATGTCGTCGAGGACGAAGAGTTTGGCGACTTTGCCATGCCCGAGGTCGAAGAGGGCGTCGGCGGCGGCGGTGTGTCAGGCATCGACCCCGCCCGCGAGAGCATCCTTCACAAACCTATGCCCTTGCACCCTACCTCGACAACGGCGCTCAAGAGCACTACCATCAGTCCGTTTAGCGGCCTGTGGCCGTTCTCGAGGGACAATAAGAAGGAGGATGACACGTCGTCGGGTCAAGGGGAAGGGTCAAATGCTAGTACCCCTACCGCGCCTTCCCCCGGGCCGGGCGGCTTCACGGAGGAACCGGTCCAGCTGACGCATGAGGAAGAGGCTATGCTCAGCGAGGACGGGAAGAGGATTGACCGGGCGGTGGAGGCTAAGCGGAGGACTAGCATTGAGGACCCGGATGAGGACGAGGTGGATGTGGGCGAGGAAATCATTGTGCACCGCTCACCGGGGATCCGTTAGAGGCGGGCGGCTGGTGCTGTGTGGGGCGGGGGCCGATGATGGGGGCTGTTTGGGCATGGTGGGCGCAGGGTTGGCTGGGTGGATGGGATGAATGGGTGTATTGGGTTTCGATATCTGAGGTGATATGGGTAGGTCTGGGTGGGTGAGCTGGAACGGGGGCAGATGGCTGGGTTTTGTATTTGTCTGTACTCGTAGCCTACGCTAGCTACCTGGTATTGATGCATGTTGGCTTTGTAAGGTCTCCCCGCGGTTTGGTCGAGTTGCTGAGCTGAGGCATCATATGCAGTGGACGAAGCTGTTGCCTCGTATTCGCAGGACGTTACCATGAGGATTGCTGCTCCCGCGGCGTTTGAGCAACAATACGGTTCAGGCTGCCAGGCAAGGTCTGATACCTTATTTGACAACTCCTCCCTGCTGTTCACGACAAGCCTGGGCCTGAACGCTAGACGCTGCACGACAAAGTGGGTGTCTCCGTTGGCAGTCTCCTGAAAATGGCACCGCCCATGGTTGATCAACCAGTTTGAATACGACGGATGGAGCCGTGCCTTTGCGACATCGACTACGTCCTCTTAGCTGCGCCGAACTATCCAGAACGCTGTGCTTGATGCAGTGAGACGGACAAAATGTGTTTTGTCGCAAAGCAAAGAAGTTCGCTTTATAGGCTCATTTTCTGGAGTCGCACTTAACAAATCCCCTTGTGGTGTAGTTGGCTATCACGTTCGGCTGTAAATGCGTTTATTGATACCGAAAGGTCACCGGCTCGATTCCGGTCGAGGGGACTTTTACTTTTTGTCTTTTTTTTCCAGTTGGATATTATCCAGAATCTTGCTCTTTCAGTTCCTTTTAAACCTAGGAATCGATGCACCCTTGATAAAGACGTTCAAACCGTTTTCACAACTTTCCGGTAGATATGCCCCTCACTTGTGGCAAGCACCTCCCTCCTTCCATCCACTCACGTAAATTGGAGGGAATGTCACTGTACGCGCCACGGACTATTTTTGGTCGTTCAGGGTGCCATCCGATATGGGTTTACTCTTGCGATGCGAAATTTTTGGAAGGTGTTACGAACACCTTCTCTTAGGCTCGGTCTAGGCTCTAGAGTATCTCGCTAGATCTTGAACTCAAGTGTCTCGCTTCCCCTTTGCTCCAGCGCGAACAGAAGCCCGTGACCACTTGGACCGAGCCCGTATCCGCTCTCCGTAGACAAAAAACACAAATGGCACGGGTATCAGGAGCACAGCAAAGCCCGCCGGTGTCGACGACCCTGGGCCAACACCGAGATTGCGGTACATTGGGCCAACGACCAGTGGGAAGGCGCATGCAAAGCACGACCTCAGAAAGGTGTTGGCAGCCACGGCCGAGGCAGCATACTTTGTAAACGTATCGACGAGGTAGTTCAGGGCCGCCTGGAAGATAGTGAAGAATCCGGTGCCGAGCATCACCAGTCCGAGACACGGGACAATCCAGTGAACGTGCGGACCGGCCGTCCACCCATTGAGGAACTGTCCGCCCGCGAACAGCACCGAGCCTATCATCATAGGCGGAAGACGCCGCTCGGGTACAGCTCTGTTCCCAGCTGCGCGGTATGCCTTGTTGTAGAGCACTTGATTGTACACATTTGCTGCTGCGCCGAGGACAGCCCCAATTAAGATGCACAAGAAGGGCAGGGTGGCAACAAAGGGCGACCAGCCGCGGACCTCGCTGAAGATGATGGGAATGGAACCGAGCTGCATGTACAAGATGCCGTAGCAAAAGCTCGCGTACAGCGCCACCAGGAAGCAGATTGGGGTGCAGAGCAGCTGGACGGGACGCACCAGGAACTTGCGGGCCAGCTCGACGATGCTGACGTCCCACTCCTCAAACTTTGCGTGCAGCGCCCAGTTGCCACTCTGGATGCGCAGCCGGCGGGCCTTGTAGACCAGCAGCTTGGGCGGGTAGGTCTCGTCGATGACGATCATTGCCACGAGGAGAATGAACCCCTGAAGGATGCCCGCGAGGTATTCGGTCCAGCGCCAGCCCAAACCAGGCTGAACAACCACGGCAGCAGATACGATCGGCCCTTTTCTCCGTCAGTACACTCTCCAAACAGAGCCAACAACACACCACATCCACCCCATAAAGGGAACGTACCTAGCACAGGCCCACCCACTACAGCCATAGCATACCCAGCCATGGCAATACCCCTCTGCTCCGGGCCGAACAAATCCCCGAGCACGCCCCCGGTATTCGTGACAGGGGCACTCGCAAAGAAGGCCCCCCAAAACCGCGTCAGCATCAGCGTCTGGAAGTCCTTGGCCGTCGCGCTCCCAAAGCTAAAGCACATGGCCACAAACATGGGCCCAAACACGGCCAGCCGGCGCCCGTACACCTCGCTCAGCGGCGCCCAGAGCAGCGGGCCGATGCCGAACCCGACCAAGAACAGCGATGTGCCGAGGACGGCCACCTGCTCGCCGACGCCGAACTCGGCCGCGATAAGCGCCGTGCCGGCCGAGTAGCACGACGACGCCCACGTCGCCGTCATGGTCACTAGGCCGTAGAGCATCGTGGTCATGACCTTTTTGCGCGTGGGCCAGTTGAGCGGTTTGTACGCGTCTTCGGGGCCGTCGAAGTCGACGAGGTACGACGCGGTGGTGGGGATGTGCGAGAGCGGGTGCGTGAACTGTGGTGGATGGGTGGTAGGGCGGGACCGGATGCGGCTTATCAGGGCGGTCGAGCGGCGGGAGAGGGTTTGTCGGACATTGGAGCTCCCCGTGCTGCCTCGTCGGACGGTGGAAGGGGATCGGGGTTGTGGGTGGGGAGGGTCGGCAATGCTCGAGGAGGAGACGGTTGTCACGGTGCTGGCGGAGCGGACGGTGTCTTTGGTTCGGAACCGCGAGAGGCGGATGTCGTGGGAGGTTGGGCGGTGGCCGTCATAGTTGGAGTCGTTGTCCGAGGTGTCCGTGTTATCAGCGTCATCGGAGGAGGTCGGGGTAGAATCTTTCTCGCGGATTGTTTCGTGAGCTGGATTGGGTTGGGGATGGGATGAACTTCCCTCGGGTCGTTGTGGTTCGGTTTTTGCCATGTTGCAAGTCGATCATGGCTGACGGGCCTGTAATGCAGCGCAAATTGAGACATGGCGCGAGTTTGGCGTCTTTTAGAAAACATTTTGTGGAGATATTTGGTCGGCCCTCGCCATGATTCACGACGTCATTATCTCCGGAGTACGGATAAGGTGACAAAGCACCATCGGGATGTCGGCGAAAAGATGAGCAGTCCACTAGCAAGCAAAATCCCTTTCTGACCATGTTGTTTGAAAGAGTTAATTCATTTATTCAGGATTGTCTTATCAAGCTTCAGGGAGTTGGCATACTCATCACACTCCTTTTCTTACATTCAGACAATGCTTGGTTTCATGGCTTGATTGTATTCCTTGTACAGGGCCAAGCAGCAATGTGGGGCCGATCCAAGAAGCGGTCCGTCTCGCCAAGCCGGTTCCATCGGCGGCAGCTTCGGCCACATCCCAAACATCCTCTCAGCTAGAAAGTTCAGGTAACTCGAAGGTACCGAGTGTTTGAGCATTGCATTGGCATGGCATTGGTAGGTGCAACGATGCTTGTCAAGTATTCGCTACCAAAGGTAAGAACAAGGGGAGCGTGGCGCCTGCAGAGTTTGACTCGAGCATGGAATGAATGAATGGTGGACCAGGGCCATTGGCTCCTCTCATTCAATCGAGACCGAACAAACCTTGATCTGCCCCATCCCGTCAACACATCAGGGCCCCAACACGATCTCTTTACCCAACTTTCTGTTGCTAGGAAAGTTATTCCCGGCTTCGAAACCGGCTTTGCATTGTTTTCCAGCTCCCAAGAGGCCTTCGGCTTTACTAAGCAAGCAAAGGCCATACATACCCCATTTGCCGACACCGCAACGGGCCTTGGTCGATTCCGGAGCAACCCTCGGCGTTCGAGAGCTCGCCATGAAGGAATCCGACAAAGCCCGGTTCGACGAGCTCCTCGAGTGGGCGCAGCAGCACGGGGCTGAGCTGCACCCATCCCTTGAAATCTACCATGACAGGCTCACCAAGTTCTCCATCCGCGTCAAAAATTCCTGCACCCATGGCCTCCAGCCTGGCTTCCGGGCAGTCACCTGCCCTGTCTCAACCACGCTGTCGTTCTTGAACGCCCTGGTCGACGGACCCCTCAATATCTCGTCCTCATACCAGCAAACCGGAGCCTTCCCTCCCACCTTCATGGCAATGATCCCGCCCCACGTCATTGGACGCTTTTTTCTCATCAAGGAGTACCTCAAACGCAAGGACTCGTTTTGGTGGCCGTACATTGGGACGCTACCTCAGCCCGAACACATCAATGCCTGGGCTCTGCCAGCATTCTGGCCTGAAGACGATATTGCCCATCTGAAAGGAACCAACGCGCACTTCGCTATCGAAGAGGTGCAAGCGAACGTCAAGCGAGAGTTCAAGAAGGCAAAGAAGATCCTCAAGGAGGCCGAGTTCCCCAACTGGCAGGAGTACACCCCGCTGCTGTACAAGTGGGCCTTCTGCATCTTCACCAGCCGCAGCTTTCGACCCTCCCTCATCCTCTCGGACGCGGCAAAGCAGCATATCTCCGCGCTGCTGCCCGCAGGCTGCCAACCCGACGACTTCTCCTTCCTCCAACCCCTCTTCGACATCATCAACCACTCCATGACAGCATCCTACTCCTGGGACACCACCTCCGATCCCACCAGCTGCCAGCTCATCTGCCACGACGCCTATCAGCCGGGCGATCAAGTCTACAATAACTACGGCCTCAAAACCAACAGCGAGCTGCTCCTCGGCTACGGCTTCATCCTCCCCGAGACGCGCTTCTTTCATAACGACTACGTCCACGTCCGCAAGCGCAACCAGGAGGATGACTCCGAGGGCAGCGTGGAAGACACCAACTCAAAGCCAAGAGACTTTCTCATCTCCCTTCATCCAATATCATGGCACACTTCCCTTGTCGGCCAATCGCGGGTTGCTCGTGATGGTCTCATAAGCCGTCTCGCCTCGCTGCCCTGCTTCTCCCACTTTGAGCCGGCGCTGGTCGATGATCTTGCAATGACGGTCGCTTCGTACGAACAGAGGACAGCGCTGGATCTGTGGAATAAACAGTCAGGTGCGGAATCGTTTGATAACACAGCCGCGCCGCCCCTACAAGACGAATATCTAAAGGCCTTGGTGGAAAAGATCAAGGCCACGCTCGGGGCGAAGCTGTGGAGTGACTACCAGCGGTTGAAGGATGTTGACAGTGGAAGCGATGGCGGGGTGGAGGAGCTACCGCCGCCGAGGAATGGGAATCAGGAGCTGGCGAATGAGTATCGGTCGAGGTGTGAAAGAGTGTTGGCTGTCGCGTTGGAAGAGTTGATGGGGGGGATATGGGTGGGAGAGGTGTGAGAATGGGTTGGTGGGTTGGAGAGAAGTTGCAGCCTTGACAAGCGTCGCCCACAGGGGCGGAGGAATTCGCAATTCAGGTGGCCAAGGGAAACTCGCACGAGGTGGCCGAAAGGGAGTTGCAGGCGGCTGACTGGCAGCTGGGCGTACGAACACAACTCCAAGCGACGAGCAAGTGAGTTGGGCTGTCCTCCGAGCACCCTGATTTTGTGCCACTGACCTCGCCCCGAGTTCTTTACCAATGCAAGTCAGTCAACATGAAGTTGGCTATCTTGGTTCTTGCCTCGCCAGTGCCATACACAGAACGGTAACCTAATCATCTTTAGCTGTCAAGGCGCTTATATTTGCCGGACGTGCCCCCATAAATCTCCTGGAGCTGGGACACGTAGGAGCTTGCCTTGTAGGGGGAATCCTGGTGGGCAGGCGGCTAAAATGCCGAGCCGGGTTCCGGATCAATATATTCTAGACCGCTTCTAAAGCCGCCGCTTGTGATGCCCTGAATTTACCCATCAGTAGCCTGCCCCAGCTAATCCACTTCCATGTAACCTTGGCCTCGGCTACCAGGCCATTATGCTCCTTATGATCTCGCGTGGCTTCTGTTATGAGCCGCTGAGGCTGATGTCCACTCCCTTTCCCCCGGACGACCGCCCCATTTCTCCACAGAAACTGCGGAGAAGCAACTGAAAGTGGGTGCCGCCCCGGGTTCAGCAGACTGCGAGATGGAGGCGAAATGCGGAGGCGGCAGGTGTTTTGGATATATATAGGGGCCACCGAGAACGTCTGCTGTGTGTCACGAAGTCTGCGGTCATCAGCCACCGAAGCATATTCGCCCAGGACAACATGATGCTCCCCGAAACTGTCATTGCTGGGCTGCTGCTGGCCTCCAGCGTGGTTGCTGCGCCAGCACCGGACCCAACCTCGATCTGCAAGCGTGGCCCGAGCCCTGGCGTGGTCATCCAGAAGTGCAGCAAGCCCGGCGTGCTCGCGCTTGCCTATGACGACGGCCCGTATCAGTACACCTCGCAGCTCGTCGACATCCTCGACAAGGCCGGCGCCAAGGCCACCTTCTTCTGGACCGGCACGCTGTACGGCTGCATCTACAACCAGGCCGCAGCTGTCAAGAAGGCGTATGCTTCGGGCCATCAGATCGCCTCGCATACATGGTGGGCCCACCGCATTAGATCGTCCCGCAAGTAAACACAAATAGGCACTTACACGAAACAACAGGACCCATCCCCACATGGGCACTCTGAGCGAGTCGCAGATCCGCTCCGAGATGACCAAGCTCGAGGAGGCCTTCGTCAACCTGATCGGCAAGAAGCCGGCCTACATGCGGCCGCCCTATCTCGACACGAGCGGCGCCGTCTTACCAACCCTCAAGTCAATGGGCTACAAGGTTATCACCGACGACGTCGACTCGCAGGACTGGAACGGCAAGACGCCCGACCAGAGCGCCCAGTTCTTCCAGCAGGCCGGCCCCGGCGGCAACGGCCACATTTCCCTCATGCACGAGACCTACGCCAGCACCGTCCAGACCCTCACTCCGTGGCTGATCAACTGGGCCAAGCAGAACAACCTGAAGCTGGTCACTGTCGGTATGTCTTCTCCAAGATAATCAACGTTCTCTCTTGCAAAAAGAAACGAATCTCCACTAACCTTTGGTTTCAGCTGAGTGCTTGGACGATGCCAAGGGCGCGTACCAGGCTGGCACCTTCACCCCTACCGGCAAGAACACCTGCTAATGCAAAGTGGGTAACTGTCGGGAGGGCGAAGACGTAAACTTGGGGGGGGTGGCCCTATGTGGACGTGGGCTCCTGGTTAGGCGCGGGGCCAACACAGAAATGTATTTACTGTGTTAACGTACATAAAGTAGCTCAAAGAGGACATCCTTATCTATCGTACCTTGGAGAGCCCTTTTCAACTGGGATTTTGTGAGAGACTCAGCAAGTTTGCCCTACTCCGGTCCTGCCAGGACATGGACCGCCAAATCAGTATCAACGAGCTACAACGGGGTTCCTCCATTCTGATATTGATGGAACCTCCCGTCGGTGTCTGCGGCTGAAGAGTGGTATTCAATCAGGTAGGTACCTAAGCTACCTTGTTCCACTTATGACCATATGATTTCGGGGTATTGAAATGCCTTTGATAAATCACTTGACTCTAGGTTGTAGTAAGTGGTACCATGACTTGGGATGCTACTGGACTTATCTAGGTTCCATCCGAGTCATTTATTTCAGAAGCGTGGATTGTGTCTGATAGGACATCCTAGCGGTAACCATGGAAACGGTTCGGTGTGTGAGACTTCCTGGGAGTTCTGAAGAGCAACCAACATTCCAAGTGTTCTTCATGTATCATCAGAGGGCTATGTGCCTTATATTGGAGTTGGGCCTGTTTGACACCAAGAAGGATAAGGTTACCATGATGGACAGCCGAGCATCGATATGTTCACGGAACAGGAAGCAGCCTAAGGCAAATATTGGGAGCCAAGACTAGACGACGGTTCAGCGGGCATAGTTCTAGTGGATATTGTAAGCTTTAGCGTCGAAGGTCAAAGTAAGCTATCTTCACACGTGGGTGTCAAAGTGAACATCATGAACTAACGTGTACCTTCGCATGCCCATCTGTACCGTCCCCTACCCTGTGTGCGTTGCTTATGTTGCCAAAGTAACTCGCATCGCAACAGGCGGTAGCAACCGTTGCAGCTCTGTGTTACATTGATCGGTAACTGGCTGTTTGGTTCAATCACCGATATCCGAGGTCACAGCACGCTCCAGGGTTCTCTCGTTCAAGCCCTGTTCTTAGATACGGTATGATCCTGCCAAACTGTGTACACATGCTGTGCTGAATGCACATGCACATGCACCAGCGACGCACCCGGTAAATGCTCATCACAACTGGTGAGACCAAGAACGGTCGATCCCCGGCCAAGACGAGAACTAACCGGTCAAGGCACGTCCATCTCCTCTCATCTTGCCAGCTGTGTATGCCAAAGATACCTTATGCATGGGACAAAAATCCCGTATGCACTTGTACTATACAGGGTACAGTACCAGGAGAGGAATTCGATATTAGACACAGATCTTCCTCGGGCCAAGCTTCCTATATCCGCGGGAGTCGAGTGTTGTCATGCTATCCTCACCCGACCTTGAGAGCTTGGCAGCCTCGCAAGCCCTTGTCGTTTCAGGCCAACGACAAGCGCTCCAACGAGACTGTGCCCAGCCTCCATCGTCAGGGGACGAATTTAGCCGGACTTGACCTTGCAGCAGGGTAAATATGCGATACCACCTCAACCCCGAATGCAACCCAACTGCCGGTTCGGGGCACAGTTGCGTGAAGTCACCACGCTTGGAGGGGGCTGAACATCGACATTTCCGGCGAGATACGGGCTGTTGCGAACCGAGGGTTCACTCTCCCACGACAGGGGACAATTCATCAGTCTTAACAGTCTGGCAAACTGCGATAAGAAACGCATCACCGCATACCCGAGCTCTACTCCGTAGAGTCGAGGTAAAAGCAAATGCCGCGGGTGACAGACCAAGGCGTTGCCGTACGTTATGGGCCTGGCTTTCAATCGTGACAGGTCGGGTTCGGCTGGGGGAACCTTTTTCGAGCTTTGTGATTCGTAGTAGGAGCGCAGCTTGATACGGAGGTACGGATGCGGCCGACCCAGTGGGTGCGTGATGCGAAGATCGGCGACAGGACCTGAAGCTTTACCGTTATCAGGGCGCGGGGAACCCGGGACCGAGGAGCTGGGCCGCCAAAATGTGAACCTGCATCTTGGATTTCCCATGAAACTAAACTGGGCGTCATCTTAACAGGGGTTTACGCGCGGGATTGGAATCTTGAAAACGTGGAAAGTGCTAGAAATGCTGCAGAGGATGGGAAACGAGGGGAAGGGGGGAGGGTTATGGAAGTTCGCACCTCCCGTTCTCACGGTTGCTGACGGGACCACGACACTGGACGTTCTTGCCCTCATCACCGGCAGGTACCGAGGGCCGGCCGCTTCGCATTTCTGCCCTACGGACAAACGCGACTTTTGTTGCTGGCTTACGCAAGAGCATAGAGCCGAGGCGCGGACGCCAGGTTCTTGGTTCGAGAATATTTGATGCCAAACCAAGAGTTGCAGCTAGCGCCGCCCCGTCCCGTCTCGGCCGGACCCGAATTGAGGAGCCACAAAGCGGCGGGACCGAATGCATCACGGAGCCGGAGCCGTCAGCGGAGCGACATATCGACGGGGAAGTCCCTATTAGGGGTTCGGGCCGATGGGTTTTGTTCATGTGGAGCGAGTGCTTCGTCGAAGGAATGGATACTCGAGGCAATGGAACCTTGACTATAAAACTTGTCGAGCTCTGGCCATTCCCGGTCTTCGATGTGATCAAGCGGCCCTCCATTCAATGAGGATTTAGTTGGTTTCCATGGCCTGTCAACAATGAGTGTCGAGGGATGATGCTGATATGGCCCTTCATACTGCGTAATCTGCGCAGTGCACCCACTAAAGACTGAACACCCATTGGAAGAAGCAGCACGACTCGTCGTCTCGACCTCGCCATTTGACAGCAATGTCTTCCGGCGTTCCCGAGACACGATCCAAAGCAAAACCCAGATTAGTGGGATGCGGCGAAGTGGACGCGCTAACATTAAGTCCGTCCCTGGGCTAGCACTCTCAATTGCAGATCTTCACGTGCTAAACCAGGGCAAGGGAACTCATTCGCCCACACTGTGGGGACGAGAAATTGACGAGACTTGCACACAACTGGCAACGCATTCCATGCCCCAATGCCCGTCAGCACCAGAAGGGGAATAGAAGCTGAGAGCTGGGGCCCACCATGCTAGCATGGCTTCGGATCCAGTCCCCGCGAGGGGCGATGCCTCTTTCTCCGGTATCAGTGACGTTGCCCGTACTTACCCAGACAACTAGACAGGAGTCGAGGATGGTGCTGGAAAAAAGGTGATCTTGGTTGTCGCTGATGTGACGTTATCACTACCATGAGGCTGCGTAGATATGTGTACGGAGGCCGCTCCGGATGCAGAGGGTGAGTAGGCCCCTTCGCCCCCAGTCGTTCCATCAGGGATTGTGGACTTTCGAGACGTGGGCTCAGTGAGGAAAGGGAGAAAACTACTTCCCTACTTACAGATGGTAAGGGATGCTTGACCGTTATGCAACACAAACGGAGATTGATGCTGGATGAAAGGAGAACACCGGGCTGCTGAATTCAAGCATCTGACGCTCTCAATCATCATAGGGGATTGGTGATGTCGTCCGGGGGACGACGCTTTGACCGTTGCCCAGTCTGGCGGCGCCCGGGGATTGTCGGGTTGAACAGTTGCGATTGGCTGCCGCTCCGTTGGCGCCTGCAGCCGTCAGCCCCAAAGCAGCCACAGGCGGCCCGCGCGGCAGGGGCAATAGACTCCACGCTGTGAGGCCCGATCATGTGATGCTGGGCTCCGTTGTTAGTAACAGCATTTTCATCAAGGCGTTCATCCATAGAACCGGAGTTCATCGTTGTGCATCAGGCACTTGCGAGAACGCACGCTGGTGTCTTGCTCCGGCAGTGGATTTAAATTTTGGTTTTGCTGGCAACCAGCGGAGCGGGGTCTCCTTGTTGAGGTGGCTTGACACCACGGCCGTCCTAGGGCGTCTTGGCGGCCTTGCTAGTCCGTAGGTCATGATCAAGTGCGAAACCGAGCCAATACGTGCCGCTGCTGACTAGTTCGCTGGCGAGCGTATTTTCGCCGGGAGCGTGGATCATCACTCAGCAGCCCGCTAGTTTCGGCAGCTTCATCAATGGTGTTCTCTTCATTCCCATCTTGGATTTACCAGGGGTACTACCCTCGGGAGGTTTGAGAGGTCCTCGAGAAATCGGGATCACCGTGGTATCTTTGATACGGAGGGGTCGGCAATAGGCGGGGGCTGTGGCATACGCTGCGAGGGGCGGTCAACTAACGTTATGAAACTGAAGATGGACCGTTGCAGCACAAATTCACATCGGGTTGACCGAAGGCTTGCGTTGAAGGCTGAATCAAAGCGGGCTCACCGTCAGCGAGCAGAACTACACTCGTAACCGGCGAGGTCCCCATGTCACCATGCCTGCCAAGAAGACCGGTGGCATGCGGGGAACCTGATTGTCTCAGAACCGAGAGTGCGGGGCCAAGGACTTCGAAACCAAAGATGGACATTCGATCACCGCAGGATAATCTGTGGGAGTTCGAGAAGAGTCTCGGCCCAAGTCACCATTTACAATCCTCTGCGGGCAGTCGGACCGATGCTGGGAAGTCGATAGAGGTGGAAGATGCCAAACGGTTGAGACTGAGAAATTGCAATGTGCAAACACACGGGGGTTATCCGGCGAGGAAGGAGGCCGCCTAGAGCACCGAGCTAGTACATGGATGAGCGTTCTTTTCTTTTCTCAGTCGGCTATATGCTGATCAGTTTTACCTTGTCTTGCCGTGCCCAGAGCCGGAACACCATTATCTAGGAGTTAGTATTTGGCTGAAACGCTCTCCATGTAAGGGGAGGAAAGACCGACAAAGTTCCCGAGCATACTGTATAGGGGCCTTGCATTTGCGTCCGGTGTTGTCATGGCTTTTGAGAAAGGTCAATGTCACCGATTCGAGGTATCGATGGAAGTCCGTTTTACCTTCTGATCGTTTTGGAGGGTACCGGTACCTGAGGGTCGGATTTTGTGCCACTTTTGGAAGCTTCGACGATGCTTCGAAAGTGGAACGCTGCAATCTCTTCGTTGCTCAGGCGCCGGGTAAATGCCTGGAGGGCGCTGCCGGAGGCAATTTCCACGTGTCGCAAGCTTCCCCTTTTGGACGTTCCATCCAACCCAATCCACACTGGTGCCTCCAAGCGTACCGAACGCCCGAGCAGAGCCCACTTCGACACTTGCTTGTAT